TACGAAGTATCGAGAAAGTCCTGAAATCGTGCACGCACAAAAAAAAGTCGAGATTTTTGCAAATATCGACGTTTTACAGCTGCCTGAGTTGGAAAAACATAGTTTTGCAAACTTGTTCGTGTGTCTGTGTGTGTGTATGTGTGTGTGTCTGTAAAAACGATAACTTGAGTACCGTTCAAGCTAGGTTGATGAAATTTCATATATAAGTATTATATAAAAATCGTTGATCCCTTTCAACTTTTGAGCGATTTCCAATAACCGGAAGTGGAACTTTTTCTACTTTGAATTTTTCAAAAGCCTTTCATATGACGTCACGTCCGTTCGTGAATGTAAACATCCGCCATCTCGGTGTACAGATCTACATTCAAAAAGGTGATCTGTGCGGTGAAAGGTTGTGATACTCGAAGTGGCAGATCTAAAGGGATTCCTTTATTTCGACTGCCAAGGGTCATATTAAACCAAGATGATAGAGATCGACAGTTAACAGAACGTAGACGCCGTCAATTTTTAGCCAATATTTATCGCTAATATACTAATATTATATGCGAATCTGTTCTCGACATTTTGTTTCAGGTAAGGACAGTAGAATAATAAACTTTATTTTAATTATAAAAGATAACTATTAATAAAACAAATATGCTCGACCTTCACAAATACTAATAGTAAAACACAAAGTGAAAAGTAATAATAAGAATAATAAGATTTAATAGTAGGCCTAATAATAGTGTTTTAACGTCTAGATCTAGAATCTAGCTCTAAACATAGCGTAAACAAAATTCGGACCACAGATCTAGATTCTGGATTTAGGGTGACTGGCTCCGCTGGGTAGACATAGAATTTAGAAACTTCTTATTTACTTAAATTTAATTACAAAATACAGCCATAATAAATCAAAAGTAGTCATAATAGGCCTAATAAAGCATTTAATTGTCTCTAAGATCTAAAATCTCGCTCTATAATCTAATAATTTTTTAGCAAACGAAATTTTCTGAAATTGAAATAGATTATATGACTAGACTTAGATCTAGAATCTGCGACTTAAATTAAATTTTAAAAAGTTTATACAAGCAGGTAGTTGATATTGTAGTAGAAGGCTTTAATAAATTACTAAGGCCTACCTACTTTGTGTCTTTTTACATCAATATGTATCTGATACTGGACTGAGTTTAATTAAATTCAAATGCATATCTAGTAATTAGTCTACTAAGTTTATGTAGCCTAGTAGTAGAATCTAGATCATACCAGCCAACAACAAATAACCACATTATTATTATTTGGTTAATGATTGGGCTAATTTTTTTAAAATCCACTTTTTATAAAAGAAACAAATCAAGCTAGAAACATAAGTGAGATGGTTTAGAATAATAACAATGGGCCCAGTCTCAGTTGATACAATTGCAGGTCTACATAGGGCCTACAGTCTAGTAGTTTACAGTAGGCACCTAGTGTGTAGTAGTAGTGTGTAACTGTCCAGAGTTAAGATTGTGGGATGTAAAAAGGGATGGTACTAACTAGGCCTAATCTGCCTTAATGCTTTCCCCTGATAAGCCATGTGTGCTAGGTGAGAAATGTTGAGGGGAGAGCAGTGGGACTTTCCCCTTTGTTCTCCCTGCTGTTTTACCTACTGAAATTTAGAGCGTTTTATTGTGTTTTTCAAGCATGTCTTAGTTACACTTGGTTAATTGAGCTATTCTTGTGAAAGTTATTTCCCTTAAATAAAACTACATTCCTTTCAAATGCCTGCACCTTAGGCTGACCGCTAACTTATAAATACAACCTTAAGCTATTATTTGCTATTGTAACAATTAAATAGAGATTAAGTTCTAAACAAAATTGTTTGGTAGGTTTTTTTTAGCATTATTAAGTTGAAAAACAAATACATCAGTAGCCGTGATTGCAATACTTAATGTTCGTAGACATACAGTCTTAGTCGTACATTAAACATATAATTAATTGTCTTTTCATATTTTCACCCTCTCCTAAAGAATTCATATATAGAAGTTTTAGGCTGGAATCTATATTATTTATAACCTTTTATTTATCAAAAAAAAAAATAGTTACATAATCACACAATATAGACATTTTAGGGGTAATACATAAATAACGTCACGCTTTTTTGACGATGTTTACCTCCCCCCTCCGTCACACGTCGTCACAAAAAGCCAGACCCCCCCCCCCTATTAAATGACATCACACCTCAGCCTCAAGCTTAAAACAGGTAAGTTCCGTTTTGGTTGGAACTCACCTTGGGAGGACTGCATGGAGCCCAACACTACGAGAACCTTTTTTGATTCAGTGTTTTTTTTCCAAACTTTTTTCTCCCGGGAGGAGGGGGGGGGGGGAGCACTTAAATTTTCTAAGGAGGTAGGGAGGGGGGGGGCTATGTCGTAAAGCACAAAGTAGACTCGTGCACTTAGCAACAATTTTAATAAAATGTGATTACGCTTGCAAACTGGAATTGAAGAAATTAGTACAAACTTTTGAGACGAATGAGGCTAGTAAAATTTGATTTTGATGTCTACTTATAACGTGCATGAAATTGATAATAATATGTCACTTTTAGTTACTTGTTTCATATACATAAGTTTTAGTAATTAATTTGTGTGAAAGGGGGCGTTTTAATAAGTTTTGCCAAGGGCGCTAAATAACCTGGAGCCGGCATTGCCCCCAACACCAGTTCTAAATTTTCATTGTATTACCCATCAAAGCCCGATAGTCATCTTAATTAAGCTTGATTAAAATTCACGCGACATTTTTTTAAAAAATCAAAGCACTAACAGTAATAGGTCTAGTACAGCACCGTTGTTGTGGGCCAACGGTTGTTTTTTTTACCTTGAGGCCCACCTGGAATTTTCCCGGTAGAACGGCGGACCAGTCCACCTCTGACTTCGTATATCGAGGTGAACTCTACTTCACCTGCCTTGTGGACCATAAGGTTCGAAACGGAACTTACCCCTTCCCATCCGTCAGCAGAGTTTCTTACAGCCACCATTCCCCCTCCCATCCCCCACCCCACCCCAGCTTGCCCACCCCACTGCCCACCCATTTATGAAGAAACACTGTTGTCAGTTCCTCGCAATGTCTGATACCCTCTGATACATTTTTTTACGAACGTGACATCGTTTAGACGTGACAACCTTGATTAATTTAACTACTTTCCACAAATGATTGCTTTTCAAAGGTTTGCCGCCTTCCAAAGGAGGAGAGTGGGAGTTAAAGTAAATATTTTCTTTATAAATCATATACTTTTTAGCGCAATTTCCATACGGACAATTGTTAGCGCAATTTCCATACGGACAATTGCGATTATTAACTCGTCATTTCTGGATGTATGGATGTTTGTCCGCAGCCTTTAAGTCGTATCTCCTCCTCAACGAAGCAATATCAAGGACTAGTTCCAAAAGCAAATATGTTAAGCAAGTTCGAAGGATGATGGTGGGCCAAAAAAATTCCCGGAATTCCTTCCTGGATTTCCCGGAAAAGCCAAAAAACCTCGAACAAACGCAGTTTTTGCTTCATATCTCGGCAACCAGACCACTTAGCGACTTGAAACATTTACCAATCGATTCCTGCCATAATTTAGACCAATATTGCCGAAGAAAGTTTTCAAAAATATCCTTTCGTTCGGTCACAAAAAATTAATTAAGAACATTTAAACTGAGCATCGTGTAGGCCTATCATGATATTTACTACTTTTTAGCGCAATTTCCATACTGGCAAATTGCGTTTAATAATGCGTCATTTCTGGATGGATGTATGGATGTGTGTCCGCAGTCTTTAAGTAGTATCTCCTCCTCAACGAAGCAATATCGAGGACTAGTTCCAAAAGCAAATATGTTAAGCAAGTTCCAATGATGATTGTGGGCCAAAAAAATTCCCGGAATTCCTTCCTGGATTTCCCGGAAAAGCCAAAAAAAAAACCTCGAACAAATGCAGTTTTTGCTCCATATCTCGGCAACCAGACCACTTAGCGACTTGAAACATTTACCAATCGATTCCTGCCATAATTTAGACCAATATTGCCGAAGAAAGTTTTCAAAAATATCCTTTCGTTCGGTCACAAAAAATTAATTAAGAACATTTAAACTGAGCATCGTGTAGGCCTAGGATGGTATTTACTACTTGTTTAAACTGAGCATCGTGTAGGCTTTTTCCCCCCTTTGATGCGTAGCTGGGCGCGTTCTGCGGTACACGCTGCCATTGGCCAGACTCGCGCAGATCTCGCGAGGGGGCGGGGACTAGCTCTGCTCGTGTGGAGAGAAACGAAAAGGGGTGCTCGCGTCTCACCACTAGAAGAAGCGAAGCGGTGAAATTCCAAACCAAGCACACCGGCTCAGGCAGTCGCTAGTGAGAGGTAACGTCTACTTGACGCATGTTAATTAAGGAAATTGCGCTTAAATTGTCACTAGACTTTTTATTAACGTGTTTAAACTGAGCATCTTGTAGGCCTACTCGTTAAAATAAAACTAGTTCCTTTGGTATAGGTTAATATAGTTGTCTTTTTTTTTACTTATTAATTCAAACGTTATTTTTGTACCCTATTAATTTATTTATAATTTATATGAGAGTGATAGGAAGTTACAATTACAAGGTTTTGTTTCGCTAGGCCTAATCATTTTTTCACATTTAAAAAAAATTAATTAAGGAAATTGCGCTTAAATTTTCACTAGACTTTTTATTAATTTGTTTCTATTACATCCGAGGGGTTAGACTTACCCCCCCCCTTCCACTCCCCCCCCCCCCCCAATCCCCCTCTGTGAGATTTCAGGAAGAATGTGCCTACAACAATAATAAATAATATGACTATTTATACCATGGTTGAATATCTACTGTAGTTTAAAAAAAAAACAAAAAAAAAACGCAGATTCGATTATCATTATATGTGATTATAGCAATAGTATGATATCGAGGAATCAAGCAAAGTACTTTGCACGTAGGATTTTTTAAAAGTCTATATTATTATTTGTTTTGTAATGTTTATCCGTCTCTTTTTAGTTTTACCACGTATAATCTGACAACATTGCTCATAGAAATAGAATCCCCGGAAGTTCATTGCGTGTCTAGAAGGCAGAAATTAAATATTGCCGCGTCTTTCGTTCAAATTTGAACGTTAGGGTTAATTTGAAACAGCCGTAAATGTAGACTAGAGGTGGTTGTAATGTTATTTGTTTTGTTTTTTTAAAAGCCAGTATCATTTTGTTTAATAATAGTGTAGTGACTTAAAATATGGATAAAACATAATCTAACATATTCTAGATCTAGATCTATTACATTTGATTTCGAAACTGCTTGTCAATTTTGGTAATTTATAGAGATCTACTAGATCTAGTGTACACAAAATAAAAATAGGCCTACATCTTACATTTAGATCTAGAAAAAAAATCTAGATCTAGACTAAATCTCGATCCTGTTCTTGAACTTAATTCTAAACTAAATAAGTAAATTTAAATCTAAATAAAAAATACTGTACATACAAAGTAACAATACAAAATCAACATAGATTGTGCTTAAGCAGCTGGTAAAGACTGTGGACCGTCATTGTGGATGCTTTCAGCTTTCCTTTTCGATGTTTTTACAGATAATTTTTCAGTGTTATTTAGAATGTTTATGATGGAGGGGGAAAAACTGAATTAGTTGAAAGTGTGGATCGAATTTCAATTTCTTTCTCGAAGTCTATGTTTAATGTAATCGCATTTATCAACCACTTGGAATGAGGAAACGTTAGCTATGCAAAGACCCTTAACATTACAAGAAATCAACAAATGGCATTATACGTGCTTTTTCATACTTTATTTCCTACAAGGTATGCCATATGGAATTCAGACAGCTTTCCTACCTATTTATTTTCGAAAAAATGGAACATCACTGTTTATTCTGGGATTTTACAGACTTGTATTAATTCCTAATATATTAAAGCCACTTTTGGTAACAATTGTAGAGGCATGTTTCAGCAAACATGGTTGGTTGAGTGGCAACTTTATTGTCTTGTTTTTACTAAGTTTACTCATATCTCAACTCTCGCCAAGTTACCCGGTGCTGTTAGCTACAGTCTTTTTTGTTGTTAACACAATTGCGGCAATTCAAGATATTGCTTTGGATTCAATATTATTAGAATTTCTCCCGCCATCTGAGCTTCAGCATGGAAATATGATCCAGATTGTCGGATTTAAATTGGGCAGCTTATTTTTAGGTGGCATTTTTATATTGTTTATTGACTATCTTACGTGGAGATATTGTTTTCTTTTTTTGGCATTGCTGTATTTTTTGGGATATATAATATCCGAGTTCTACCTGTCAACGTTTATTCCCGTCGAAATGCGAACTTCGCAACAATCGCAAACGACACTCTCGACCTCATCAACTATACATTCTTCTGTTGATCTGGTTAGAAGAAGCAGCCGCGTCAGTTTGGCCGAAGTATTTGAAGTTGATAGCACAGCATGGATGTTATTATATCTCCTGATATATAAAACAGGTAAATGGTGGCGATACAAAGTGTTTAGTTTTGTGGGTAATCCAGTGGCGTAGCGAGGTCGGGTGTCACCCGGTGCGGCACTTAATGGTGTCACCCCCAGAGGCGTAGCGACCCTTCCCGGCGCCCGGGGACAAACTTTCGATTTGCACCCCCACCCCCTCAAACTTTCGATTCCCCCCCCCCCCCCTTCCTCCATCGTCAAATTTGCTCTTAAAAGACTATTTAACACTGGAATTAATCACTTAATTAAGTGGAATTATCATTTTTCTCTATATATTTTGCTATTTTTTGCCTTGGTGTCACCCCCCTAAATGGTGTCACCCGGTGCGATCCGCACCCACCCCCCTCGCCACGCCACTGGGGTAATCGACGGGTCGGGTGGTACCCTGCTATACGTAGATGTATTCAGCGTCGCAAATAAACTAATAAAATAATATAGAATCTTATCTCCGTGACTCATATGTGTATTATCATACCTAACAGGGTTATAGCATCTCGATGATACTTTTTTGTACATCTGTGTTTCAGATATTTTTCTCTGAAGGGGGTGGGGGGTACTAAAATTTGCGAGAGGAGGGGTGGAGATCATATGATTTGTATATAAATAACATTTAACAGTACCGCCCTTCCTACTTCCTCCCAACTTGTCATGATATGCGTTCAATTTCGTCATGCTTATACGATCTAACTTGTCATGCTCGTGTAGTCAAACTTGTCATGCTCGTGTAGTCAAACTTGTCATGCTCACGTGGTCAAACTTGTCATGCTCACGTGGTCAAACTTGTCATGCTCGTGTAGTCAAACTTGCCATGCTCGTGTAGTCAAACTTGCCATGCTCGTGTAGTCAAACTTGTCATGCTCGTGTAGTCAAACTTGTCATGCTCACGTGGTCAAACTTGTCATGCTCATGTAGTCAAACTTGCCATGCTCGTGTAGTCAAACTTGTCATGCTCGTGTAGTCAAACTTGTCATGCTCACGTGGTCAAACTTGTCATGCTCGTGTAGTCAAACTTGCCATGCTCGTGTAGTCAAACTTGTCATGCTCGTGTAGTCAAACTTGTCATGCTCACGCGGTCAAACTTGTCATGCTCGTGTAGTCAAACTTGTCATGCACACGTGGTCAAACTTGTCATGCTCGTGTAGTCAAACTTGCCATGCTCGTGTAGTCAAACTTGTCATGCTCGTGTAGTCAAACTTGTCATGCTCACGCGGTCAAACTTGTCATGCTCGTCTAGTCAAACTTGTCATGCTCGTGTAGTCAAACTTGCCATGCTCGTGTAGTCAAACTTGTCATGCTCGTGTAGTCAAACTTGCCATGCTCGTGTAGTCAAACTTGTCATGCTCATGTAGTCAAACTTGTCATGCTCACGCGGTCAAACTTGTCATGCTCATGTAGTCAAACTTGTCATGCACACGTGGTCAAACTTGCCATGCTCGTGTAGTCAAACTTGTCATGCTCGTGTAGTCAAACTTGTCATGCTCACGTGGTCAAACTTGTCATGCTCGTGTAGTCAAACTTGCCATGCTCGTGTAGTCAAACTTGTCATGCTCGTCTAGTCAAACTTGTCATGCTCGTCTAGTCAAACTTGTCATGCTCACGCGGTCAAACTTGTCATGCTCATGTAGTCAAACTTGTCATGCTCGTGTAGTCAAACTTGTCATGCTCGTGTAGTCAAACTTGCCATGCTCGTGTAGTCAAACTTGTCATGCTCATGTAGTCAAACTTGTCATGCTCACGCGGTCAAACTTGTCATGCTCATGTAGTCAAACTTGTCATGCACACGTGGTCAAACTTGCCATGCTCGTGTAGTCAAACTTGTCATGCTCATGTAGTCAAACTTGTCATGCTCACGCGGTCAAACTTGTCATGCTCATGTAGTCAAACTTGTCATGCTCGTGTAGTCAAACTTGCCATGCTCGTGTAGTCAAACTTGTCATGCTCGTGTAGTCAAACTTGTCATGCTCACGTGGTCATACTTGTCATGCTCACGTGGTCAAACTTGTCGTTATAATCTGTGATAAAACTTGTCTGCAGGAGAACAGGGTGCATCACTCTTGTATCCCCTGTTTCTAATTGACTCTGGCTATGGTGTTCAGGAAGTTGGGTTTTGGACTACAGTTTCCAGTTTATTCTCTGTCATTGGTTCCGCTTCCGGTGGTATCATAAGTAGGCCTAACAGTAACAGGTAATCGTTCTGGTAACTAGATTAGAACATGAAGCTAGTATAGATACGATGCAGGTACAAAAACTTGCAACAAAACCTTGCAATCTCTTTAGGAGAAACGCAATAAACACTAAGGGGTGGGCACATGATTTTATTCGATTTGCTGAAAAGGTGAAAGGTCAAAATATTTCAAATACATAACTCAGACAAAGTATATTTGAGTCATTAAAATTTTTTTATTATGATCCCTAATTGAGAGAAAAATTAGAACATGGTGATGTTTATTATTTTACTGGATTATTTATTTATTATAGTTTTCAAAATTTATAATTCCGTAATAATATAATTGATTTGTTCCATTTTTACTTTCTCGTATATACGAAGTATAAAGAAAGTCTTGTAATCGTGCAAAAAAAAATATCGAGATTTTTACAAATCTCGACGTTTTACACCTCACTGATACGGAAAAACATAATTTTGCAATCTTGTCCGTGTGTCTGTCTGTCTGTCTGTCTGTCTGTCCGTGTGTAAACACGATAACTTGAGTACCGTTACAGCTAGGTTGATGAAATTTCATATATAAGTATTTTATCAAAATCGTAGATCCGTATCAACTTTTGAGCGATTTCCGATAACCGGAAGTGGTACTTTTCCTACTTTGAATTTTTCAAAAGCCTATAACTTGAGTACTATTTCAGATAGATAAATGAAATTTGACATGTAAGTAAAAGATCTAATTCTCTACCTTCTGTTAAATTTTGAGTAATTTCCGTTGACTGGAAGTAGTAATTTACGCTACTTCCGATTTCTCAAAAAACTAATGTAAATTTTAAAAGTACTAATAATATTGCGCACTATTATGCGCTTTTTTATTTGGCGTTCACTTGGTGTGCAATTAATTTGTCTACGAAATTTTATTCTATTTTTAAAACTTTAAGTATTTAAAATGGATTAAAAATCATGTTTATAGCCCGAGTTCCCATCCCCTGTTATTTTATATAAGAATATTCGAGAAAGTTTAGGGGAGATCACTCCCGGTTTATTTAGTTGTAGTATGATAACTAGATCTATATGTAGATACATAAGTTTATTAAAAAAAACATTCTATACTCGAGCCGAAAGGAATAGGCTACTATTGTATAAATGAAACATATTCATTCACTTACTTTTATTCAACAGATCTTTAATGAAAGCAGTAAGGTATATGGTATTTGTAAGAGCCGTTCTTGTGACCTTGTTGTGGTTGGTGGTTTTGTCAAATTTCGACGCATTTCCATATGGTAAGGACATTACTTTCTTGCAACGCGCGAGAAAACTCTAGGTCTATGTTTAAAGTCGGTAATAAGCATGGGTTATAACCAGAGTAAGGGGTCATCCTTAAATGACGTCACACTTTTTTTGGACGATTTTTATCTCCCCTCCGTCACACGTCGTCACAAAAAGCCAGACCCCCCCCCTAAAATGACGTCACATCTCAGCCTACAACCCTCCTCAAAATTGCAATTGAATTTTTTAGCGCAATTTCCATTCTGGAGAATTGCGTTTATTAACTCGTCATTTCTGGGAATGTATGGATGGATGAATGGATGGATGGATGTGTGTCCGCAGCTTTAAGTCGTATCTCCTCCTCAACGAAGCAATATCGAGGACTAGTTCCAAAGCAAATATGTTAAGCAAGTTACGAGGATGAACATTAGGCCAAAAAAATTCCGGGTTTCTTTCATGGATTTCCCGGAAAAGCCAAAAAACCTCGAAAAAATGCAGTTTTTGGCCCATATCTCAGCAACCAGACCACTTAGCGACTTGAAACATGTACCAATCGATTCCTGCCATAATTTAGAACAATATTGCCGAAGAAAGTTTTCAAAAATATCCTTTCGTTCGGTCACAAAAATTTTTTTGAATTAATTAAAATTTGGACCGAATTAGTAGGCATTTTATGCAACCACACCACACGCGTCATCACGTTCAATAGCTACGCCATCACATTCAATGGCTGCGACGTCACGTTCGGTAGCTGGGCGCGCAATGGTTTTTAGTCATGTTACTCTATTGTAAATAAAACCTGTAAAATACTGAAAAAAAATTAATAAAAAACGTTTTAATAACTAACCAATGGTTTTACTAACCCTGCTCTTGATTTACGCTACGACAGAGCTATTTTTAGATAACACAAGGAAATTGCGCTAAAATTGTCACTAGACTTTTTTTAATTACTTGTTTTTAAAACATCGATATTTTTCCAAACTCTTGTCTAAAATCTGTCAAAATAGAGTATTTTAATCAATTCCTATTACAATTTATTAAAACAGTTTTCTAAAACGCGAAATAAAGTCAAAAATTCGCTTTCTAATATTTCTTTTTTATAATGAAAAAAGTGTGACGTCGCACTATCTGAACCCCCCCCCCCTCCCCCTCATCACACATCGTCACAAAATTACCGACCCCCCCTCCCCCCTCCGAGTGTGACGTCATTTATGGACGACCCCTAATGGTCAACGACACTGTGAAGAGCGATATTAAGTTTTCTTAATGCTTTTAACTACTTGTTTTAATTTTTTCTGTAATGGTCATAATACGTTTTGCTACACATTACGCGGTTGTGTTTCTTCTAGACCCACATTATAATACTTTATCGTTAATTATATACATTGAAATCTAGATCTCAGCCAAAAATATTTGAAATGAAACCTTGAATGTATTCTGTCTGCAGGTTTCGGTCTTCTTGTCTTGACTCTAGTGAATGTTGTGGGAGGAGCCATGACGACCAGCTCGCTGACCTTGATCATGCTGCTCTCACAAAAGTGCCCACGAACATATCGAACCATGTACTACAACGTTTTAGTTACCATTGAAAACTTAGGCAGGCTTCTGCTATCATCTTGTTTTGGTGCCGCGGTCTACTACTATGGTTATAGCGTTGTCTTTGGTATTAGTTCTGCCTTAACTTTTATCGTTATGCCCCTTGTCTTATATTCACCAGCAGGTCTGGATATCCACGAATGATGGACGTGAAAAATAAATTGCTACCAATTTATGATAAAAATAAAATAAAATACCATCTACATATGTGAAATATTGTTTTCTAAGGTCTGTGTGAACAAGTTGATTTCCATAAACATTTAGGTTTTTTTGTTTGTTAAGTGATTGTATTCTAGAATGATTCACTTAAGGTGTATACCACTAGACTTTTAGGAATTAAATGGGTGCTAACATTGTTAGACTAAATATTTTATACTATAGGAGTCGTCCAAAACGACTTTATACTCGTGGGGTAAGTGGTGGTCGGAATTTAGTGACCAAGATAGGCGGATCAGAAAGTATAACCAGAGGCGTAGCGGGGGGTGCGGACCGCACCGGGTGACACCAAGGCAAAAAATAGCAAAATATATAGAAAAAAAACTTGAGGAAGGGGGGGGGGGATGCAAATAAAAAATTTGAAAGTTTGTCCCCGGGAAGGGTCGCTACGCCTCTGGGGGGGGGGTGACACCCGACCGCGCTACGCCACTGAGTATGACGACACACTTGTGCAGTTAAAAAAAAAGAAGTTTGGAGCTGAATTGTAGCCACTATTTTGCGGTTGTTGTTTTTTTTCCTAAGTTTTATAAAAATGGATTCATATACTCACTGTTCACCCGGCTCAGAATATATTTTAGAAATAAATCAATGTTTATTTTTTAAAAAAAACTGCTAGGGGGTATTCTAGGCTGAAGTGAAACTTCGTTTTAGAGGCTATTGTGACTTTGGTAGGTAAAAATCGTCAAAAAGGGACGTATTTTTTTATGGATGACCCCATACTCTAGAAAGGATTAAACATACAACAACAGTAACGGACTCTAAGAACTACTCGAATTCTAAATTGAAAAATATCCACTTCAAAGTTAGTTCAAACAACTGAGTAACAGTAGTAAACTACAGCAGAAGTTAATTAAATTTCAGCCTACATAATAATTATCTTCTATATCAAAGCAAAGTGTAGAGTGTTAATAGCATATGAATTAGATCGGGTACTTCCAGGCAAGCTTTGAGGCCAATTTTTCCTTCAGCACTTGGCTCGTTCCAGTGAAAGCCACAGCCTTCTCAATCTCATTCACCTAAAGTGACCTAAAACTACTGACCTAGAATAGAAAGACGTAGGCCAAATATAAACTTTAAATTTAAAAAAAACGTTATTAGATCGACATCTTGCAGACACTACATAAACTTGAAATTTGTTGAGTAGACAGTTCATTTACCGTAGGCACCTAAAAAAAACCTCCATATTGTTTGAAATGTAAAGGGTTAAAAAAATAAAATGTCACGCTGGACCACTCTATTTTATCTCCTTAGGGATGTAATTGGGTTTTAAATTTAAGCATTTTATTTCTCCCATCATTCTTTTACACACAGAAATAAACAAATAAACATTTCTATAAAACACAAATTTCCCTATAAGACTAACTGTCCTCAAGTAGCAGTGAAAATAAAGAAATAGTGACTATAGACTATACTATTAAAGTGCAATTGGTCCATTTGAGAGTGTACTGAGCATAGTTAAAATAAATAATAACATTTAAGATGGTAAGGACAAGTCGCACGAACCACGGCCCATCTAAAACAATAATGCACTGTGCCAAGAGGGAGTAGAAAGGGGTGGCAAAAACGTCACTGAATGCATGATATCAAAGAGACTGGGTTACCTGTTGTAGAACTACATAACAGCAGAGGACCAAGACGTCTGTAATAAACTGTGAGAAAATCAACCCAGGCGCCCCGACGACCCTATCTATTATTAATAGACGATTAATTGGTTGAATATTTTAGTGAAAAAGAAAAAAAAATCCAGGGAGTTTTGCTCAGTGTTCCTTCCAGACTTTTTTCTCCGGGGGGGGGGGGGGGGCGGTAGACTTTCTTCGGAGGGGCGGACACTGTTAAAAGTATATATTTTCTATATATATTATATGCATTTCATTTCGTTCGGGGGGCGGTACAATTTTTCCTTAGAGATGCCTGGAAGAAACTCTGATTTTGCTTTATAAAGATATACTTGCACAGCTCAATAAATTAGTAGAAAATAATTATTGTATATAGGTTGTATACTTTAAACATTGTCGGCCCATTCCCTACCCCCCCCCCCCCCTCAAGAAAAATGACTGAAAGAAACACTGCAGTTAGGCTAATGTATGTATATGTTACGGTCAAAGCCCGTAGTGCGGCCAAACCCCGGATTGGCCGGCCAATGCGCGGATTGGCCGGTTCTCTTGGCCAAAGCTCGAAGAACTTAGAACTTAGATCGTATTTCGTACATTGGCCGGCCAATGCGCGCACTGGCCGGGACGTACTGGCCAAAGTCCGAAGTGCTTAAACTGGACAGCGTATTTTGTACATTGGCCGGCCAATGCGGGCATTAGCCGGGATGTCCTGGCCAATGCTCTATCTAGACTAAGTTGTGATCGCGTTTTCATTATTCTGGGTGCGGTTTCATTGTGAGTAACGTATTGTTTAGCTCTTGTTTGTACAGCTCATTCTTGTGGATCCTGTGGCAAAGATGTCCATGCTATTTGTGGAGTACCCAATGAAGCAGACGAAGGGTACGGAGGGAACATTACCTGCAGATTGTGTCACAACAAACAAGACATCATGGAACACAGGTCAGCAGCTCATAATGGCTTGTAAAATCAAGGTGCTAAGATGCTTAAAACATCAAATACAAAATTTAAAGATGGTGAGGTGGGTGACAATGTACGCATCCGTGTTCCAGATGTTGACAGAGGTCGCGGTGATCCCCGAAGCGTGATTGCAGTTGTCATGAACGTCGAGGGCGGTTTCTACAAATTAGGAACGGAACATGGTGTTCTAAAACAACTGTATGCTAGAAGTGAGTTTTCAATTCTTCACGAAAAACTGCTCTTATTGTCGTCAGTTGGCACTGAGGAAAAATCACTACGAACCATCGCATCTTCACAATCATTGACTGGGGGGCCAAGGCTACACTCGCTGCAATTGCACAACCAAGTGCACAACAAATCGCTGCAAGTGTAAAAAATAACAAGCTGCTATGTAATTCTAAATGCCATAAAAGTTCAACTTGTTGTAACAAATGATAATATTGATTGATTGAGACTATAGTACAATAAAAAATTTGAATGTTTCTGTCATTTACTTTACTTAATAATCAATAAAAACTTAATTTCATGATCCTTACGGCATTAAAAAACCCAAAATCTGCTCATGATTTTCTAATTCGGACTTTGGCCGGTCGTCCCTAGCCAGATGATCTTCTAATTAAGACTTTGGCCGGTCCACCATGGCCAGTCCGCGGACTGGCCGGCCAAAGGCCGAAATCAAGTAAAGTTTCGGACTTTGGCCGACCTATGGTAGGCGATATTGGCCAATGCGCGGATTGGCCGGCCAATCCTAGCATTGGCCGACTTCGGGCTTTGACCGTAACATATATACAATATTACAATATTTGGTATGATGGAAATAAACACGATGGAAATTTAAAAGTTACTATTTTAAATTGTGGGAGAAACACTTTGTGATATTGTTGCTTTTATACACTCACTTTATTTTTTTGTAAAATAGGTGCTGGGAGGGGAAAAAAATCGAAAAAGTCTGCTAATTTGCTGTACTGTAATTGGTATGACCAGTGATCGCTTCCGTGCAGATACAAATATTATACAAACAATGGAGAGAAGACGACGCCATACCGATTCTATAAGTGACGAAGAAGATGGCAAGTTTTATTTTTTAATTTAATTTGATATGATGTACATTATGGAGAGTTAACGTTTGTTATCATTTAATCGCTTCGTAACGAAATAAGTGTAGAAGTATGATGCATTTAACACTTTAATAATTTGACACCTATTTTCGATAATCTAGCCAGCTAGCTGCTAGTTTACAACTAATCTAGATCAAGAATCTAGATCTAAATCTAGAATCTATTCTAGTCTAGATATGTAGATCTAGATCAGATAACTTAGTAGAATTATATATTCTATTCATATCAATTCATCATTATCCAGTTTCAAACGTTACAGCTCTATGCCCCCCCCCACCCCCAAATCTTGAGCTAAGTCAGTAAGTGTTGTAGGGTAGGAGTGAGTTGTCACATTTTTCTGGAGTTAAGTAATAATAACTTAATAAGTAGATCTAGTCCCATGATCTTCTGGATAAACTAAAAGGCCTATTCTAGCTGGGGGGGGGGGGGGGAGAAACTTTTTCTGAGCATTGACTTCCAAAATAAAATCAGGTCAAACTATTTAACTATTTAGGCCTAATTTAATTATTTAGGTTATGTGTAATTTCCGCAGTTCGTGAAGCCACTAGCTTAATATACAATTATTTAGGCCTAATTCTTTTTAAATTAAGCCTACCGTTGTAAAATTTTATTAAGTTTATTCCCCTACCCCCCAAACAAAAGGTTTGAACTAGTGTAGGTTTAGCTAGTAGACATTTTAAATTTAATATTGAATTGTTCTATATAACAAATTGTTTATTAACAGATGACAGGGGGAGAAAACGCAGGAGAATTGCAACTGATACTGTTGATATTGAAGACAGACTTGAATCTCTTATAACTAGAGTTGGTGAAAAGGTGAGGTTTTTTTTTATTGGAAATCCATCTTAAGCAGTTAGGTCTTTATAGTTTAACAAAACTACAAGTCTGCACTTTACAGGCTGTATGTCTAATAACTCACACATTTTTTATAACCATACCTAGTGTTCACACACATCACACTCCACTAACAACTTAGTAAGTAAATTTTTAATGTTTTAATAATCAGTTGTGTTTTTTTCCTAAAATTTAGAGTACATCATCTCTTGAGAGCAATTTAGAAGGTCTTGCAACTGTCCTTGAAGCTGATATACCAAACTATAAACATCAGATTATGAAAATTTTGTGTAGATGGTGAGTCTATATCCAAATTCTAGTTTTAAAATAGATTTCTTCATAACCACACTGTAAATTTTAGTAACATGTAAATAAAGTAATTATTAAAACTTACAGAAGACAAATTTTATTAGTTATTCATTGTTTTGTAATTTACTTACAATTCGCTTAAACAATATAGTAACTTTTTCGTCATTTTTATTCAATGTTTTTATTAACATTTTTGATGGCTGTCATATTTAAGTTAAGATTATTCATTCTTGTCTCTTATTATTTCAGTGTGGTGAATTTACCTGAAAAACTTACAGTTTACACAACCCTTGTTGGATTGCTAAATGCTAAAAACTACAACTGTGGTGGAGAAGTAAGGGTTCTCACTTTTAATAACTAAGTAATCTTAGTTCAATTTCTCAATTTAAGTACATTTTTTTATAAACTTTTTCTAATATAATTACTGTAATTGTTTGATTTAGTTTGTAGAGATGCTTGTAAGAAACCTCAAAGAGGCCCTTAAGACAGGAGAATTTGAGAATGCCAGAATGATGGTAAATATTTTCATTTAAGATTTTGTAAGTTGTTTTGTAAAAAATAATAGCAACTTAAATGATATTGTTGTATAAAAAATATAAGCTAGGTTATTATTTTAAAAAAATGTTTTGATATTTTTTAGGTTCGTTTTTTGGCTGACTTAGTGAATTGTCATGTTTTGGTGGCTGCTTCACTTCTACAAATGTTTGACAGTTTTGTGGAGGTCACACTAGAAGACAATATTCCACAGGTGTTGTGTTTTATATTGGGCCAATAACTAATACTTATGTGACTTTTGAATGTGTTAAATATAATTTTTATATCTATCTTTTATAAATTTTAGGTGCGATCTGACATTTATGTTTATTTGGTACTCTCTGCTTTACCATGGGTAAGTGGCAATTTTCTTAATATCTTTGTTACAAAATAATTATTTTTTCACTTGCATTTAGGTAATTACCAAATGTAATTCTTATTAACAGGTCGGGCAAGAGCTTTTTGAAAAGAAAGAAAAAGAGCTGAATAACATGTTGATCACCATAGATAATTATTTAAGGTAGTAGCTAAAACTGTTTAAGGTAGTAGTAAAATTTTCAAAACATTTATAAGCATCAACTATGGCTTTGTGGAAACTAGCATACACATACACCATCATGTTCCCATTCTAGTTTGTAAAATAAATATTTAGGCATATCGAATAGTGAGTCTGTAAAGTGAATTTGACTTAGTAAAAATAGCTAATTAAATTGTTTCAATTTATAGTTAAGTGTTAAAACTTTGTGATTATTTTCAGCAAAAGACAAAAAATTCATCTACCAGCTTTGCGTGTATGGTTAAATGATGGACCTCATCTTCAAGAAGAAGTAAGAATTTCTTTTGTTCTAACATAGTATTCTTTATAAATCTGATTTGAATGAGGAGATCATTGGGTAAATTCAATATTCTTTCTATGTTCATTATATTTTATTATTGTAGTATTATGACTAAAAAATACTTAAATTCTATTGTATGATTTCAATAGTGTTTTTTTTTTCAAATGTTTTACTTTTACTCTAAAATTTAAATTCTTTTTCCAGTACCTTGATTGCTTATGGGCACAGATAAAAAATCTGCGAAATAACAAGTGGTCTGAGAAGCAGATAATGCGCCCGTATTTGGCTTTTGATGGTGTGCTATGTGATGCTTTACAACACACACTACCACAGATCATACCACCCTCACACAACAAGTCAATGATCTATCCACTGCCTCGAGTTGTGTTTAGGTTGTTTGATTACACTGATGTTCCACAGGTGAAAGTTTTGTTTTCGTACTTCAGTGCTATGGTTGATAAATATAAAGTTCGTTTCTAACCCTTATGTTTTTTAAACCTAATGTGGGTGATTTTTTTTTTACTACAGGGAACTGTTCTGCCAGGTAGCCATGCTATTGAAAGGTACTTGATTGAAGAGCAGATTGATAGAATAATCCATACAAATCATTTGGAGAGAAAGATATGGTTAGTTTCTCTAATTATTTAGAATATTTTGAAGAATCATCTGTATATTTTATTTTTACATGTCTAGTTGCTTCTTTTTTTGTTTAAATATTTATTTGAGTTTTATCATTTTCAGTGCCGATTCTTTACTTGGGTATACTGCTAAGAACAAGATTCCCTTAAACTATATGATTGTTGAGGTAAATAGTTTAGCTTCTTTTTTTTTTTTTTATTCAAACTGAACCACTGTTAGTTTAGTAATTAATAATTTCTTTGTATTGTATAGAAATGTTATAAACCTCTGTGATGTAAAATAAAATTATTTTTTTTTACAGGTTATGTTTGGTCAGTTGTTTGAGCTCCCAAGGTCACCATACCTGGAACTTTTTTATGGTGCCACATTTATTGAATTGTGTAAACTTCAACCTACTTCAATGCCTGAAGTTGTATCCTTAAAAAACACATAACAGAAAATTTAAAGATAATAATGTTCTATCATTTAAGTAAAAGTGGTACACCTACAGTTAACAAAAATGGACATATTAAGTAGAATTATTTTATGAGGCAACAACTTCTCAAATATTTACATAATTGGTTTTTTATGTAGTGAACTGATTATTTCTAATTTTCATCTTGTTAATCATATTATTAAATACTAATTCTTTATAAACCATTTATTTATTAAAGTTTATTCCAGTACTTTAAACAAAATATTGAAATATTTATATACTTAACAACTTTGTACAGCTGGCACAAGCTTCGGAAATGTTGTTTGACAGATTAGACATCATGCATTCAATTTGCATAGAGAGGTAGATTCATAATTCACTGCTCTATATCTGCATGTTTAAACCGCTCATTGTAACAAAATACGATTATTTTTTTATATTTTTTACCAGTAAATGTTATAATAGTTAAAGAAGCTTATAAATTTGATTTTTGTAGTAGGAAAATCTATGTAATACAAAACATGATTTGTATATCGCTAGGTTTGTACATTGGTTTTCTTACCACTTGAGCAACTTCCAATACAAATGGAGCTGGGAAGATTGGGCTGAGTGTGTCAATATGGATCCTAATGCACCAAAATCAAAATTTGTCAAAGAAGTACTACTCAAATGTTTAAGGTGAACAATCTTTTTTTCCCCCCATTCATCTTAAAGTAGTCAATATACTTAGCAAGTTTGTTTGTTACTTTGTTTCAATTGTAACTGTTTGGGAAATAATTCACTAGATTCTCGTACCATCAGAGGGTAGTTGAGTCAGTCCCGGAATCATTTGCGCCTCTCCTTCCACCTGAGCCAAAGCCAATATATAAATATGAACAAGAAGGTGCAGGTCGGTGATTGTGTTTTTTAATTTTTAAAATTATAAAGATAGGGGTAATCTCTTAGTGGACCCTATCTGATAAATACTGCTTGAAAAGATAAAGGTAGTTAAGGTGTAGTTGATATTTTATTTCCAAATGTAAGCTTTTTGTACTCCATACTTAACAGTAAAATAACTGTTTTTGAAATAGGCTCCTTACCTGGTACCATGCATGCTCACAAGTTGATCAGTTTAATTAAAAACAAGTGTACACCAGAAGAAGCAGCTATGATGCTCAAGGATTTACCAAATGTTTACCCAAATGGCCAGGAAAATGGTAAGTGTCTCAAAGTTGTCTCTAACTATAAAATTGTAGTTAATGGCCCCAATGAAGAACAGTCTTGGATTGAATGGTCCATTATATATTTAAAAAATTGGGTGTGTTGTTATTGAAATAAATGTGGTTATAACAACCAGATTTTTTTAATTTTTGTTTTTTGCTTACTGAAACATACTCTCTCAGTAAACTTTTTTTTCACATTCTCTGCATTTGCAAATTTTATTTCATGGGTTCTTAAACTATTAAATATTTCTGAATTTTTTTCTTAACCCATTTTTATCCATGTCAACAATGATGGTCACTCAAACATGCTTGCCTCCATTAGGCACACAGTGCAAAAATGGATTATTGGTTCTTAATTATTGAATGACCTAATTTTTCTCTAAATTTCAGAAAATAAAAATTTCAACCCATTGAAAATTGATGTATTTTTTTCAACACTTCTACACCTTGGCTCAAAGTCAATCAGTCATTCATTTGCAGCTTTATCCAAGTAATGATTGTTAATTTCTTTTTTAAACATTTGTTTACATTAAAAATATACTTAGTTGCTATTTGCATAATTTAATTATAGTCTCGCTAAATTTTTGTGCTTACTTATTAAGTAACATCTTAATTTTTTTCTTAAAAAAACTTTTTTATTTATACTATTAGATTTCATCCAAATTTGAAATCACTGGCTGAATTTGATGATGGAAAAATTTGTCTCTTAAAAGTTCTTTATGAAACATGGAAAAATAATCAACAGGTATAAAATATGACAGCATTTTTTTTTTTAAAGTTAAAGTTAGCTGAAGCTATCACAACTGTTCAAAGATTATAGTTCTTTAAACCATTCTATGTCAAAAAATTTGAGAAAAAAAGCAGTGAAACAAGTAAAGTAACAATTGCACCAGTTACACTTTAAGATTATAGCATTGCTATATTTTATGTCAGTAATTTTCTTGAGTCTGGTTAGGTTATCATTTTGAAATTTGTAACTGAAAGAAATTATATTGTATGTATGTAAAGATACCCATTTTTATTTTTTACAACAGATTATGGTTGTTTTAGTAGACAAATTACTGAGGACTGAAGTTGTAGAGTGCTCTTCGGTTGCTAACTGGTTATTCTCTTTTGAAATGCAACATGACTTTACCAGGTAAATCTTACTAGATGCTATTGTAAGTCTAATTTAACTGTTAAGTAGACATGATTACATTTAATATTTTTTTTAAACTACTTTTTTATTTTTTTTTTAAGTTTTTATGTTTGGGAGATAATGCATAGCACAATTAAAAAGATGAGTCAACATGTGGATCAGTTACAACAGGATGTTGATTTGGCTCATGACAAACAGGAGGCTGCAAAGAGAAAGGTTCGTCAAAGTATTTTATTTGAGTGATACTTCTTATTGCCCTTGATTGTGACTTCTCTATCAAAAATATTTACATTAATTAGTTTTTATTATGAAAATTGAAAGTTTTCAATTTTGTTAAAAATCATGTAACATTCTGTGTCATTAATGATATTACTTTATTTTCTTTCATACTTAATCACCTAAGATTAAAAATATTACTGCATTCTCTCAAAATTATTCTTTGTAACTTTTAACATTAAAAAAATAGACTCAATATCTAATAGACTTAATAATATATTGTGATTTAAAATGTATCTTGTTATAAAATGAATATTTATGTACAGGAAGCAGATGGACTGGATGTTGTAGATGATGATGTTCCAACTGATGAAGCTGTTGAAAGAATGGAAGAAAAGCTTGAAGCTGCATTAAGCGCTCAAAAAAATCTATTTCTCGTTATTTTTCAGGTTTGTACGTTTTTTTTAATTACATCAACAATTGATAGTTTAAACTTGACATTGTTGTTTTGAAATGTTGTTTTGCTATAAGTTAAGAAACAGTATTTTGAAAAATACATTTCAACTTTCAGAGATTCATAATTGTCTTAACTGAACATCTGGCTCGTTGTGAGTCTGCTGGCATTGATTACAATACACCTTGGTATAAGTGGGTTATAGAGAGACTTCAACAAGTATTTCTTCTGGTGAGTTTTTAATTTTTTTAAATTGCTTGCTGCAATTCTTTCCCTACTGGATTGAACTATTGGTAACATTCTTTATTTAATAAATCATATTGAATGATTATCTGATACATACATTTTTAATCATTATGCATAATGTATGAAAGGTGAAAAAGCATTCTACTTTAAATATAATGAAGTAATATCACCAAATCTTATGGTATGGCATGCTCTGGTGGCTGAGCTTAAGGCTATTGACCTATAAATCTCATCTCATGTTTATATTTGGGTAATAAATTGATTGGGTAAAAATTTACACCTAATCAAAGCCCACCAATGTTGGCTAATCTTGTTTAAAATATTGAAGATAAATATTAGCATTTTAAATAAAATTAATATCAAATATATTTTCAGCATCATGAACTTGTTTTTCGATACATCAACACTCTGGAGCAGTTACTGTTTACAAGTGATATTGACATTCATATTCTTGAAGTATTCCAGCAATTCTGTGCACTGAGATCTTAAATCCTTGAACTTAAAAATGTTATAAGAACAAAAATGGGGTGTTTTTTTTAAGCATTTTAAAAATGAAAAGACATTAGCTTTTTCATTTTTAATATTGTCAAAATCTTATGTGATGTTGATTGAGAAACCCCAAGATAACATTTATAGGTATTATGGTTATTTTATGTAACATACAGTTATAAATTTTTAATGTTTCTTCAAACTGTTGTTAAAATGTTATTTTTAAATTTTGTAATATCTTAAAACCATTAGATCTGTTTCAGAACAATTTAAAAAAAAAGAAATATTATTACAATCTTAGTCTATCTGTATCAGCAAACCTAATTAAATATTCACTGAAACATCTGTCCAGCAATCTCATGTATCTTTGAGAGGTATTTGTTTAGTTCTCGTTATTCTTTGAATGCACTGTCATATTTCGAAAATAAAATTTCATTATTTGTTAATTTACTTTAAATGTTTGTTCTCTTTTTGGTTTTTTATGCATTATGTTAATTGAATTATTTCATAAATTCCTGCCAATTTATTAAGTTATTAAGATTTAAAAGAAGTGGAAAAACTGTTTCACTATTTAGAAATAAAACCTGAATTGAGAAATGATTTGGTAACAAGGTTTAATTAAAAATCTAAAAATCAATTCAACTAATGTCAGCTTTTGACAGAAAAAGCAAAAGAATCTCAATTTTAAATAAATAGTAATTTTATTTGTATACATACAATCAGTAAATCATATGATTGAGTATAAATACACAGATCATTAGAAGTCTGTAACTCGTCCCTTTCTCTCCCAATCACCGAATCTAGTAGGTTCAGGGCCTCTTGGTCCTCCCACTTCACCAGTAATTGGGTTAATATTGTCTGGAAATCGTTCTAAAGGTTCTTTCTCTCCTTGGGTTTGAGGTTCTTGCACTTCAGATTTTAATTCAAGTTTATCATCAAATTTTCCAGCTGGTGTTTTTCCTTTCCTTGCTCCTGATTTTGTGTTTGCACTTTCTGAATAACAGCATGATGACTGTGTTATGTGAGGCAATATTATTCCTTTTAAACCTAAATATATAAAATATAAAACTCATATAACAAACCATTTTTATACTTTTTAGATACAACAAAAAGTGTTATTCAATTTTTTTTTTACTATAGCTTTTCTATTTAACATTAAACTAATCATGACAAGTGTTGCAAATATGAATTCGCAATTTTCCTTATTTTCAGGTTACTAGGCATTTCAACATTATATTGATACTACTAGTATTACTAGCTGCAAAGCCTTTTGTATCCCAGACTTAAAAAAAAAATGATGCTTATTTGTTGGTTTTTCAGTCGTCTAGTTCAGTTCCATATAAACAGACCAATGTAGCCACATAACCACATAAATATCTCACCTTATCCAACCCAAACTCTATTCCACCCCTTCTTTATAAATGAACTTCCAACCACCCCCCGTCTGAAAATAAACTTACCTACTAAGTTAACTAAGTCAAATTACTTATTTAACAACAGTTTTGCATTCGAATATTACCACAGTGTAAGTGTAAGATGATCTAAGCTATAACATGTAAGAAGTTACTATAGTATGCCAATTCAACCGTGTAGGGAATTTGCTAAAGCCTTTCAGACGACATGCATCTCATCTGGTTCATGTCCAAGACGACACATAGGGCAGATGCAGTAGAGTTGATCTGTTTTAGTAATCTTAGGGGGGATAATGTCATGGCTAAACTCAGCCGTCATAGTTGCCCTATTGTGAGTCAGGTGACATTGCCAATCAGAGATGGTTGGATGCAGGGACATCTCACAGACTGAAGCTGACAACCATAGTTTAAATATGAAAAATCATTTAAATATTCTTAGTCCTAGTGAATGGTCAAGTGATCACGAACGCTATGGGTTTCTGCATGAGCACTATGGTGCCAACATTTGTTTTAAAGAGTACCCAACATTAAGGATACACTGGATTATTACAACTGATTATTAATAAACTGAAACGGGCTCCTGCTGCAGTGTAACCAGTGGCTCCCCCCTGAGACCCATTATGTTCCTCACACCTGGGTGGTTGCTTCACAGAGGGGTGTTCTACCTCACCCTTGCAGAGTGTGATCAACACACACTTAAGCTTCTAAAAAAGCACACGCTGAGGAATTTGAGAAGCAGTGAGGACAAATCCTTGTTCCAAGAAATATAGTGCAAATTGCATATCTGAGAATAGTTGATGACACAAACTGATGCCCCAGTTAATCTATAGTAAAATGGGGGGTGTGGTGCTGTTCATAACCTATTAGATTAGTATTTGCAGGCTAGATTCAATTTTAAAGTGACTGAAAACTGACCATGGCCTTATAGTGCCTTATACTAAATTATACTTTATACACTAGATTCTAGATCTAGCCTACTCTACTTAACTCTATAGCCTACTATTACTATTTAATATTATTATTTTATTCAGTCAGAGAATAGTCAAGTCATACTCTGACTAGCTAGATCTAGTAGATTGAGATGGTCACTAGTGACTAGACATATGATTTACTGAACAAATGAAATAGACCTAGATTCTTAGGCCCTAATTCAATTAATTATTAACTAATTATTAGGCCTACTAATTAATAATTATTTATTAATTATCAATATTTATTTAACACAACAACACTAAAACAACAACTACTACTAGATCTACTACTACTACAAGACAAGTACACATACACAATGTCATATGTTAGTTAAAATAATATTTAGGCCTAGTACTAGATCTAGTACTAGATCTAGTAGAATAGTAAAGGGTAATCTATCGTTTTGGGTACGTAAAATCGCCCGCGACTAGTAATGTGAAAAACAGGTGACTCCTTAAATTTTAATAATTATTTCACATTTTGAGGAGGATTTATGTTTTTAAAAATTCAAAAATGTTTCCTTGATTCATTTATGTACCTGTTTTTAAACAATTGAATTAAAACTTTTCCGTAATAAATAAAGACTAGCAATGTTTCCAACAGATGCAACCATGCTCATTTACTATAGCAGCCATCTTGTCTAAGTTTTATTTTTATAAGCTTTTAGCGCCAGATTCAGGGGGAAGCCACTCTATTTTACAAATGGCTGCTGTTTATATAGCAAATCTTGCTCTCAGACACTGCTGTTTAAAGTTAATTTCTGGCCTATATCGATATATTTAGCCATTGATTTAGGTTTATTATTCATTTATCTATAATATTTGACACAAAAGTATGACAATACACTTCTATTAAAGCCTTGACAACGAGGTAACGTTTTCGTACATAAATAGCCGCGGGCGATTTTACGTACCCAAAACGATAGATTACCTAGTAAAGTAATATTTTGTATTTTAGTTAGTTCTAGCACTGCAACAGGTTACATTGGCAACAACAGTGACTGATTAAAAAAAAACAATTCCTTTTTATTTTTAATTCCTCTTTCCCAGCTTTTAAATTGCATGGTGATTTAGGCCTAATTATTTTAATTTTTATTTTAACAACTGTGAACTAGATCTAGATCTAGATCTAGAATCTAGATCTAGACTCTAGATGTCTAGACAACTACTACTAGTACTACTAGATCTACTACTAGAGAACTAGTCTAGAACAACTTTAGAGTGATGATTTTTTTTTAATTAGGCCTAATTCTATGTTTATTTTAATAATTTTATCATTCTGAGAAAATTAGTAAACATTTACCAAAAAAAAAAGCCTACTCTTATACTTACACCGCGAGAGCTTTGCTCTTGAAGCTTGAGTTATTGACATTGTTTTATTATTGAATTGAATTATTTCGTAAGATCATAAAATTTTTAGACTCGCCAAATTAAAATCTCGGTTTTTAAAAAGACAAATTAAATATGTACAGGGTAATTTATACTATATGATTAATCATGGACCGATAAGTTATGTTCCAGTTTTCTATAAAAGCCTGCAATCATTGATGTGTGTATTTATTTCTATTTATAAAGTTAAAAAAACAATACTTTAAGTAATGGAAATAACGTAAATATCTAGGGTAAACAAAGGTTTAGTCGTTTATACTAGTTTATAGTTAGTGCGAATTTTTAAAATACACATTTTCCGGAAGTAATCTGTATCTATGAAATATAAACAATTCATCATTTGGAGAAGTTATGTCAGATTGAAAATTTTATTATTTGTAAGTGATCTGTAAGAAAAATGCAATTGTTTTTGTCAATTGGCTTTAAAGTATAAAGTATTTTAAGACTGGCATTAATTAATAAATCAAGTTTAGGCCTATTGAATTGTATTATTTCAAATTTGTCGGTGAGTGACCGTGAGTTTCTCAAATTTTGTGTTTCAACTTTCAACTGTTTCTTTCTCAGTCTTACAAACATGTGTTTCAAGTTTGATTTTCTTATTTTGTGTACAGAAGTCTGGTGTCTTGGTGAAGAGATCTCGGTAATCTATCGTTTTGGGTACGTAAAATCGCCCGCGGCTATTAATGTACGAAAATGTTACCTCATTGTCAAGGCTGTAATAGAAGTAGGCCTATATTGGGTAATCTATCGTTTTGGGGACGTAAAATCGCCAGCGACTAGTAATGTGAAAAACAGGTGACTCCTTACATTTTAATAATTATTTCACATTTTGAGGAGGATTTATGTTTTAAAAATACAAAAATGTTTCCTTGTTTCATTTATGTACCTGTTTTTAAACAATTGAATTAAAACTTTTCAGTAATAAATGAAGACTAGCGATGTTTCCAACAGATGCAACCATGCTCATTTACTATAGCAGCCATCTTGTTAAAGTTTTATTTTTATAGACTTAAAGCGCAAGATTCAGGCGGAAGTCACTCTATTTTATAAATGGCTGCTGTTTATATAGTAGTATTACTCGCTAACTTGGAGGCGTGGTCGGTTGCTAACAACAATATGGCGCCCGGACCGGACGCTTGACTTCCGACGATTTTTCGGCCAAATTCCAGAGACCTTCTACTAATTAGTTTTTAAAATGTTTACCACGCGCAAAATGGCGGGACTTTCACGTTATAACAACAAGCTATAGGTGGCAGGGCTATATATGCCAGAAAAGCATTTTAAAATTTGCGTTGGAGAATGAAGGCTAAATTTAAAAGTTGGTTTCATCAAAAATACTAGAACTTTTTAAATATCGATTTCCATATTACAAAATTGATTTCCATACTAAAGCATTATTAGTTTTATCAGTCTATGAAAAAATAAATCAAATATCGTCAACCGTTTTTTTATGAGACCAGCCGAAAAAATGACAACCAAATTTTTTTTGAAAAAAAAACCACGTGACCATTATTTGGTGATCACTACTGAGGAACTCTTGTGCATGGCCACTTAAAAAGTCTAACTTCATTTGTGGTTTTCTTTAGCTTCAAGCTTAAGAAGAGTTGTCATGGAGAGATGTGTTGGACATGGCAGTGATTGACAATAAATATTAAATTAAGTAATTTAGTTTAAAACGAACTAAAAACTCCAAAGTTAGTGCCTAATGGATTAAATATGGATGTCTATTATTCAGTGGTCATGTTTAAATTGATAATTGCGTAAATTCTAGATTTAGTGAGAAAAACTATTATATAGCAAATCTTGTTTGCAGACACTGCTGTTTAAAGTTAATTTCTGGCCTATATTGATATATTTAGCGATTGATTTAGGTTTATTATTCATTTATCTATAATATTTGTCATTTTATTTGACACAAACATATCACAATATACTTCTATTACAGCCTTGACAATAAGGTAACGTTTTCGTACATTAATCGCCGCAGGCGATTTTACGTACCCAAAACGATAGATTACCGTATATTGTAATATGTTTGTGTCAAATATTATAGATGAATGAATAATAAACATAAATCAATGGCTAAATATATCAATATTGAATATAGGCCAGAAATTAACTTTAAACAGCAGTGTCTGCAAGCAAGATTTGCTATATAAACTAGGTTTAATTATGGATTTTTTAAAATAAAATATTCTGTTATTTCAAATACACCATTAAGTTCCTTACCCCTTAAGAGAACATTTGACACCACATTAAAATATCTAGCTTACTCGGTTGACGAGAAAAGAGAGAATTTAAAATTTTTCCGAGAATGGAAAATGAAAGTCAGAACATCGTTTTTGCTCCTCGACCGGCATAACATGACGTCGTGGACTTGTGTGCACGAGCTTTTAATTCCCGCCCTGGTAATTGCGTCAGCTTAGGTTATTTACTCACCGGAAAATAACAAAAAGCAACTGGTTGATAATAAAACTAGATCTAGTTATTTTATTATTTATTAAATTCTACTCTACATGTTATTCATACCATTTTATGAAGTAATGAACACCTGCATAAATCAAATGACCTTAATAAATATTTTTATTTCAAATTCTAATTTTAAATAATAAATATGCATAAAATAATATGATAGTAATAGTTAAGATAGTTTATAAATACAAATACATTTTACACTCAATCACATTATATTGAGTCAACAGTGTGGCAGCTGAGGTTCATACATGGTATTAGTGTCTTTTTTTTTTTTTTTTACATTACATTTTTTTTTCATCTTGAAAACATGACGCATGAGATTTTTTTTTTAAAAATAAAATCTCCAAACATCGTCACTCGTGTGATTGCTTGCTTATGTTTACTATCCTGTGGATGAAAAATCCCACCACGGTCGCGGGGTCACCGTGACTTCAGCAGGCCTATAGTACACGTCATAGAATGAACACGCGTACACGAGATGGTCAGTGTCTTCACTTCTCTCTCTCTCCCCCCCCCACCCTTCTTCAAGCTAATTGAAAAACAGACCTATTTCCCTACTCCTGGTCATTTTTTTTAAAGCTCGGTCATTTTTTTTCAAAGTTCGTATATCAGGCATGCTAGACAGCCAGCTGTATAAAAAAATATTTTTTTAACTAGATCTACGTCTAGCTTAAAAAAAAAAATAAATAAACGCTTAAAATGCCCGTAAACAGATTATTTAGCGCAAGCAAAAAAAAAAAAAAGGCAGCTGAAAGAGAATTTTTTAAAATACGCAGCAATGAAAAAGGCTAACGGCCATGAAATTAAGTCTAAAAATCGCCCGTAATTAGGCCTAGCTCTGAAAAAGGCCACTGAACGAGCATCACTGATTATATAACGCGGCGTTGATGAGGTTAACCACCGGTCACGAATGCAGCAAGAAAAAATCAATATACTAATAAAATTACTAATACATTAATAATGTCCATAATTTTACTTTTTCCGCACATGCTACAATTGAATTATAATTAAAATACTAGACTTAACAGTTCATTCCGTAAAAAACAAAAACTAGTTGTTTCAGTCTGGCAACTAGCGTAGCAATGACGTCATGATACTAAAAATAGCGGATAGAAATGTCCGCGTGGGTACCTCATTTATGAATAAGATTTTGGAAACCAGAAACAATAATACTGTAAATATACATGGTTAATATCTCAATTACATATTAATTTAGCCGTATACGAGCCGTTTTCCCCGTTATACGGCCGTTTTTGGCGGCGGTTCAGTTTCTACGGAGAGTGCTCCAATAGAAAACCTCTCATTATTTACAACCACAATTCTCGCTATTTTTTCTGGCTTTCTAAGGCATATTATCCATTTTATTAGCATCTTGTGTTAAAATAATGATGAGAATTTGCGATATAAACAGTTTTTTCATTTGTCGTGGATGGGACCCCTAAAATAAACGTAAAAACCGTCAGAAAACGATGCGTGACGTTTCAGGGTCAGAGGTCAATCCTGCCATCTAAGCAACGCGCCTGACTAATATAAACAGCAGCCATTAGTAGAATAGAGTGACTTCCGCCTGAATCTGGCGCTATAAGTCTATACAAAAAAACTTTAACAAGATGGCTGCTATAGTAAATGAGCATGGTTGCATCTGTTGGAAACATCGCTGGTGTTCATTTATTAGTGAAAAGTTTTAATTCAATTGTTTAAAAACAGGTACATAAATGAAACAAGGAAACATTTTTGTATTTTTCAAAACATAAATCCTCCTCAAATTGTGAAATAATTATTAAAATGTAAGGAGTCACCTGTTTTTCACATTACTAGTTGCGGACGATTTTACGTACCTAAAACGATAGATTACCGAGATCTCTCACCCACAACCAATGGCTTGGGCTTGAATTAGTTTCATGTTTTTGATTTCGACTGTAAAACACTAAAGTGTGTCCTCACTTGACACTAATGTATGAGTCAATCACAACAGTCAATGAATGATAATTAGGAATGAATCATGAATTAGAATGAATTTTATTAATATTTCAATGCAAGAAAATATAATAGGATGCTTTTATTTAAACCCCACCCCCTGTTAATTAATTTATGAGATTAAAATAAGGAAGTGGCTATTCGGACCCGGGTTCGTATAGCCTCGGCCGCTATTGGGACCTGGTATAATTATAGTTGTTATTAGTTACATTTATAGTTCTTATGCCCATGTAGGCATATTTTTGTTGTGCGCAGATCATTATGTCTGCCAGAATTTAGTCCAGAGCTGCTGCCACCTCGTTTTTCTAAGAACGGCCCACACCTAGAGCTAATTCTTTTGTTGACTGCCATTGCCTACCTTCTATGGCAAAAATAAATATGCAGGAAGGACGCTATGTGGAAGCAAAGAAACTGTATCGATATTGCCTATTCTTTGGCAGTGCAAGGCCAGAAAGATTTTCAATACAAAATTAAATCTTAAGAAACAACCCTAAGACTTTGGAAGTGTCCAACAAACATGGATGAGAATCCAGCTGAGGATGCTGGGATCAAGGAAAATGCAACGGCTGATTTAGGTCATGATGATGAATCTATTGGGGTTGAGGTATCAACCACACAACTTGTTGATATTGCACAGTGCACTTCTGATACGGCAAGCTGCTGGTTTGAGCACATTGTTTTGGACAAGTGCAGCTAAAGGGTAGGCCCAGAGTGAAGCAGCTCTTTACAATGCGGAAAAGAAAGAGGCAGTTGTCTTGGCCGTATTCTCACCTTACCCTAGAAATCAGAAAGTCTATGATATTATCATCCCCGAATTGAGTCCGAATATTAAAATGCCCATTAGTATCGATGACTTGAAACCCATGGGGCAATTCAAAGACACTGTTTTTAGTGACAGTATAGACATAACTATTGCAGAGTCTGCTTTTACCAAGGATGCCTGGTTATTTATTCAAAAGTGTATCATTGTAAAATATTTATACTTGATGATCAAATGTTTTTCTTTAATTTCATTCATTACAATGCCATAAAATGATAAAAACTAAAGATTGTTTGCAAACTAAAAATTTAAATTTTTGTACCTGTACTTCTTTGTGTCTATTTTTCATAAGTATAGTTATGAGTTATATAACATTCAGGTATAATGTATAAGGAAGATCATCCATTTTTTAATAGTCTTGCATTTAGATAATAATGAGATTTGGCAAGATTAGCAATGCTTTCATAAATTACAGTTAAGATGTTGAATAAAAAAAAATCAAACCCCAATTCCAGAGTTGGGGTCAAGGGTCATTATACTCTGCAAGACAATGACTGACTAATATGCTATCTCCCCAAAATTTTAATTATTTAATTTCTTGTTTTAAATCAATTTAAATATTATGGTTTCTTGTGTTCATTGTTAATTATGTTTTAATGTTGTTTTTTAAAATGCTAGTTATAATTATTAAAATAATAATAATTAATATAATACCAGAGGCGTTTCCACCTCCTGACCTCATTATTTCAGTGACCCAATTTTTTTTATACAGCCCTTACCTACTTAAACAATTATAGTTCCTATGTTTTTCTAACCAGATTTATGTATTATACATCAAAATGAATAGAAATGAAATTTCTATAGTAGTAAATGAAGATAATTGTGAGTTGTGTTAAAGAATGTAGGTTTTTTACATGTTAAATGACTTGTTAAACACCACATGTTCTTAGGATATTTGTGTTGTTCCAATAGTAGTCTAGTTTTCCTCATGAGTTGTGAAACTACTTTACTTGTTCAAAACACCAAATGTTCTTAGGATATTTGTGTTGTTCCAATAGTAGTCTAGTTTTCCTCATGAGTTGTGAAACTACTTTACTTGTTCAAAACACCAAATGTTCTTAGGATATTTGTGTTGTTCCAATAGTAGTCTAGTTTTCCTCATGAGTTGTGAAACTACTTTACTTGTTCAAAACACCAAATGTTCTCAGCGTCTCTACTGATCTAAATCCATGGTTGTTCATGTCGTAACCTTTACATCGAATTGTTCATTAACTCTTCACTTGTTCAAATGACAAGCTGTCATTATTATCTGTAATTGTTCAAATGTCTAGTTGGACTAAAAATGACGAACTCCAATGTACTCACTGAGTTGGTTAGAAAACCACTGGCTCATCACATAGTGCACCGTTGTCTGAGGATAATTTTGTTTGACTTAATGATCTCACTGGCTAAACACAGTAGATAATTCAAATAAGAAAAAATGTTATGAGCCTGATTTTGAGCTTTATAACGCTTGGTTTTGGGGAGAGACATGATGCATATGATCGTCACACTCAGTATCAACTTTACACTTTACAAGACCTGAGTGACGCGGCTTAACTTTACCTGAAGTGATTTTTATATAAGGAAAAGTATGACGTTTTAATTCGATCTGTTCTTGTATTTCCTACAGTTGGCCTAATCTGGTGGGTCTATTCTGGTAGGGTTAAGGTTAATGTATTTGTCTATGAGTGCACTCTATGGACACCATATACTTAGCACCATGACAACCAGTAAACACGCATATTGTCAACATATTGTTTAGACCACGAGTGTCAGCGGCGTGGTAACCGTCTTTGTAAAGTCTCGTCCCATCTACTAGTCTTTGTAATTTCTCATCACATTTAAAATTAGAAACATGATGTGAATGTGTGTGTGTTTTGTAGAGTGGGTGTCTGTCTAACACACCCATTAGATCCAGCTTATGATTATGTAGGCGATGTGTGTGGGAAGCCTAACATACCAAGTGGACTTAGGTTATAATGTGAGTGGTGTGTGTGGGGGGGGGGGGGGGGGGGGGTCTGGATAACGTGCTCATTAGACCCAGGTTGTAATAATGTCGTTGAACCAGAAGACTCACGTACAGTACATTGTCTAATATCCCCCCCCCCCCTCTTCTTTAAAAAAAATGGTTCCATAAGTTGAGACATACCTCCACAGGGCACCCATGTCTCAAGTCAAACCTCGCCACTGTAGAGTTGTGTACCAGAAAACTTGCATTCAGCTTGTCTAGCTCTGGCCGGAATATCGGCGCTGTATTTTACGTGTATTGCTCCCTTTGGTAGGCTGATCCTTCATTGAGAGATTAAATAAGGTGGATTACCGGCTTAGATTACCTCGGACTTTGATCTAAGCCAGGGATTGTTTGACCGTCAGGTCTCCCATGTTTCCCGTCATTGTCAGTTCCACCAAATATTCCAAAAATCATTACCCGGCCCACGTCGTAGGAACCCCAGCCCGGCTATATTCACACTCTATGAAAGACTTGTAAAACTTATTTCCAATTCACTTTTGTTTATATTCGAATGAAAATGGCCCCTAAAGTGAGAGAAGAATGATCGTTTGGTTGTGGGGGATTAACTCATCACATGGACTCCTGAATCTGAGCTTTTCTTGTCTTAATCCCCCCATTGACGCCTCGGGAGTTGTCGCTCCTTGCCGGGAGAAAATGAATTGCTGCCAAGCTTTCGCTCCGGTTTTTATTTTCTCTGTCGGTCTGAAGCCAACATCAGGCCTGTTATTGCTTGTCGGTTTCCTGCCGTCTGCTGGTTATTGAAAGTCTGCCACCTTGTCATTTGTAGATCGAGTGAAGTATCTGGCCCACTACACGTTCCTCCGTTTTATCGTTTGTTTGCCTAACTCTTGTGCCGCCCGAAATTCGATTTTCACTCTGCTGACGGGGCTGTGATAAGGACACAAGCTGTGTGGAACACTGGGCACAGATTGAAACATAAAGCACATTTTGACAAGAGTAAACATCTAGAGGTTTTCATTTTATCTTTCTTATTCTCACTTGTAAAGCGTTTCGTTGGTTCTGGATTGAGCCGAGATTGAAAAGGATTGCTGTAGTATTTGTAATCGTAAACTTAAATACTGCCAGCGTTATAATGTTATTACATGACCGTATCTTTATAAGTACACAGATTATTACATTTATTTATAAAGAAAAAGTACTTATATAGGGATATTTTTTTCAAGGTAAATTCTGTTTTTCGAGCTATTTTGTTCTGAAAAGCTTTAGAATGTAGATCTACATTATAGTTATTAGTCAATTTTGATAACCATATATTGTAGATATGATGTATAATGAGTATATCAATGCAAGCTTTTGTGTGATTCAAATAAAACCCCGCGTCATATTTCAAAGGTTGAAATTGTCCTAATTTGCTTGCATTACTTTGTGCAATTGTTTCTGTTGATTTTTGGTTCCCTACACATATTGATGTTCCCTTCACTCGCTGATGTCAACATTTGTACATCATCATGTTCCCTTCACCATAGATTTGAAAAACGAAAAATGTAAATTTTAACGTTGCTGTCCACGCCATGCAAGCGCCTACAAAAATCATCGTGAACATCATCACGCGTGAATGTGATGTCAGGGCTAACAGCACGCGACTGTCAGCTGTTCTGGCTGTAAAGCCATGCTTGCGGCTGTTTGAATGTATAAATGTTAAGGCAGTACCAAGAAGACAGTAGCCGTAATGGACATTCTTCATTGGTTTTGAAATAGCCTTACCACATTTCATTATCTGAACTAAAATTTAACTTTCAGTGCTGATTCTTGAATACTTTTAGTTTAAATAATCAGAATAGCTCTCTGCCTACTACGTTTTGTAGTTGTTCTAGTCCATTCTTACATTGTATTGTAGGGGAGCAGGTCAGCGTAGTAGAAAGTCTTTGACTATCGCAATACTCGTGTTTCTCTACTGTTTGTACGCCGCAGTACTCCCTGAATACGTTGATCCGTGTGTTGATGTAAGTGATATGCTGTCTAATATTTCTCTACTGTTTGCTTTAGCTTGAGCTGCTTGTAGTCTTTAGCCAAGCCGGGGTTTCTCTTTCTACGTTCATTCATGCTGAAGTAAAGTGATCTACCTTCAATTCTAAACATAACTTTTACGATCAATAACTGTTTTCTTAAAGGGTTTACGTTTCCATTATTTGCACATCGCGTCCCCACCCGTCCACAAAGCTTTCATCACATGAATGTTTATGTTCGACTTGTGGCAAGCACAGCGCCGACCTCCAAGACCTCCGCTACTTTTAAAGTTGACATACCACTTTACCAGGCTAGGTTCAGCTCCGTCCAGCAGTTAAACTATCCACGGCTTTCAATAGAAATGTCAACTCGTTTGTTACTTCAACGGAACAAACTACTACAGTAGAATAGAATTTTATGGTAGAAATAGGTTGGTCTAAAAACTCTATAGCAATCCGGCGTGTCTACATCGCGAGGCCCGCCATTCTGTGGGCGACATTAATGAATGCTGCTTATGCTAAGCCCGACATAGGGCTGGAATAATCAATATAACGAAGATATTATCTCAGCCAACTCGGCCGATCTAATCTCTTTTATTGGTTATCAACTTTTGACGCCCGTGTAAACAGAGTTTAGAAAGAAGAGACTGAACGCAGGCCAATATCAAAGCGATCAATAGCGCAGTACTGCGGTGCCGTGTGGGTGCCGTGTGGGTGCCGTGTGGACGGATATTTACAGCCGTGAACTGTGTGCACAGCTGTGCTTCCTGATACAACTTGATAAGCTTTTCCTGTGTAATATCAGTTTTGTGTGTATGTTTTAAATGTGTAGGTAGTTCCTTGTTTTGTTTCAGATGTAACTTGGATTAATTAACACAGTTGAGTTTGATTTTTTTTGTAATGAAAATTTGAAAATAGTGTTTTATGTTTTTCCTCTACCAGATTGGAGATAGTTTCCTGTGAAGCAGACGCGAGCCATTTAAATCCTTCTCCCAGTCATGTCTCCCTGAGCCCGCACGTTGGATGAGGTGGCCGAATGACATGATGGGACGTCTGTTGCTCGCCTCACCATGACTCGCTATTCAAGGGCAGGAAACTCCGACATGTTGCTGCCCAAAAGCAGAATCGAGTTCTCCAGTCACAGGGTCAAGGTCGGGGGTCAAAGTTTTCAGTCGGCATCAGATGCGCTCTCGGCGTACCTGCAGCAGTTTGAGGCAACAGAGAAACGGGGGAGCTCGAGGTCACGTGGGCAACTGACCAATCAACATGGCAGCTCAAAGTCCAGTGTTCACCTGACAAACCAGAGGAGGAGCAAGGAGTTCACTAGGAGCAGGGGCCTGAGTGGACACAAGGAGGATGTGGAGAAGCTCTTCACATCTAAGGTAGGTCTATCTATCACACTATCTCACACACTCTTTTAGAGCAGGGGTCTAGGTGGACACAAGGAGGATGTGGAGAAGCTCTTCACATCTAAGGTAGGTCTCTCTATTAGACTATCTCACACACTCTTTTATAGTTTATGGCACAACTTACTTGTATCAACATGCACACATTAAGGAGAGCACAAACAAGTCTAACAACAAAGACAACACAAAAGATCTATTGATTAGTTGCTTGCACATTGTAACATTGATCTAAAGGTCAGCCAGTCTTTTGTTACTGGGAAATCTTTTGTTGAACTATTACAGGTTTAATTGCTACATGTTACAGGAAAAAAAAATGATTAAAATATAATTTATATCTGAATTAGGGCAGATCTTACTACAGTTACTACAATCACACATACTGTACAATACATAGAGAGATGGAAACTGACTAAACTTTATACTTTCTTCTGTCTAGGTGTCTCAGCTACGAGGTGTCAGGAATGATGATTTGAGAGAGATAAAACTGACAAAACTCCTCAAGCAGATTGACCCTGATCAAGAGGGAAAAACTGAACTACAGGAAGAAGGTTGATTCTTTTCTGTCCTCATTTTATTTGGTGTTGCACAATAAACTTACTTCCTTATATGCCTATCATTTCTACAACATAAATAGTGCCACATGCCCATATTTCCTACAACATAGATAGTGCCACATGCCCATATTTTCTACAACTTAAATAGTGCCATAATATGCCCATCTTTTCTACAACTTAAATAGTGCCAAATGCCCATATTTTCTACAACTTAAATAGTGCCACATACCCATATTTTCTACAACTTAAATAGTGCCACATGCCCATATTTTCTACACCTTCTATAGTGCCATATGCCCATCTATTCTGCTACTGTAGTGTAACATCTGCTGTTGTTTATTACAGTGGAAGCTGCATTGCTCAGGTCCGCCCAGCTGCTTGAAAAAGTGACAAAGGACAATAACCCCGTCCCTAAAGCTGCCCCTAGTGACATAAGCAGCATCCCTACTGATGTTCTACTTCTGGAGTCCAGGCTATCCATCAACAGTTCCAAGTTTATTGAGAAACCTCCTGGACATATTTATTCATACAGAACTCCACGTGCCAGACAACCTTTACAAAACCATAATTTCTCTCCACCTCACTCTCCTGTCTCCTACTCTAGAGAAAGGAAAAGACATTCCTCCCTAGACTTGCTGTGTCCGCGCTACAGTAATGGCAGCAGTCCTTCACTCTCCCAAGTCTCGGATTCTGTTATCAGCCGGTGCAGATCTGTCTCACCTGCTGTGAGAAATCCTTCACTGCCACTACCTGGGGGGCTTAAATATTCAGACCCCAAGAGTGCTGTACCTAGCTGGGTAAAGGATGAACATTCCTCAGACATTTCTGACTCGGTCTGGACTTCAAAAAATTTACAGCCAACTGAAAACAATGACCAGTCTAAGCTCGTACCAAACTGGGTGAAACAGATGAGCAATGGCAGCCATGTTGAACCCACAGAACACCTTCATGCAGATACGTCAAACAACTCTAAAAATCATCTCCATCTTTCAAATTTGACTCAAAGTGTGTTACAAACACCTCATAAACATTTCACACTGTCTGATGATTATTATTCAGTGAAGCAGCCCAAGCACTCCACGCCAGTTCACCATTCATTGAGGACTTTAGACAAGTTTTACCAGCATCCACAAGTGAGTCTAGTTGCCAGAAGTGAGCCCTCGACCAGTGTGGGCGTGTCTGTAGTGGGGGCAGGTCAAGCCAAAGGTCCAGCTAGCAGCCCGTCCAGCGTGGACACACTGGCTTTACTCACAGGAAACTTTGGGGCAAACAGCTCACACAGGAACAAAGATATTAAAACTGGTGGGTTTTTTCTGGTTTGTGTAGTTGCTGCTTACAGTACTGTTGTTAAATAAATTGTTACAGGTAACAGATTTAGGCTGAATTTTTTTTCAGGGTAGTTTTTTTTTTACTTGAAAGAACAAGATATTACGAATTTCAACCAAAGATTTTGAGCTAATTTGTACTAAAAGAAATATTTTTTTGCCTCCTATTAAGTTTTAACTTTTTTTATTAGTATCAACTTTTATTCTTGAAAAAACTTCTCACCAACAGATAGTCAAAGGGTGACCTCCCCGTGTGCTTCTGTTATTGGTAACTGTCCCAGTTCTGTAAACAATGGCCTGGATCTTTATTCACTGGATGGTCTAGATGGTGACAGGCCGTGGGAACAAATAACAAATGCTTTGTACGTATTTTTTAAAAATCTTAAACATTTTACATTTTTACAATGAAATTAAGATGTAGTGCTTTAATTGTGACATTCAACCCTCACTCGTGGTGTAACAGTATGTTTATGTTCCTAGCAAACCACCGGTTCATGTAGATGATACTCAGTGTAGGACTTTCTCCAAGTATGAGGTAGGTATCTACATTGTTGCTCCAAGAGCAGTTAAACTAGAATTATTTATCTACACTGACTAATTGTGTATTCACATTTTACTGATTCAAATTGAACTTTAACTTAAGAAGTTTAATATTGTAAAAGATAGTTTATCTGGTAAATTATTTCTGACTAAAGTTAAAACAGCTGCTAACACATTTAGAATATTTCCATGTCAGAATATTGAAGGAAAACTGACTAACGTTAAACCATCTGCTAACATATTTCAAATATTTCCATGTCAGAATATTTAAGGAAAACAGACTAAATTTAAACCATCTGCTAACATATTTCAAATATTTCTGTATCAGAATATTGAAGGAAAACTGACTAACGTTAAAACAGCTGCTAACATATTTCAAATATTTCCGTATCAGAATATTGAAGGAAAACTGACTATGTTAAAACAGCTGCTAACATATTGAAGGAAAACAGACTAAATTTAAACCATCTGCTAACATATTTCAAATATTTCCATGTTAGAATATTGAAGGAACATTGACTAAATTTAAACCATCTGCTAACATATTTCAAATATTTCCTTATCAGAATATTGAAGGAACATTGACTAAATTTAAACCATCTGCTAACATATTTTAAATATTTCCTTATCAGAATATTGAAGGAACATTGACTAAATTTAAACCATCTGCTAACATATTTCAAATATTTACATCTCAGAATATTGAAGGAACACTATCTGGTGGTAAACAGCCTGGTAGTATTGAAGCCTTGAAAAATATGCTTTTTAAACTTCAAGCTGAGGAAAGCTCTGTAATGGAAGAACAACTAATGGTGAGACTCAATCTTTTTTTAAGAATCTTTTATGGGCATCTGATCTTGCATCAGTAAAATATTTTGGTTTCTATAAGTATAAGGAAAGCTTTGAACCAATAATTCGAGTAGAACTCTTAATGTTGCTTTCTGTGGCTGCTATTGTTATAAATATAATTGATTTTCAAGGGCATAACTAAATTAAGTGTTCTCTCCCTTTGTGTGGTTTAGGCCAGTGATCAAGAAGATTTTAAGAAATTCAACTCTGATGAAGATTTAGACCTGTTGCCAGCTTTAAAAGATTATGATTTTAAACAAGAGCCCGGAGGACAATCACTAAAAAAGTAAATAATTAATTTTTAGATTAGAAAATTCGTTAATAATAATAGTTGTCTGCTTTCCTTGATTCACACAAGCAGTTATTATTTAAAAACAGATGAGTCTAAAAAAGGTAATAATTCAGCAATAATTTGCTGAATCACATCCTCATTGTTTTAATCCTTGGTTTAATTTTTATGTTCTGCCAATTTTTTATTACCCTAACTATTGTTTTTTGATACAATAATATTCTTTGCTGTAAAATAACTGTGTTATAGCCTAATTTGTTAAAGCATAGTAAATGTTTAAAAAAACAGTTTTAAAATGTCAATACTGCTTTTGAAGTATAGTTTAGAATTTGATTATGTTAAGTTAATTTATTCTTCATTAATAACATCACTTACAATTACAATTATAGAAAATCTATTTTTGATTCACTTACTTTTTCCTGACTGCAAGGTCAACTTAACACAAATTTTAACCCAAACTCTTCTTTTAAAAATAAATTATGCACATGGGTTTGATCTTTTTGATGGTCTTTCATTTAATAAATGTTATTAAAATAATATTATTTTATGTTTATTATCATCTTTATTATTTATTAATTTTTTAAATGTTGAATTTTTTCTTACAGAGCTCTTGTGCACTTGAACAAACTCAAAGAACTAGTGAAATCAAATCAGTATGATACAACTGTCTGAAGAAGAAAAATTTGTGTTAAATTTTAACCTGTAGTAAACACAATTATATTTAAATCTTACAAAATTTATGATTTTTAAAAGTTTTTTTCTCAATTTTTTTTCTACTATAAATTTGGATAATAGAATACAATGATATAAATATGTGGAAACCTAAGTTATATATAACTTATCAGTTTGTGTCCGATTACAATTGACCAACCTAATGTAGAGTTCTTTAAATCTGTATAGAGATCCAAAATTCTCATGAGGTTCTAATTAAATTTACCTTTGTACCCTACATTTTAAACCATTAGTCTTATGATTTTATATTTCCATTGGTGCTTTAAAATATATTCCAATTTTGTTAAATAAAATTAATAGGCACAATTCATTAATGTAATCTTTATTAGTTTTTATAGATCCTTTGTTATGCTGTCAATATTTAGTTTTAAAGACTAATAAAACATTTTCCTAACCATGGGCCATAGAGTAGATACAATTAGGGGAGTTAACTCAAGAGATTCTGTCTTTGGTGTATGAGTTGTCATCTTTGATTTAGACTGCTTTATTCATTCCGTCCAGATGTGATACATTGTTTTTAACTGTCATTAATTTATCATAAATTATTTATAACATTTTGTAATAGTTTCTGCTTGTTCAAGCATCATATCACTATTTTGTAAACTGATTTATTTGTGTATCTTAATTTTGTGTATTATGGTGACTTTTTATTTTTAATCTTTAAAGTTGCCTTTTTCCTGTATAAAATGTAATTTATAATTAAATAACTTTTTAAAAATCTATTTTGATATTTTATTTAGCATAAGTGTTAGGGTGGTATGTAAATAATTAGGGCAGTAGAGAAAAACACCAAAAGAAGTTATTAAAAAAGAACATTTAATAATCTTGTCTTTATTCCATGCAGCAGCAAACACAAAGTACCAGGGCATGATAAATGACAAAGTGTACAACAGCTAAACAAGCTTAAATTTAACTGACATCTATTTTAACACTCAAAATGTCATTCCAAATGAATTGCTGCTTTAAAAAAATGATACATGACAGGGATAAGCTACCATAAGTGCCATTTTTAGATAATTTTCATTAATTGCTCTTTTTAAACTCTAATAGGTGAAATTTCCAAAATGAGAAAAATGACAATTTGAAAGCACTCCCTGAAAACATTTAGATTGTGTTTATTTATCACAGATACTTTCCCAACATACAAATTATTTACATGACTAATATATGTGATAAATGTTTTTGTTCCTTCTATTCAAAGTTACGGTACACAAGAGTCCTGCAGTTTGTACTTCAACATCATTTAACAATCAGTACATAAAGGGCAAATCAAGTGACAACAAAACTATGCAGTTGAAATAATCAAAACATCAAATATCCAAACATTTTTTGACCCCTTTGATCAAGTATTATTTTGTTCCTGTCCATTAGAGTTGCATTGTAATGTACCAACAAGTCATCCTGTTGTTTGCCAGGTAATTTAGCAACAAGCTATCCTATTGGGGTTGCCAGATAATATAGCAACAAGCTATCATGACCAAAAATGAAATGGTCTGTAATACAAATACAGTTCATTTATACAAAAATGGTACAATTAAAAGTGGCGCACTTTTTAAAAAAATCTACCTTAACTGTTTACATAATGATGTGTGGATACTGAGAGAAACTGAATCTATAAGCTGAAGGTGAAAAATGGCCTCACAACAAGTTCACTTAAACTAGTTGGTTAAACAACTTTCCAGACATTACAACAAAATCTACACAATATAATAGAGTTGTAACAGCGCAAAGATTGTAATCAGATTGTAATAAGAAATATATTAGTGGAACTAGAGGATATATGTTTCATATATCTGAAATCATATATATATATATATATATATATATATATATATATATATATATATATATATATATATATATATATTGTATTTCCCTTTTACCGAACTGAAATGGTCAATTGAGATTCAAAAGACAGAATTGTAAATAGACTTCACATTTTTATTATTAGTTACAAATCAAATACTTAATTAATTTTCTCTAACAACTAAATAAATTAACATTTTATTAGTGGAGGTGCACTGAGACCACAGACACAACATACATTTTAAAGAACTTCATTTGAGAGAAAATACAGCAAATATTGTGGTGACAGTTACATCAACTAGCGGTTCTCCAGTATGATTGTTCACAAAAGCTTTGATGTTATTTTCGTCCCTTTTAAAACCATTTTCTGTTACAATACATACTAAATAATTAAACTGATTCGGAAGTTTTTTCTAATTTACAAAAAAAAAAAAAAATCAAGGCAATTAAAAAAAATTTCAAACTGTTCTCAGGTATATAAAAGTAAACACAATAAGGCAAAAGTTTGATTTAGCAAATTAAGGTCCATATCATAATCAAGACTGCTTAACCATTCCCATAAATCTTCCAACACAAACTCTTGTCCAAAACTCGGACAACAAGTTAAGAGAAGAAAAAACATATTTGTATCCAGGCTATTTGGACAACAGTGACCCTGATTGAAAAAGAGAAAGAGGCTAATTTACTATCTACAACAACAAAGCTCACAAGAATAAGACTAAAATGGCAACTTGCTTAAAACAGCTTTTACTTAACAGTTGATAATGACGAGGAAACATATATTTTGTTAAAACAATGTACAAGATATACATTATATTTTGATTGAAAGAGACCACTTCACACAGAATAAGAATAGCAACTGCTCTTTTGTTAAAACAGTCTAAAATGATTTACCAAACATAGTCTGATCCAAAGCATTGTCTGAATGTAATTGTTTAATATTCAGAGAATTACTAGATCACAGTGAAGTTAAGGAGGGTAATCTGTCAGATCACAAATATAATTGTTCAAAGGTTGACATATTGTGGAATACTACACAACAGTTTGTATCTTTTTAAACTTATCACACTATGAATTTCTCATTACTATAAAAAAAAATTTAAACTATTAATTCCAGAAAAATGTATTCATATTACAATCAAAAGCTATTAACTTTAAATTAATGTCACTAATTTAGCAGCTGCAGTTTAACAATAGTCTGATTATTTATATGTATTACTATACAAATAATTTTAAATAAAAATAATTCAAATCTTACTGGTATGATATTAAAGTGCTGATTTGAATTCTCCTAATTGGTAGTGCTATTACAGACACAACGATTAAGGCAAGAAACAAAACAAGAAACACTTTCAGTCAAACACTGATTAAACTTCCACCTTCTACAGACATTATAAAAGAGATAAAATCTAGCAGAGCTACAGCTAACAGGTTACTAAAGCATTTCTTGTACCAACTAGCTGAACCAGGTTAATGATTAAAACACTTATCTGATTACTATCAATATAATGTAGTATATTTTCAAAACAAATTTGTAATACTGCTATTTGTAATTTTTAACCATTGACAGTAATTTTTAATAGTTTAGAGAGAAGATTTAGATATTCAATTAATATATATGAAATATTGAATAAATGCAATAATGCAGAGTATATGAAATATAAATGAGTAATAAGTTTTAGCTTTTGCACAACATATGTGTTAAAGTAAAATTATTTTTGAGGAATACCATATCTGATTTGACAAACGAAAAGTTAATTAAAGATCAAAATCATTTGATTTTACTAACTACAGGCAATTTAAAAATTTTTTTAATCTGGCAAACACCAATTATTCAGATAATTGTTTTGACATGATAAACCTGAACAGAATGAGTATTTTTGCAACTAAGCTGAACAGAAAAACACTACACTTAAATGCTATTATTAATCTGTTTAAAGCATTACATTTAAATCAAAAGGAATTTTAAATAGTTTCAATTTTATTACACTGGTCCCTGTTTGACTGCTTAATGTAACAGAAATTAGAACAAAATTAAAAATATTTACATTTCTCTGTAAAAACAAAAAATTGTACCTAATTAAGGTATAAAAACCACTGTTTATATTTGGAGAAGCAAAGATCTTTTTTGTCAGATCATTAAATATAAAAAGGGGAAAGATAATGTAAAATCCTTTCCATATACAAGTACAAGGAATTTTTATACACAAATCTAAACTTCACTACAACACTGATGTGTAAAGTAATACCAATGTGCTCTTCTACAAACCCTCAAAGTTGTATTTTTATAAACTGTACAAATGACATCTAGTGAAGGGAAAGACTGTCAGCATCATGAAATGAAGTACAGAAACCACTCTTTGGTCACAATACTGGAAAAAACTACTCAACTTAAATTTTCCTTTGACAATCAAATACAGTAAATTACTATCTTGATAACTAACTCCATAAACTGGTGCTAGGAGCATTAACCATGAATGAACTAAATTAGTAATCTTTGTTGATATAATAACGTTTTAATATAAAAGAATTGTATACATTACCAACAATGTTTTGAGTTTAAAAAATACTTAAAATAACATACAAATGCCATCATTTAGTTTTTTAACTAAAACAAATGCAATGTCATCATTGCAAAATGTAACCTGTTTTTAAAAAAAAAAGATGTACAAAGTTTTGTCTTTTTAACAGATGTACAGCAAACATTTTTTAGTGTTCTATTTTTTTCATTTTGGTACATGAGAATGATAAATAAAAATAGCTTCATTCCCAGACAAAAAAAAAAGCAGCAGAAAGACTAAGACCTATGAAAGACGAATATTATTCAATAACTTCAATCATATTTATGATTTGATCTCTGGTCATATTTTTGTGATGGGAACGGACGTGACTTCTCATGTTATCCATACGGGTGCCTTTCTTACCACAAAATTTACATGAGAATAATCGACTGGGTGAATGAACTGTGCGTACATGTTTAGTCAAGTCCCCTCTCTTAAAAAATGCACTACCGCACACTTCACAGGCATGCGCCTTTTCATCTTTGTGTGTACGTTTGTGAGCACTACACTGGGACTGGGTGTAGAAGGCCTTACTGCATATGTCACAACGGAAAGTCAGTTTATCTGGATCAAGGGTATGGAGTTGTTCGTGTGACTGCAGTGACATGGCATCAGGAAACCCAGCACGACAATATTCACAGAAATGGCAGCACGCATGAGCAGCAACATAGTGCAGCCGTAACTGCTTCACAGATTTGAAGGATTTAAGACAATGGCTGCATTTCAGGTTTGTGGAAGAAGCTTCATGCCTTGTCATGTGTTTGCTGTACTCTACATGAGTCTTGAAAGTTAAACAGCAGGGTTTACAGTTGTAAGAGCAAGATGTATCCTTATGCTGGCTTTCAACATGCTGGTCCAGTGCTTCACTGAGAGCAAATTTCTCCCCACAAACTTGACATCCAATTAATGGATAAAACTGGGAAGGGATTCCCAAAAAGTTGTCCTGTGTTATAGAAGTCATGTCAGTGTCAATTCTGGAAGCAGATGATGCCAGAGCATAATCAAAACTCTCTTCGGATTCTGATTTAACATTAGAACTTGATGCTGTCTCCTCTGCCTCTTGTGTTTTAACAGTGACGTGCTTGGGTGATTGTGGCTGTTGGGGTAACTTCATCCCTGTAGTTTCTTCCTGCGGCTGGATGCTGTAGCTTGTCTGAAGTGTTGCAGGAAATGACTGGGAGAAGTCCCCAGCAGAGGTTGTGACAACTGAAGAGGTAGCAGTTGTGTTAGACACTGGGAGTGCTGTGGATGGTAAGGGGAAGCTGGTCTCTGGGCCATGTGAAGCCTCCATGTGAAGTATAAGCATGTTGCCAGTCAGGGTACCAGACTGACAAACAGAACAGGACCTCTCAAATGCTATCCTGTGTTTCTCCATGTGTCTCATAAGCAAGTCAACAGTTAAATATTTGAGCCCACATAGGACGCATGAATGTGACTCAGGTCTCAACTCACCTTCCTCATAGTCAGCATCCATCTGACTGGCAACGTGTTCTTCTGCAAGCAGACGAAGGTACTGGGAAGACATTTTGTCTACAGTTGCTGCTGCTTCATCACTTCCTTCTCTGGCACTTTTTTTAGCCTGTTCCAAAGCAGCTGCAGCTAACATAGCAGCTTCAGTGGCAGCAGACTGAGTCTGTGCTTGTCTATAAATTTTCTCTGTTTCTTCAGCACTGTGGGGGTAGTCTCTTGACTGTGCTAACTCTCTGTGTTGGGCAGCATACTCCCACCTAAGGCGCTCAGTATCACGTTGGTATTGCTGCATTTGTTGCTGAAGATATGATTTTTCCATGATGCTACGCTGATAGGCAACCATCTGCCACTGCTGTTGTTGTCTGGCTAGCTCTTCTAAATCTTGCTGTCTGAACATGCTAACATTAGGGTCTCTCATCTGGAACATGGCTAACTGAGCCATCTGGCTCTCTGTCATGCTACTGTTGTAACTATTGTCATCTTCATCAATTATGATTGGGCCGGTTGCTGAAATTATATATTTTATCATTTATTAAGGAATTGATAGATCTCTTAAAATAACTTATTTTTTGTGCAATACTTTAATCTCTTAAATCAATATTACTAATATTACAATAAGAATACATAATATAACAATAAGAAAAAAAACAGTGAAACAATTAACCATAGTATTAGTAATAGAAAGGTTTTTTAAATTTTTTTTAGTTAGATGATAACTATCAAGTACCTGTATGTGGTAGAAGCTGGAGACCGCCAGTTTCGTCAACATTGGTTGAGGTGGAGGAGCCAACTTTATCTTCTGGCTTGACACCTTCATCATCTCCATCTGTTGATGACGCTGTTTTTCTTCTTTTTCTAGGAGATTTTTTCCCATGAAGCTCTGTATGCTCATGGTCCTTATATTCTGATTTCCTCTTAAACTCATCTATCTGGCCTACTGGAAGAAAACAGATGTCATCTCCGCCAGAAGTGTCCAAATCAGATTTATGCAACATGTTCTGTTGACTGTCAATAGGCAGCATTGAATGGGACTCAAAAGTCATCGCCAACTCTGAATCAGCTTCATCATCCGAGTCACTCTCTCCTTCACTTGACTTCTCAAAACTGTCACTTTCACCTTTGCTCTCATTAATTTTATCTTCAGAATTTTCTGAATATTTACATTTTTGATCTTCATAGGCAGAATCAACTTTGCCAGAAACTGTGGTCTCACCTTGAGGGTATTTCTCAGCATTTTTAGGGATAGGATCAAGATTGATGATCTCACTGCCCAAGTTTGATGTAGGTTCAACAGTGCTAGGCAAAAATTCTTCTTTCTTCACCACATACCTCTCAATAGTTTCCTCAAGTTTCATCCCTCCGATTTCTTTAAAGCGCTGCTGGTGATCTTCCCGATCATCAGCACGTTGAGCAATTTCATTCAGCTTGATGACAAAACTTTCATCTTTATTGACAACCAGAGATAAATTACCCTCCAGGCTAACTGAAATAATGCGAGTCCCTTGGGCTGTTTCGTAAAGTTCCAGGACTGCGTCATAAAATGACCGCCTGAGAAATTTCTCCATTACAAGCTTGCTGTATTGATATTTTGACATTTTTATAGATTAGAGCTTGTGAAGTTTGATCAATCTCAACCTATAATTTTAAAATGTTAAAAATAGTTAAAAATTAATTTTAAAAATAAAGAATTTATAACAAGACAATTATTTTTTCTTACGATTAAAGTTTAAGAATAAGAATACTAAACTATTTAACTATTAACAATGCTTGATAATTTAACTGGGAAGTGATTGTAAGAAAACCATTTTAGAGAAATCTCTCTAATATACTCAAGAAAGCAACAGCAAATAAATTACATCTACTGTTAGATTCTGGTAACAATAGAAAGACAATCAATCTTATTCAGTTCTGGTCTTAAAATAAAGATGCATTTATTGGTGATAAAATAAAATTGCTAATTTATAATTTACAAAGTGACTAAGAATTGTGTTATCTGTTACTCCTAACAATTTTCTTCAGTGGCATTGGATCAAAAATTGACAATAAAGAGCCTCTTAGATGAGTTGTGCTGTTTAATAAGTAGCCTGACTGGATTTTAATTAAATTATTTCCTATAGGCCTAAACCTAAACCACGTCAAAGTATTTCCACAAAAGTTTAACAAACACCAAATTTAGGAACTAAAATAAAACAGTTACAAAAAATCTGTAACGTATTTCATGTCAGATAAAGTTGTGAAAAACAGATGATGTACAGGTAGCCACTAAAATATGTTGTGCAAGCTTGTTATTAGTGGGTGTTGGTAAACTGCGAGACGCCAAACGCAAAATGACAAGGCAGTAAATTGCAAGAAGGATGCAAAAACCCAGAGCATGTGACATTTTTGTCTTTAAGCTTACCCCCGATTATGCTGAGTGGGGGTAAAATGCAAAGATGTCTGCGAAAGTTATACTGCACTCGATTTACAATAAACTTTAACGCTGACTTCAAAGACTATTCGTTTATTTTATTATAACTTCTGATTTTTTCATCGTCAGACAGGGCTGAGGATTTATAAACTTTTTTCTTTTGAGTGAAACACCGAAGCTGACTCATATACCGCCATTGAACATCACTGTGCTCAAAGCAGCAGTAATTGAAATTACTTTTAACAAAAAATAATGACACTTTTAAAATATTGGACAATATAATATTCTATCTTATAGGTGGATTTGTTTACTAGTGTCAGATAGTAGATCTAATTAATAAGTCTAATGGGGGCGACCCAGTTGACGAGAATCCTTCCATCATATTGTGGACATGGATTAAAAACATGCTTTAATAGATTTTGCAATCAAAGCGAGCGTAAAAATAATAAAATATAAAAACTTAAGCCTAAAAATAAATCAGAAATTTAATATTTTTAGAATCAATGTTATAAAAGTTGCAAATCCAGAGAACTCATATGTAGTATTGCTCGCTACCCCAGAGGTGTGGCTGGTTGCTAACGACAATATGGCATACAGACCGGATGCATAACTTCAGGCGATTTTTCGTCTTAGCTCCAGAGACCTTCTTAGAATTACTCTTAAAAATGTTTACCATGAGCAACATTATTAGTTTTATCAGTCTATGAAAAAAGAAATCAAATATTGTGTGCTGTTTTTTTATAAGACCGGCGTTCATATCACAACCAATTTTTATTTTTAAAACCACGTGACCGCTATTTAACTCATCAGTAGTGAGGAACTCTGGTGCATAGCCAATTAAAAAGTCGAACCGATTTGTGGTTTGCCGTGGCTTCAGGCGTAAGTTGTGTTGTCATGGAGAGGTGTGTTGTGCATGGCAGTGAGTGACAATAAATATTAAATTAAGCAATTTAGTTTAAATCGAACTTAAAACTTCAAAATTAGTGTCTAATGGATTACAAATGGATGTCTATTATTCAGTGGTCATGTTTAAATTGAAAATTGCGTACATTTTAGATTTAGTGAGAAAATCTACTAACAATAACAACCGGTAAAACTCCATTTTAGCATATTTTATTTGCCGCTTCCCGTTCACCTCCGGTTGAGCATATTTATTATAAACACAACCAAAACACAAAAACATTTAGAAAACACTAGGATTAGTACTAGGGCTAGATCAACTTAATTTTTTTTATGAATGTGTGTTTTAACTAGAAAAGGTAAAAAACGTAAATAAGCATTACAGTTCCAATTAAATAGCGTATGATAGTCGGCGGGAGAAAAATCCCTACATGGTCAAGGGTTCACAGTGAGTTCAAATGGACTTTAATTATCAGCATATACGTCATAGCTTGGGCAATTGCTATTTGAAATTGTGGTGGCCTCAGTTTTTTAGGGTCATTGTGAGTTCATATGTTTATTTATAGTATCATATGTGCATTGGGCATAGTGCTGACCACACTATCTCTTCAAATGCCGAGGTCACAGAAACTCTACTTCACTTGCCCCATAGGACCGTCAGGCTTGAAAGGGAAACTTTATCATGTGTGCGAGATACTTTTAAAATACAAACAGTTTTGACAAAAGTAAATGATCTAAATCTAAAACAAAAATTCATAAAGAAATATTTTTAGGAATTTTCCTAACGTTTTGTGTGTTTCGGTTGTGTTATTTTATAATAAAATACGCTCAACTGGAGGTGAACGTGAAGCAGGGAATAAAATACGCTAAAATCATAAAATGGAGTTTTACCATAACAACCTAACGGTAAAACTCCATTTTAGCGTATTTTATTCTCCGTTGCTTGTTTACCTCCAGTTGAGCGTATTTTATTATAATAACCAAAACACACCAAAACATTAGGAAAACATGAATTTAATATTTGTATTGTATTGTTGTTTTTCATAAATGATTAAAAATGAATATTCAAAAAACACGACTTATTTATTTGTTTTGTATTTTTGTTTTAACAAATGAATAAAAACAACAAAGAGACTGACTGAAATGCTTTGTTTGTTGGTTGCAAAAATAGAGATGCACACTTTGTACAAATAAGTGTTCCAATTTCAACTAACAGAATAAAAGTATTAAAAGGCATAAGGGGTCGTCCATAAATTACGTCACACTGTAGGGGGGGAGGGGGTCCGTAATTTTGTGACGGTGTGTGATGAGGGGGAGGGGGTTCAGATGGTGCGACGTCACAATTTTGCATTATAAAAAAGCAATGTTAGAAAGCAAATTCTAGACGTTATTTTGCGTTTTAGAAAACTGTTTTAATAAGTTGTAATAGGAGTTGATTAAAATACTCTATTTTGACAGAGGCTGAGGTGTGACATTATTTTAAGGGGGGGGGGGTGTCTAGGTTTTTTGTGACGACGTGTGGGGGAGGTAAAAATTGTCAAAAAAGCGTGACGTCATTTATGGATGACCCCTAATAATGCTGCCGAAAGTGGGCCGGGGGGGGGGGGGGGTGGAATTTGGTGAGGGATGGCTTGGAGTGTTAGAGAAAGTGTGACAACTCACGTTGTCATTTAAAAAAAAAATAATGTAGAGGTCGTCCATAAATGACGTCACACTCGTAAGGGGAGTGGGGGTCCGTAATTTTGTGACGGTGTGGGGAGGGAGGGGGGGGGGGGGGTTCAGATGGTGCTACGTCATTTGGGGGGGGGGGTCTTGCTTTTTGTGACGACACGCTTTTTTTACGATTTTTACCTCCCCCCTCCGTTACACGTCATCACAAAAAGTCAGACCCCTCCTAAAATGACGTCACACCTCAGCCTACAACCACCCCCCCCCCTCAAAATTTCTGTTTTTCTTAAAACATCGATATTTTTCCAAAATCTTGTTAGAACTCTGTCAACAGAGCATTTTGATCAATTCCTACTACAATTACAATTTATTAAAATCGTTTTCTAAAACGCGAAATAACGTCTAAAACTCGTTTTTCTAACATTGCTTTTTTATAATGCAAAAAAGTGACGTCACACCATCTGAAACCCCACCCCCTCCCCGTCATCACCCACCGTCACAAAATTGCGGACCCCCCCCTCTCCCTTACGAGTGTGACGTCATTTATGGACGACCCCACATCAATTTTTTTTAAAAGTCAGAAATTTACTCATACAAAAAATCATACTTGATACATAGTCTATATCAAAATATTGGGAAGGATGGTAGATTTACTATGAATTTAAATAACATACAACTCTATAGTAAAAATACTTTTATCAGATTTGGCAAAATTGTCAAATTAAAAAACACAGAGTTTGTACATTTATTGCAAATATACAAATATATATTATATAATACAGAACAATTAACAGTGTATCAGTTTCACCATGAGACAAATGCCTTTTTAAAAGAAATACAATACAAATAAACAAGTCGTATTTTTTAAATATTCATTTTTATTCATTTGCTAAAACAAAAATACAATACAAAAAATAAATCGTGTTTTCCTAATGTTTTGGTGTGTTTCGGTTATTATAATAAAATACGCTCAACTGGAGGTAAACAAGCAACGGAGAATAAAATATGCTAAAATAGAGTTTTACCCAACCTAACACCAATTTATTTTTTATTGAGTCTAGATCTAGATCTATTAGACATAATATAATACCCCTAAATCATCAAAATTTCAAAAATAGTAGATCTAGAATCTAGATCTACCAAACTACCTACGTTTTTAAATTTTATAATTTTATCGGCAATTTCAAATTGAATTTGAAATTTGTGAATTTATTTTTAAAATCGAGTAGGCCTATTGAAAAAAAGTGAAAATAGTTCATCAAGATATCTCTAGGACTAGGTAATTTAGAACTATCAGAATTACTAATTAAATAATTACGATATACTAGATCTAAAACTTACCTTTTAAATTGGCATACGTTTTTGTTAATCACATTCTCTTTGTTGCTACTGTTCAGTCAAGTCTCAGTATATCGGCCATTTTGAATTTATTTTCATTACTGATTGATCTCCCTTGGGGAAGAGACAAAGAGCCAATACTTGCACGGCGCACAAGTATTGAGCGAAGGCGAAATACTTTTTTTAGACGCCAGTAGATACAGAAAATCTAGATCTCTAGATCTAGATATAAGTTATAAGATCTAGGAATCTAGATCTAAAATATACTTTTAAATTTTAAACAGAAATAAATGCAGGTCTATTCACTGTATCGGATAATTAATAAGTAACAACATCTATGATTGTGATAACTTTTTGTCTTTGCTTTAAATAAACTTACCACATATTGAACAAATTATTTCTTGAATCACCCCAAAAAAAAAATGTTGACAATTTGTTAACATTTAGGCTTTCGAGTTTCGTGTAGGCTAGTTTCTTTAGACGTCTTTTTTTTTAATGGAAATTATTTTGTAGCCTTAAAGTTACACTTGTAACAATGCTGTGTTCGACTGTTTTCTTTTAATTCTATTCTTCACACCAACAACGCATATAGAAGGGTCGTCTATAAATGTCGTCACTCTTGTGGGGATGATGTGATGTGTGACATAAGGGAGGAGAAGGGGTGTGAGGTAACAATCTTGGTCAAGTTTTCTCTGACCATGCCATTTGTGGTAATTGAATGGTCAAACTATATTTTCTTTAGGCATGTCAATTACTCCCATACAATGCATAGCCTACAATTAAGCATAATTTCACCAGAAATTCAACTTTATTTCTCACTTGCTCTTTCATTACTAAACTGATTGGCGTTCAATTAAAAAACAGGAAAAAGTATAAACTGCACATTGATTTATTGAAAGTACACAAAACATAAGATGCAGCTTGACAACAATGCAAACTCTAGACAGTTTTAAACAATACAGGGTTGAACAAGCTGACAAGGGGAACAGCTGATAAACCAACATCTGTCAACAATTATTTGATGCTATTAGAAAACACAGCCAATTATTAGTAGCCAAAGGATAAGGAATGAAAGGATTAGGTTCATACTAATAGTCACAGAAAAACAATACAAAGTAAAAAATAAGAAACTTCTACTAATACAAAAATAGTTTAACATTAGTGAAACTAGGATTACTGGACGTGTTAAATGAAAAGATGCACATTTGATTGGTAAATTACATAGCAAAAAAAAGTTTTGTTTAAATTATAATTTATAACAGCTTTGGCAGTAAATATTTTTATTAGGAAATTCAGAATAAATAAACAAAAATTATAAAATTACACTTCAAAAAAATATAACGCTGAAAGATTGTATTGTTTAAAAGCCCATAAATGATTTCAGTGGAGATGGGAAATTCCAGAGATTCCATTTTAAACGGTTGTTTGATATTTGCTTGTACTGACATTAAGAGTGCTTTGTGCATTTTGTTGAGACATTATGTATATACAGTCCCCTTTGGACATTTAATACAAATTCAAACTACATAAGAATTACAAAATTACTAGAAAATTTGTATGTAAAATCACTTTACAGAAAGATAGAAAAACTCATCTCAGGAAGACCTTTTCCTGAGGATACCTGAAGTAGAATAATTTTAACCATTTCAGCTAACAGAATCACAAAAGGCTTAAATTTGTAGTTACAACTATCACAAAACTTTCATAAATTATATGATTGCAGGGAATACATTTCTACATAGACAGTATTGCATCAATTTAAAAAAGATAATTTCAAATACTTCTCACTACATTAATTGAAATTACAAAAACAAATTATATAAAAAGAAATAAAAACTAATGTATGCATTTTAAAAAATAATATTTTACTAATGTTGTTAGTATTTTTGCAAAACTAATTTTAAATTAAAAATACAATACACAGCTTGAATGAAACATAGCTAGCAAAAATACAATTTTTTTTTTACTTTAACATAATATTTTTAAAAAAATCAGCTTTACTAACATAATACTAAAATAAAATACTGGATATTTATTATGAATGAATTTTCTATCTCCAGCTAAATAAACATAAGTAAAAAAATATTTATTTAGTAAATACTATGAGGAAACAACAAATCTGAGCCATAAAAAAGTATTCAGTTTTTATCCATTACCACCTAAAAAGCAGCATGGAAAAACAGGAGATAGTTTTGCATATGGAAAGAGGTTTAGATTAACAATACATCCCAAGTTTGGCATAAAACTTTAAGTACATTCAGAATGGTCAAATAAAATACTTGTATTTGGAATTTCCACAGCTAACTTACTTATTTTACCATAAAGTATTTTTATAAGATGTAAGATAAAGAGTATGATGAAACATGTCATTTCATAAACAACAAAATGCGTATCAAGAAAGTATGAATGAAAGACAAGTGCATGAATAGGAAAATGTCTATGCATGTTTGTTAATGTATACACATTCAAAATGCAGCATGAATATGTTGTATTTATGGTACAAGTCTTTTACAATGCTTAAATAAACTCCCTCTTCTAAAATAAAATCATTGCTTTTAAGAAGCTAGAAACTATTGGTAAAGCACCCACTACAATTTTTTGTCATGTTGGTAAACAAAAACTACTATGACCATTTAGCAGTTTTTATCAAATCAAGTTATTTAAAATGACTGCATTTTTACAAACTGAAGTTGTTAAACCTATTTTTAAGCTGATCTGAGCATTTTCCAAAATACTGAGCCACTAAATATATTATAACAAGGACACATTTAAATTTCCTTCACAAACTTAACAGTGTACAAAGCAATTCATATTCCTGTTAAAAATATTTTTAAAATACTTATTAGGGTGCACCTGCTTAAAAACATTCTAGCATGAAATAGTATAATGTAATATTTGATCTGGTAAATGTCACTGAACTGTTATTATAAAAGTACTAAAATTAGCTACACTAAACAACATATGCCAGTCTAAATTAGTTACTCTAAAAAATATCTATAGCACAAAGGTATTAAATAAACACAAGCATAAAGCATTGGTCTCATCAATTTCTGAAATACATTTTTTTAAACTTCAAGTCTGTATGCTGGCAGACTGGTCTCCAAATCCTGCAATTGAATAGTGCAGCGACTGACTGCTGGGGTCAAATCAATACGAAGCTCTTGCAATTTTTCTTTATTTAAACCCACCCAGTGACGAAGTGTTTCATTATCATAAGTTGGAATGAGGGTGACTTCAAGATCTTTCTGCTCCCATGTGGCTTTTGCTTCCATCAAACAGTCTAGTATTTGAGGATTGGGTGACATGGAACTAAGAACGTAGTAACGGGCCCTAACTCTCTTGAAAAACTCTGCATCACTATAAGCTGAGTCTCCATGATTAGGTATGTACGTCAGATCAACATAAAAAGCTGTCATCGGTGGCAGTGGCGGGGTCTTTGAAGTCAGCGGTGAAGATCTACTTGACCCAGTCCCTGGCCTCTTTGCACTGGTAGCACGTGTTGCTCCACTTCTAGCTGTGGCTGGGGCAGTTGCTGGACGTTTTTTAGGATCTGATCCATTGCGACTGGTGGCAGCTGCTGGCTTGCTTGCTTTACTTGCTGTGGCTGGCCGGCTGGATTTCTGAGGCGATGTGCTCTCACTAACTGGTGGAGATGGCAATCCCATTGGAGGTCCCCATTTCTGAACAGGATCAAACAACTCTCCATCTTCACTATCACTAGGTACATGACTAGAATTACTTTCAATAGATTTATTAACCCCTCCCTCATATGACTTAGAATCTTCAGTTTGATGCTCATGCACTCCATTAACTTTCTGAGTGACGGAAGTTTCATCAATGTCCTTGTCATCATCTGGCGCCTCACCATCAAGTGAATCTCTGTCTCCATTTTCTGGACTTGAATCTCTATCAAATGCAGCTGGTAATGATGACTGGTCATCTTCTACTATCCCTTCATCTAACTGTTCTTCAACCTGATTAGAGGTGCTGACATCCTCAACATCTTCAAATTGTCTTTCAACAGATGCTCTATCACTTGCACTGGCGGCTTCATCTTCCTCATCCCTTTCCTCATTATCTTCTGATTTTTCTTGGTTACTTTTTTCAAGATTGATATCCTGATTACTGGACACTTGAACTTCATCTTCTTCATCTTGCTCTTCATCCACTTCCTGAATTCCTCCCATATCCCTTCCTTTCATCAAATCATCTATACCATATTGAATGTTCTGTTCCATTGAGGGCTGGGCAGGATCTAACACTTCATGTGTAAATACAGGAGTTTCAAAGCCTGAGGGCGGTTCTACTGCAGATGGATACTGAAATTCATGCAATTCTTCTGGAATAGGTTCTGGGGAAGATGGAATCTCCTGTGCTGGATCTGCAAATGAATTTTCTATTTCTTTAAGTTCCTCTTCAGCGCGACTAAATTCAGACAGCTCTTGCTCATCAGATTCAATTTTAGAGCTATAGTCAGGTAGAGTATCAGATTCTTGGCTTGGAGATTCTATAATGACAGGTGGCTCAGGTAAAGCCTGAGGCTTGATCTCTTCCTCCTCTGAGTTGTCTACCCCATTCTGATGAAAAGAGTGATGATTGATTAGGTCCCCATCTTTACATTTATCCACAGAAGATGATACAGGTTCATTGCATGTTTCTGGATCAACAGAACTGTTATTTTCCTTAACAAGTGAGGCGGTGTCATTTAGCGCATTCATAGCTTTAATAGCATCAGCTTCTGGTTTTTGATCCACTTGAATTTCTTCAGGGGGTTTTGACAATTCGACTAGAGGTTGTGGGGGTTCCGTAATTGTTTTAGATGGAGATGTCACTGAACGGGTTGGAGATCTGGTTTTGGTAGGAGACTTGAGAGGTGTTTTAGGAGGTGAGGGTGACTTGGAGGGTGACTTTGTTGGAGACGGGGCCTTGGCTGCAGCAGATGCTGGTCTTGACGCAGGTTTGGCTTTTGTTTCATCTCTTTTATTTTTGACATCATCAGCTTTGGGTTTTTCTTTGACCTCTGCCTTTTCTTTTGCTTTGGCTGTCTTTTTATTATTTTCCTCTTTGATAGCCTTGACAGGTTTAGTTGGTGAGGTAGTTCGAGATTCAGGCTTTGGTATTGGGGCCTTGGGCTCCAACTTGCGGGGAGATTCTACCCGGGTTGTGTTAAAGCCTCTCCCACTTTCAGATTTAGAAGTAGAAGCTTTTGTTGTTGTCCTTCCTGAGCTACTGGCTGGTCTTGCTGATCCTCCAACTGGCTTTTTGACAGGTGGTGGTTTAATCAGATCTCTAGATGTACATGTGGCAGATTTTAAGAATCCAAAATTTTTCATCTTCTCCAAACCTTCAATAATCTTGTGCTGAGGAGCATTGCCTGGAAAAAATATTCTCACTATTTTCTCATCTAAATTGTAAGGTTTCCAAACAAGCAGTGTACAAACTGATAACACGTTTTGTAGCGGGAAAATGCCACTGGTCCCTAAGTTGGCAGATTGCTTGCTCCAGGCTTGATAAAACTCTTTCAGTTCTTTGGTGTCTGCAACAGGATTGAGAACATACATGTCTAAAGATCCATGCCCTAACTTATGATACAGGTTAACAGGTTCACTGTTAACACTGGCAGGGTTACGGGTGCATGGCTGTGGACTTATACCTAACATTTTAGCCATCTGGGTCATTTTGTTGGCTTCTTCTGCAAGGTTTATAAGTAAGCTTGGAGTTTTATTAGCACCACCATCTCCCTCCCCATCAACAGCTAGAGACCCAATCTTATCTAGAACATTAAAATATAAATAACCTATCTGTGGATGAATATTCTCCAAACTTTTCCTCTGGATAACAGTATTCAAACCAAAAATATTATCAGTACCCAAGTGTGTCATTAGCATGGCATCTACCCTATCCAGATGTCTAGCAAAGTCCCAGAAACAAGCTCTTCTATTGTAGCCCCCATTTACAAGCAAATTAAAGCCATTAATTCCAAACAAAGCAGAGTCCCCTTGACATCCAGGAAAAATATACAGAGTTGGTCGAGTGAAACTGATGTTTCCAAATTGTTCAGAAGCCTGAAGCAAGTTGGTAATAGGTACCACTTTAACAAAGCTTCCTACATAGGCAGTAAACTGCAAAACACCATGGATGTTGTCAAGCTTCTCAGGAGGGTTGAGCTGAATCCTTAGGTGGTTGGTGAAGTCAGCTCTACTGATACAAGTTCCCCAGTTGGTGTCTGCCAGAGTGTGGATGGTCAGGTTAGCTTCAATATTCTGCTTGAGTGCATTCTCCACATCCACGTTTTTGAAAACCTAATTAAATATAAACATGTACACTATATTAAAGATTAAAATATATTTGATGGAGTAGTGGTAGAGAATAGCTATTTAGAAATTGAGACTATATTAAGCAACAATCAAGCGATGATGTCTAAGAGTGATATACAGTAGGCAACATACAAAAATAAATAACAGAATGACATCCTTCTTAAAGGCATATGCATTTAAATTTGAGCAATATAGCATAAGACAATTAATTGTAAAATAAACTGTAGACAATCAAAACAAGAAATATAATTGCGAACAAAACAAAAAACATCAATTTTTTTCTATAATTGTTTGTTTTAGAAAGCAAGTTTTAAGATAAAAATTTTCCAGACATATATAGAGGGGAGGGGAAAATTTTGCCTAATGTGAATGTGTGTGGACATTGTAACTGGATAATCCCTCATGTTAAAGAGTTAAACCCTTACCTGTGCCAAGTTGCTGAATGCAAATGTATCATCTTGAAGGACCCAAGCACCAGTGCCTTGAAATGCATGACCAGCATAGATTATATATTTTGTTGGTGCTTGTGCTATGAGAAGTTTCTGTGGAAATATATAATTGGAATAGGAATAAATTCAAGTAGGGAAGTATGTGATAATTTCAACTATTTTAACAGGTTTAACGGAGATGCTCTATTTGTATTTAAAGCTTACCTTAATAGAATTTTTGACAGACTGTGATAATGGGTTGATCAAAATCTCAACTGCCAAGTTATCTGAATTATGCTGAATGAATCGTTCCCCTAATAAAGAAACAAAAAATGTAATTAGATAAAGTGTAATTACACTCACTCTTTTTTATAGAATATATGGGTGAATTGTTTGCCAATAATCAAAACACAGTTTTTTGAGACAAAAGTTGTACATTCTTAATATTTCTGGCTGCACAATTTTATTTTTTAAATTCCACCCATATTTACTGTTTTCTGACTGAGTAGGAAACCTGGTTCTAAAAAAAAAACTCAATAAATTTTATTCGTAGCCGTTTCGTATAACAATTCACAACCTGTGAGGGATTTATGAGCATTACAATATTTAAGACAACATGTTACGTTCTGGGTTAGCTTCGCATTCAAGAACAACACTTCGTGTATAACTTTACTCCTTTTATTTGTCTCAATGCATTCAAGCGTACCATAACAGCCCTCGTCCTAACCGCTACTAACCCGCTGACTGCCCCCCACAATCGTTCACTCCCCCTTTTATACCCGCATTCGACCTTGGGATTACAAGACATAAACACACAAAGGTAACTACACAGTAAGGTGAACTCCACTCACACAGGCACTCTCTCCTAGTTCTAGACTATTCTAACCTATTCTAAACTAACCTACAACTGGCCCGTAACACTACCCCCCACCTAAGTATTTGTAGTAATAACTACAAATACTGACTAACAAATCCTAGCTAAATAAAAAACACAAAGCCTTTCATACACATACACTAGTTAAAAAATATACATACACAAAAAACATACACAAGTTAAAAATATACATTCCGAAGAATGTATATGACAGATTGTATATACAATGAAATACATAATGACAATATACAGAACTGCTACAATTTCGAGCTAGCACAAATCATCCGTGTAACTAACAAACAAAAAAAAATCATACACACCCAGTTGCATCGTACCGAATCTAAGAACTTTCCAGACCAAAATTTTTTTGAGTCTACCCTGTGCGCTCTCTGGCTACACTGGTTTACAACTCCTACCCATATCTCAACCATTCTACATCACAAAAAATTTGAGTCAACCTGCGCTCTATGGCTACACTGGTTTACGACTCCTACCTATATCTCAACCATTCTACATCACAAAAAATTTGAGTCAACCTGCGCTCTATGGCTACACTGGTTTACGACTCCTACCTATATCTCAACCATTCTACATCACACAAAAAATTTGAGTCAACCTGCGCTCTATGGCTACACTGGTTTACGACTCCTATCCATATCTCAACCATTCTACATCACAAAAAAAATTTGAGTCAACCTGCGCTCTATGGCTACACTGGTTTACGACTCCTACTCATATCTCAACCATTCTACATCACAAAAATTTGAGTCTACCCTGTGCGCTCTATGGCTACACTGGTTTACGACTCCTACCTATATCTCAACCATTCTACATCACAAAAAATTTGAGTCAACCTGCGCTCTATGGCTACACTGGTTTATGACTCCTACCCATATCTCAACCATTCTACATCACAAAAATTTGAGTCTACCCTGTGCGCTCTATGGCTACACTGGTTTACGACTCCTACCTATATCTCAACCATTCTACATCACAAAAAATTTGAGTCAACCTGCGCTCTATGGCTACACTGGTTTATGACTCCTACCCATATCTCAACCATTCTACATCACAAAAAAATTTGAGTCAACCTGCGCTCTATGGCTACACTGGTTTACGACTCCTACTCATATCTCAACCATTCTACATCACAAAAATTTGAGTCTACCCTGTGCGCTCTATGGCTACACTGGTTTACGACTCCTACCTATATCTCAACCATTCTACATCACACAAAAAAAATTGAGTCAACCTGCGCTCTATGGCTACACTGGTTTACGACTCCTACTCATATCTCAAACATTCTACATCACAAAAATTTGAGTCTACCCTGTGCGCTCTATGGCTACACTGGTTTACGACTCCTACTCATATCTCAAACATTCTACATCACAAAAATTTTGCAACTCACAGTCGATGTTGTTACATACTCTGTCAAACAGCTATAGCGTCGGGCTAATGGCATCCCCACAGCATCCGGCAAACGTCAGGACAGCATCCGGCAAACGTCAGGACAGCATCCAACAAACGTCAGGACAGCATCCGGCAAACGTCAGGACAGCAACCGGCAAACGTCAGGACAGCAACCGGCAAACGTCAGGACAGCAACCGGCAAACGTCAGGACAGCAACCGGCAAACGTCAGGACAGCAACCGGCAAACGTCAGGACAGCAACCGGCAAACGTCAGGACAGCAACCCGCAAACGTCAGGACAGCAACCGGCAAACGTCAGGACAGCAACCGGCAAACGTCAGGACAGCAACCGGCAAACGTCAGGACAGCAACCGGCAAACATCAGGACAGCAACCGGCAAACATCAGGACAGCAACCGGCAAACATCAGGACAGCAACCGGCAAACATCAGGACAGCAACCGGCAAACATAAGGACAGCAACCGGCAAACATCAGGACAGCAACCGGCAAACATCAGGACAGCAACCGGCAAACATCAAGACAGCAACCGGCAAACATCAGGACAGCAACCGTCAAACATCAGGACAGCAACCGGCAAACATCAGGACAGCATCAGGCAAACGACAGGACAGCATCAAGTTTATGCTTCTACTTGATTTATACTGGCCACCAGTTGTTACGTTCTGGGTTAGCTTCGCATTCAAGAACAACACTTCGTGTATAACTTTACTCCTTTTATTTGTCTCAATGCATTCAAGCGTACCATAACAGCCCTCGTCCTAACCGCTACTAACCCGCTGACTGCCCCCCACAATCGTTCACTCCCCCTTTTATACCCGCATTCGACCTTGGGATTACAAGACATAAACACACAAAGGTAACTACACAGTAAGGTGAACTCCACTCACACAGGCACTCTCTCCTAGTTCTAGACTATTCTAACCTATTCTAAACTAACCTACAACTGGCCCGTAACACAACACTAATTATCACAAATTAAAATATATTCTGAGGACCTATTAACACAGATAAATTCTGAATTAATTCCTCATTAGTAATGACAAAAATGATGCAAACGTAACAAGGGCATAAAGGTCTTATGTGATATTAGCAATATTAAGAAGTATTTCAATACAGTACTTCCCTCATTTTGTTTAGTCTAACTCTCTATATATTTAATATCAATTATATCTTTAAAAAACACTAATTCAAACATCAAAGATTTTTAAAACCTTAATAATTAAAACGTGCCCCACAAAGAACTGTTAATCTAAAAATTGCACAAGACAATCTTTTCTTAGTAAAACATTTCTTCTTTACTTAAGATGCAGTTCCAACAAAGATTTCTATACTAATTGCATTCCACATTAACACAATAATTCAAATTATTATCAGAGCAAAGAATAAGGTTTAACATGCATATATCAAAATTAATCATGTAATTTACAAACAAAATGGTACATGCCATAATGCACCAGATAGTTGAGGTTTCTTATGAAACATTGTACATCATTTTAATGTGCCAAAAATCAACAAAAACAAAACACAAAGTGAATTAAGATGAAGGGATCAATGATATTACCTGGCTTGCAGCTGGCTGATGAAAGAATGAAAAGCATGATGGGATGAAAAGGAAACAGACATTTTTACAAGAGGATTTTCTTTAGAGGCAGACTAACTAGTTTGTGGGGTAAGGCATAATACAACATTTCTTAACCCCCTCTACATTTAATTCAAGATTATTCCTTTTTCCTAACCATGCCTGTTTTAAACATTTAAACAAACCACTCTAGCTTTTATTTTAATGTGCTCTTCCCCCCTCTCCTATCAATTAACTTTTTGGTGACCCCACACCAGAGCATAATGGTTACTAATAAATAACAGGCTCAATGTTATCTACAGGCCTACCACCCAGGGCCAATTTAATCTGCCTCCAGGTGGGAGATGAAAATGTATATATCTGCTCCAGGCAGAAGCCACTGCTTTTCATATGTATAAAGTACACAGTCAGTCTATATTAACATTATTGTGTTTGCTTAAGTCAAATTACTAATAAAAATCTTACCACTTGCACCCTCTTCACCAAGTGATGCCCGATTGGCAATCTGTGCTAACTCCTCATTAATGTTGATACCTGTATCTTCCACATCCCAGCATCGAAATCCTAGGATAAAAAATATCCCAAGATGTAATCAAATAAAAAATCTCAGTCTTATGATCACCACTTAATGTAAATGGTATAACTAAAACTCTACAAACAAAAGAGTACAAAAAATCAGACACTTATTAGCAAAAGGTATTTAATTTATATAGATGATTACTGTAGATACAATTGACTACATATGTATAGTTGTATTAATTAGACATAGACAGAATGAAAGTCAACATATAAAGGGAAATGCATGTCTCCATTATTATTAATCTGCAGAAAACTGTTTAAAAAAGTGTCAATAACAGTTCAGCAAAACAAGCCACATGTAGCTAACTCCAATAAGACCAGGTGTGAGTCATATCAAGATCGATAGGAAGCTATAACACGGAAAGAAAAAAATACTCGGGATCTCCTGCTTTGTATACGGGTAGTATTAAAGCAAGGTATGAAACCATTGTTCTCGCTTTAGCTTACTCATTGTCATCATGGCGATGCGTGGCTTACTAAAAACGTTTGGTGCATACTAGAAACGGGAAGGACGAATCCATACATACCAGTAATGAGAGAAGTAATTTTTAAAACAAATTATGTCAATGGGGGGAGGAGGGAGAGAAAAATTGCACGAGTTCATCAACCGGATAATTTTCTAAAACACGAATTACCTCCCCTCTCTCTTCAAAGGTTAACACGTTACTAGCGTGCATAATTAAAACTGCATGGCTAACACCCCATCACAACAGTAGCCTACAGAATTACCCGCACCACGTGGTTAGGCCTACCGTGTTCAGCAAAACACGTCAGTCTGGCCCAGACGATGTAGACTACTAAGCTAAGAATACAGACGGCTGTGCTATATAGAGGAGAGGGGGATGTAAGAGTGAAGGTGACACGAGGTCCGTGATGCCGACTCCCGCTGGTACCGGGGGGAAGACGTCAGCGATACAAACATGTCGCTTCATTCATACACCTTATCTAAGCCGGTGATAGCCGGGTAGAGGCCTACACATCTGCGCAAGGGATAAAATCAACGCGAGAAATGCCATAGAATTAAATTAAGCCCTCAATCGATATAACGTCTAATGCGATCATGAGTCAATCTAAATATAGTGCCCGTGTTCCCAGCATAGTAACTAATCAATTTGCTAGGAATAAAATTATTTCACAAGCCTCCATAGACTTCGCAAGCCTAGGCCCAAGCACCTACAAAGTCAGAGAAAACACAACCAAAAAAAAAAACTGTTCCATTGACTAGAAATACAGCTGACGTCCGCCAAACTGTCAGCGCTGACAATGTTTACCCTTTAAAGCTTATCGTGTATACCGCGACGGTTAAAAAAATATCTAGTCTGGGATTGTATAAAAGTTGTGATAATGTTTATCTACCTGCTTGAGCCCACCCCCTTCCCTCCTACCCCCACTCTCTCTCTTTACAATTTCAACTATCAATTAAATTTTCTGAACCGGATCAAATGATTCACACAGAGGGGTATCAAGTGACAACAGTGTCCTTATGTCTGTCCTGGCGACCATCAATGAACTGTCTATACCAGTGTAAACCTAAGGCCTTCTTATCTCTGAGGCTGAGTCATTCCCCCGCCGAAAGGTGTGTCATCCATCAAATCAAACAAAACCTTCTTACCGAGTACAAGAAAAAAAACGGTAGAGGGAAGTGGAGAGGTGTGTGTTTCTGGCCTTGAGAAAGTATTAGACAAGCTAAGACAGAAAGAAGCTACCTACGCAGTCCATCAACAAACACACACGCGCGTGCCGTCCCTCACATTCACACATCTCAGCTCAGGGAGGACGGCGTTCAACACTTCGCGCACGCACACACACACGGAGGTAACAAAGAGAGGAAGTATTACATGCTTTACCCTAACACAGCCGACCATATGGGAAATCAGAAAAGTAGAACAGATGAGATTATATTGCAATTAAATACCACATCGTTTACAGTTGAAACGAAGGAACGAACAAAATATCTGAAACACGTTTAGGCCATTAAAGAGAAGCAGCTCTGTTATAAAAATGAAAGTAAAGAAAACCCTTAGTAAAAACAAAATACCAATGTTAGCCAAGTGTAGTTTTAAACTGTTTTATCTGGAACCAGATCATTTTCTCATGCTCTAGTGTAGCCTACAGCCAAACTTTCAATATGGCACCATAATATGCCAAACTATAGTTTGCCAAGCACCAATTTTAAAATAAATTCAACATTGAAACTTACATTTATAAATAGCACAATCCCTCCCATATAATACCCAAGAGTTGACATGAAATCAAGGAAAGGAAAAACAAATACAGACATCTTTACATGCAAGACATTAAATCAGTGTTTTCTTGTTTAGAAAATTGTACTATTTGAGAGCACATTTTCAGAAACCAACTAGATATCCTGTACTTAGCATTAAACTCAGCCTCTCCCTCCAAAATTATTTATTACAAATAAAAAGACACCTAGAGCAACATTACTAAAAGGCCTATTGCTAGCCAAGTATTGCTTGCTACCTGATATAAGGTAGGTAGCCATATAGTATCCATTTCAAATGTTTTCAATGCAGTTTTAATGTGCTCATTTTTTTTTCTAAAACCTATATGACTTTTAAATAGACTCAGTAAATGTTACTCAAAAGTGCTCAAAAGAAATAAGCCTAGTTTTCATATTCGAGCTCTATCAATTTTTACTTAGAAAATCCAAAATAAAATAGAAAATAGTAGTCACGCTACTTATCAAAATGACTACAAAGGATATATAATTATAATTTTAGGCAATTGATTGCTGCCCACCCTCTGACCACAACACTGCTTTTAATGTCACACCAAATTTTACATCTTTTTCCAAAACTGGTTTTTATCCCCTGATACACAGGCTTTAAAATGAGCTATGAATATCATATATTGAAATCTTGAAACCTTTAACTTCTAATAAATTAGCTACTTGACACAAAATGTATTATTGTTTTGTTATAACCACACAAAAAACAACAGAACAACAATTCAAACCTGGTTTAGTATCAACAATACAATACAAAAGAAAAGATGTCTATCAGCACCAATGGGATGGCAGTGCTGGTTTTTCCATTTTCAAGGTGAGTATTTTCTGTTTTCTTTTTAATTACTAATAAATTCATCAGAGACAGAGTGATAGGTCAGGAATAGCAGTAAAGATATCAGATACCAGAAACATTGTTTTTTTCAATGATCAATTTTTTTAATTAGGCCTTTTGATGTATAAACTGTTTTTTTAGTTTAAATAGAATGATTTCCAGGTTAAAGAATACAGGCTTATCATAACTAGTAAATACTTTCTGTAGGCATCGCTTTATCCACTGGCAGTTTGACCATAGGTCTTTGTCTACAGGTGCTTTGCCAGTAGATGGTATGGATAAGTTGTGTATGTGTATATCTTAACGGGATAAAAAAGGTTTGTAATTGCATCTCAAGTTGTGACATAGGCCCTAATGTAATAATAATATTGTTATTCATCCTGTCTTGAGTTAAGATCACTGGCTTGCATCTTTAGGATTTCCCTGATTCCACCCACTTCTTGTGAGTACCTATGTTAGGGAAAGTAAAGGCGGTGGGGCATTGTATCAACCACACTATCTCTTAATATGCAGAGGTCACTAAAACAGATTAACTCTACTTCTCCTGCCACACTGACCTTAAGGTTTGAAAATCTATTTACTTCTTTACAACATGTATAAATACAAGTGATCCAGACAACCCAGGTCAAAAATGTGGTTGTGGAGAAAATTACCAACTTATTTCCTACTGAAAATTGGAATGAACTAACAATATCTGGGAATCATGACTGTCTGTAGTCTCTCCAACAATGTAGTCACCCATCAATGTGTTGTTTCCTTGTGTTACATAAGGACTGCTTAAGACAAGAAGGAGACAACTTGGGTAAGAATCCAGTTATGTACAAAGCCAAAAATCTAATACCTATTTTTAGTGCTATTTTGTAGCCTATCACTATCATAAATAGAAAATACATTTAGGATTGGGCCCTACAATTTTACATTATGAAAATGTAAAACATCATAATAATAAAATAAAAGAAAGGCTAAAAAAAAAAGAATTAGAAGTATAGAAGTGTAGGTCCTCTAAATACTGTAACTTGATCTAGTTTTCTAGCTCTACTTCCTATTTTAGTACGATGATGACCATTGTTTTTAATTGACAAATGTTAAGACAACTAGCCTACATAACTACTTGATGTTTAACTATAAAGACTATTATTACTCTATTAGCCTAATATGATGACCTGGTGTATGTAGTGTAGGCTACTACTACACAAAACACTTTACTAGTTTGTAGAATCAAGATCTAGCCTAGAAATATAGAATAGATTTTTTTTGGATTTAAAGTGTGTTTCCTTAACTAGATCACTAAAATAGGCCTAAATGTTTAATTTATTAATTAAGTTAGGCCTAATCAGCCTAGATCTAATGATTAATGTAGATATAGAGTCTAGAACTCTAGATCTACCATGAAATTTACCCAGACTTGGTGTTTGTTACAATGTTACTGTTCTTAGAGTCTTAGAGTAAGTGTGCCATAGGGGGCATAGAAGAATCAGAAGGCTGAGTGTATTTTAAGTGTATTACTATTACAAGACTGATAGTCTACTGAGTGAGAGTGTAGAATCATGATTAGAGATCTAATCTAGCTAGTGTATTATTAGTAGTTAAAGTTAAGAAGTGTAGAGAGAACTGTAGACAGAGTTTCTTTCAGGCATCTCTTCAGGGGGGGGGGGGGGCTCTGCCGAACGAAAGATGAAATTTAGATAGAAAATAGATCTAGAGTCTATTATATACTTTACTTTTAACAGTGTCCGCCCCCCCCCCCTCCTCCGAGAAAAAAAAAGTCTGGAAGAAACACTGACTGTAGACTAGTGATCTAGATAGACTAGAATCATCTAATCTAGAACGGAATCTTTAGCTAGATTCTAGAAGAGTCTAATCTACTACTAGAGATCTAGATCTAGAATCTAGACTCCAGTCTGGACAAGAGTGAGTGACATACTCAGACTTGACTCAGACTCAGCAGACAAAAAAAAAGTCAAAGTGGTACTGGTAGACTTACCTTTTGTGATTTCTGCAAGAATAAGCGTTTTCTGATCTTCGGAAAAAGGTTCACCAATAATCAGTAATAAAGCAGCACTTGGCACTAACTGACCCTGATCGTCAGAATCCATGTTGCTTCTTTATTATTATCTATGAAGCAAGATGAATTCAGTATGATGTAGGAATGCAAAGATATTAAATCTGTTTGCCAGGAAATGCCGAGGCCGTATCCAGAATAAAAATCCACAAGAGCAGCTAGACACGATTGGCTACATAAGCTCAATAGGATTGAAAAGATCCAATAGTTTCTTCGATAACGAAAACTTTCGGCTCTTTTTCCGGTATAACACCGGCAAAACTCGGAAAATAACGACATTAGCCTAGGCCTAACTAAACATTCAATGAATGAATCACTTTTATCAAATTAATTTTTATAAACTAGAATCTAGATTCTCTACATTCCTAAATTAAGCACGTAATTGAGTTACCAGAAGTAAGAAGTATTCTTCGTACTGTTAGATCTATATCTAGATCTAGATTTTACTTACAACTAAACTAAAACGATGGATTTCGATAGATTGGCAAATATTAATAATCTTTTATTCAAAACAAAACAAATGTTAAAATTAAACAATATTATTATATTATTCTAGATCTAGTCTAGAATCTAGACTAGATCTAGTATATATTATATATTATATATATAATATATACTAGATCTATAAGTAAGTAAGTTAAGTAAGTAGGCCTAGTAATACTAGATCTAGTATTAGTAAGTACTAAACTCTAAAGAGTAGGCCTAATAAATAGAACTACATTCAACACATTGTAAGATTGTTCTAGCTAGGTCTAGTACATAGAGTTTAATATATTAATAGTAAAAGTAAGTCACTAAGTAGACTAGAGTCTAGTACTAAAAGTAGATCTAGTAAGTACTAACCTACCTAACTAACAACTAACAAGATTCCTTCATGTAACAATACATACATACATAGTACTATTACTAGATCTACATAGATCTACTACAATACTAAAAAATACTAACAATCCTACTAGTTACTAGAATTATCTATATATATAATTCTCTTCTGGGAGCCGTTAGAAAACAAGCTGCAAACGTGCCTTGCAGTCCCCTCTTTTCCTCTTTGTCGCTACCACCCCCCACCCCCCTCACATGGTCTGGTGAGTTGTGGTTCACGCTGTTTACATTTTACAATCGTAGAGTAGGGTTTGGTGACGGCTATTAGGGGCAGATAATTTAGTTTGAAACGATTTTAAACTTAGAGGAGGTAACTAAGAGGAGGCTGCTTTCACAGGGGTTTAGTGTTTTAAAGCACATATTTTCAGTGGCAGCATTGGTACTGTCGAATTCACAAATTATGAATTACTGAAAAGTAGAAAATAAAACAACTAAATAACAGCGTATGATACGCCGCGGGTCGGCTCGTACTAAATAATATATTTAAATTATCCGGCTATTTGTAGTGAAGGCTATTTTTTTTAGTAACTACGAATAGCCATCAGAAGGCTCTTAGTACTTAACTTAGTAATCTGACCATTCAGAGCAAGGCATTTTTCTCTAATGACACTAACTAATATCTTAAACTTACTTAATGCCTAATCCTAAAGCCTAACACTAAACCCTAATGCCTAACCCTCAAAAAGTTCTACATTCTTTAAGCCTATTTACTGAGTAAAATAGGAATCAAAAGTAAAATGAAAACTAAGTCCAAAGGAATGACCTGCCCAACCTCTTTGACCACTTAAACAGTTGTCATAAAGTAAAAAGTTTAATGTCGTACTTAAAAATAAATATGAATGCATGTGCGGACAAGAACAATGATAAGAGTTTTTATTTAAGTAAGAAGCGTGGTGTCTCAGTGAAGTATAACATTAATCATTCTCTTAAAAAATTCAAATACTCATGGCCCAAAACAGGCTAATCAGTTGGCAGAGGTTGAAATAGTTATCAGTATTGTGTTGCAGCTAATAGAATATTAGTTTTTTGTGGGACCAACTTTGGTATCACCCTAGCGTCCTGACCCAAATCATAATCTCATATCATCAGTTTTGTATTACGTTTTTTCTTAATTAATTACAGGCCATCATCATGACAGAACAAATGGAAATCGATGACTCGTTATATAGGTATGAAACTTACAAGACGTACAATAAATTGATTGAAAAAACTACAGGAATTGATCCTTTAAACTTTAAATGTTCATTTTTTTATACATATTTATAATATTTATATCAGGTATGAAATTTTATCAAAAAGCAATTATTAATATAACTATTTAAGAAATTTCATGTTTTTATTTCAGTCGTCAGCGATATGTATTAGGTGATAGTGCTATGCATCGAATGGCCAACTCATCTGTTCTTGTGTATGGAATGGGAGGCGTTGGAATTGAAATAGGTAAAATATGTATTTAAAAGAATTTTTTTAGATTTTATTTCTTGCCCTGAGTTGTGGTCTACTTACATCTCTCAGAAATTATTATTGAATGTCAAATTCACTGTCCTATATATATATATATATATATATATATATATATATATATATATTATTAAGAACACGCTATTGTTATTGTTGATTTATTATGTTTAATTTAAAAGGAAAAATATTTTTTTTTGCAGCCAAAAATATTGTCTTAGCAGGTGTCAAGGTTAGTAAAATTTCATAGACTTACCATAAGCCTTTAGTACTTTTCACTGTCATAGCTCGTGTATATATAGTAGATATTTGTTAATCAGACCACATCAAGATATGATCCATTTGTTTTTATTATGATAGCAACATGCTCTAATTTACAAAATGATAAATGTTTTATGCATCACTAAATATTTGCATAAACTATTGGCACACTTATATGGCATCATAAACAAGAAATTATGTTGTTCGCAAAATGTTTTCATTTAAATATAAATATACCAATATCAGCTCCTGTGAAGTCCAGCAGTGTCATTTTGGCAAGGGAGACAACAAACAGTACACTGACAAGAACGTTCTGATGAAGGAACCCTTTATTTACCTCAGAAGCACCACCTTTAATACACAACTGATGATAACTTATAGTATAACCTTAAAAACAATGTTTACTTTTTTGTACTGTTTCATTTATTGTACTTTTAGTCCATAACAGTGCAAGATCCAAATATCTGCACAGTCAAGGATTTGGGCACCCAGTTTTTTATTAGAGATGAGGATGTTCAGTCTTCCAAATACAGGCAAGTAGCAAACCATAATCAAACTTTTGCCTAACATAAAACTGCTTGTTAGCTTCTATGGATGACATATAGTATGATAATTAATCTTAATGTTTTTTTAACAGAGCAGAAGCCTGCTGTAAGCACTTAGCTGAGTTAAATCCTTATGTCAGCATTATGAGTATCATGCAATCATTGTCTAGCAGTTCTGAGTTGACCTACTTAAAAAACTACCAGGTGTGAAGACATTTTACACTAATCTTTTGTACAAGAGGTAGAATGTTAAACTTGATGAAAAAACATATATGTATGTATAAAAAGGTAGTTTAGAACTAAATCGAATTGAGTCATAGACTTTAATTCAGACTTTACTAAATTATTGAATTTTAATCTCTTATACAGTGTGTTATTCTAACAGAATTACCCTTGCATCTTCAAATAAAGATAAATCGATTTTGTAGAACAGCATCTCCACCAATTAAAGTAAGTTTGACTTGTATTTTTGTGTAATAAAGATTTTTTAAATTTTATTCTCTCTTAGTAATGCTTGTAGGCTGTAATTATCAGATATATTTATTTTCTTGACCTTTAAACTTAAAAAAAAAATAAATGTATAGTATAATTACTATTGCTTCAAAAATTGCATTTTTCAGTTCATATCATCAGATGTTTATGGAATACTTGGTTCAGCTTTCATTGATTTTGGAGAAAACTTTGATATATTTGATAGCACTGGAGAGGAACCAAAAGATATTTTCATTGGCAGCATTACAAAGGTATTTGTCATCTGTTATGAAATAACTTATTCCAGCTTGCTAAAGCATTAAGCAGGCATAAATAGTTCTGTAGTTTGATGTGTTTTCTGTAATCAACAAATACAGGGTAACCCTGGTGTTGTCAGCTGTCTTGAAAACAGATATCATGGTCTTGAAACTGGTGATATTGTAACCTTCAGAGAAGTGCAGGGAATGACCAAACTAAATGGTCAACAGTTTACCGTAAAAGGTAATGTCTGGTCTTAACAGATTCTAATTATCAAATCAATATATCATTAAATTAGCCTAATCTTTAACTTGATTGTTTTTTTTCTAAATAAAATGCATTTTTCATCAGAGCACTTAAGTCATTCCATAACTCAAGCTTGTTAGAATACAAAACTAAATAATATTTTTATTTTTTTCAGAGGTGAATTCCTTTTCTTTTAGTATCGGAGATACTACTGGTCCAGAATATGAACCATATGAGCAAGGAGGCATATTTACCCAAGTTAAAGTTCATACCAAAACTAACTTTGTAAGTATTTTTGCTATCTCTAATAGTTACCATAATCATTCACAATCATAAGGTTTAGCTATTTTTAATATTGAACCACAAAACTTTTGCAGGAATCTCTAGAGCAGCAAATCATTAAGCCTAAACTGATGATGCCTGATTTGTGTAAATTTGATGTAAGTCATTTTTTTCCCACGTTTTCTTTAACTTGCTTTCTCTGTTTGTCTTTCCAATCAAATCTTGCGATCGAAATTTCTGGCACTTCCCAGTTAGCTAGCGCGCTGAAATTTTGAGGGAAGCTTTCTTTTGGATGACCATAGAATATTCAATTGTTATTATTACTAAATTGATCAATGGAAACATTTTATTGAGCATTTTAGACCGCTATATAATCTATATATATAATTCTCCTCTGCGAGCCATTAGAAAAAAAACGAGCGACGCGTAGCTCGCCTCTCTCTTGCCGCGCGCAGTGAAGCGAACGATCCCACGTCGCGACAGGCTTAGGGGCAGATAATTTAGTTTGAACCGACTTTAAACTTACAGGAGGTAACTATTACCACTGGTGGCCAGTTTGGGGGAGACGATATGGTCGAGTGGTTGGGCACACGATTGCTATCCCACTCGACACGGGTTCAAATCTATGTGTTCTAGTCAGTAACCAGCCCTCGTCCTAACCGCTATCAACTAACCTCTGACAATCATTCACTTGCGATTGAGACCGAAGAAGAAAGGGTCTCTCGTTTTTTACGAGTTGTCTTTTTACGAGTTGTCTTCGTTTACCCAAAAAAAAGTTAAAAGATAAAATCGATAGCAAGATTTCAATGCAAACAAACAGACAAAGACTAAAAAGTAGAAAATAATAATCATTAAAAAAGTTTTAAAAAACCCACGTTTTCTGATTGAACTAAAAAGTAGAAAATAAATACTATACATCACAATAATGCAAGCGATCACTCTACTATAAGCGATGAAAAACGTGGGGCGCCGTGATTTTCTTACAGTTTCTAATACTGTTGACTCTCTACAAGCTCCCTAATAAAAGTCAATAGTATTATCTAATCAATAGTAATATAACTTTTACTTCGGCGCCCCACGTTTTTCATCGCTTATAGTAGAGTGATCGCTTGCATTATTGTGATGTATAGTATTTATTTTCTACTTTTTAGTTCAATCAGAAAACGTGGGTTTTTTAAAACTTTTTTAATGATTATTATTTTTTAAATATAAAAGATGATTTGTTTTTAATAAAGCCTTTTGTCAGTATTAATGTAATAATGTAAATTAACATTTGCAGACTCCACCAATTTTACACTTGAGCTACCTGGCTTTACATAAATTTATAGAAGATTTCAAGTCTTTACCTAAATCATGGTTGGTTACTGTTTCTGCTTACTTCATACTTACTTTAATCAATTATTAGTATTGTAATTTTAGTAACCTGTAAAAATGTGGATAGGCTTACTAATAATAAATATGCACATTTTTATATTTTAGGGATGATGCAGATGCAGCAAAGTTTGTTGACATAGCAAAGAACATAAATGAGTCATTGGAAAACAAAGTAAGGACAAATATTTTAAATGATTGATTTTTAAAAATGTTTAACCTCTTGATATTGAGAAAATAAATGAAAAAATTATGCCTTTTCATAATTCTTTTTAAAAGGTTGATAATTTGAATGAAAATCTTCTGCAAGCTATATGCAGATGTAGTGAAGGTAGTCTTGCACCCCTATGTGCTATCTTTGGAGGTGTGGTTGCACAAGAAGCATTAAAAGCTTTGACAGGAAAGTTTACACCTCTTAACCAATGGGTTAGTTTTAAATGCAGTATTTTTATCATATTGAAAATAGCCTAAACATCATGTTATTTATTATTCAATAACTATGAAAATAGTCATGAAACTTTAATTTTATGAAAGTTAGCATTATTGCTCTATGTATGATAAAGTTTTTTAGCGCAATTTCCATTCTGGAGAATTGCGTTTATTAACTCGTCATTTCTGGGAATGGATGGATGGATGTATGAATGTATGGATGAATGTGTGTCCGGGCTTTAAGTCGTATCTCCTCCTCAACAAAGCAATATCGATGACTAGTTCCAAAAGCAATTATGTTAAGCAAGTTACGAGGATGAACATAGGCCATAAAAATTACGGGTTTCTTTCATGGATTTCCCAGAAAAGCCAAAAAAACTCGAAAAAAAGCAGTTTTTTGCCCATATCTCGGCAACCAGATCACTAAGCGACTTGAAACATGTACCAATCGATTCCTGCCATAATTTAGAACAATATTGCCGAAGAAAGTTTTCAAAAATATCCTTTCGTTCGGTCACAAAAAATTTTTTGAATTAATTAAAATTTGGACCGAATTAGTAGGCATTTTTTCCAACCACACCACACGCGTCATCACGTTCAATAGCTGCGCCATCGCGTTCCATGGTTGCGCCATCACGTTCAGTAGGCGCGCAATGGTTTTTAGTCATGTAACTCTATTGTAAATAAAACATGTAAAATACTGAAAAAAATTAATAAAAAACGTTTTGATAACTAACCAATGGTTTTACTAACCCTGCTCTTGATTTACGCTACGACAGAGCTATTTTTAGATAACATAAGGAAATTGCGCTAAAATTGTCACTAGACTTTTTAATTACCTTGTTTAACTGGTTAAAAGCTAATTAGTAAATAGTTTATTAGATTGTTTAAAAGAGTTTTAAATCAAGTTAAATATTTCCAGTTATATCTTGATGTTGCTGAAGTTCTACCTCAAGAACCTATCATAGATGTAAAACAATTTTCACCACAGTAAGATTACATTTTTATAAAAAATATTTAAATTCTATAAATTTTAATTTAGATAGCTTGATATTTAAAGAAAATAGTCACAAATAAGTTAGATAATTATTTTTACATCTTTTAAAAGTGGTGACAGATATGATTCTTTGAGAATTTGCATAGGAGAGGACAGATGTCAAGTTTTAGCTGATACTAAACTTTTTATGGTAAGTTCATCTTTGTTAAATGTTTTAATTATTGATTAGTGCTGTACACTTAAAAACAAAAATAAAAAAAAATGTTGCTTGTTTTCTAGATAAAGTTTATTATTGACATATCCAATTAAAAACATTAACAGAACATATATCTTATTCAGTTTAATTGGTAACAATTATAAAGTTTTTACATACAAAGAAATTTATAATATTTCAGGTTGGTTGTGGTGCCATTGGCTGTGAAATGTTAAAAAACTTTGCATTGTTAGGTGTTGGCACTAGATCTGGAAAGGTAAAATCAGATTGCTGCTGATGAATCTATAGTAATTTTTAAACATCTCTGAACAATTTGACTGCATTATATTTAATTAACATTGTTAATAAACAGACTTTTTATACCATGAGTTAATGACAATTATTTTTTTACAGCTTACAATTACAGATAATGACCTAATAGAAAAATCTAACCTAAACAGACAGTTCTTGTTTCGACCTTGTCACATTCAGGTTTGTGGCAAAGCATTTTTTAAAGTATTGAAATAAATTTGTAATCTGTTTTAATTGCAATGGTTTGAATTAAATATTATGTTTTATAACATTGTAATCTGTTTCAATTGCATTGATTTATTCTGAAATTGGGTTTTATTTCTAGAAACCAAAATCAGTGACAGCAAAACAAGCTGCATTAGAGATAAACAAAGGTTTGTGCATATCATAAAAACAGTAACTGACAGCTAGTTATATTTTTATTTTTTGTAATTTCTTATGTATAAATAATGCCAACACTTAAATTCATTTTTTGTGTACTATAATTTAGTATAACCATGACATTTTGTCATAACAAATACTAAATGATTTGCTCTGATTAAATCGGGACAGCCATTAATTTTGTACTAAAAACTACAATTCTTTTTTAGTAAATATTTATACTTTAAACATCAGCATGACCTAGATAAGACTTGTTGTTTACATTTAACAACATTACCTGTGGTGCGGCTGGGCATAGTGCTGACCACACTATCTCTTCATATGCCGAGGTCACAGAAACAAGTGAACTCTACTTCACTTGCCCCATAGACCGTCAGGTTTGAAAGGGAAACTTTACTTTACTTTACCTGTGGTGACAAGAGAAAACAAAATTGTTTTGGGATCTTTTTTATTTCCAATATTGTTTAGTTTCTTTGAAAATATTAATAACACTTGAGCCAAAAAAATGTGCAATCTTTTTTGAATAAGGTAATTTGTCCAGTTGTTGTTACTTTCAATCATTCTATCAATTGTGTTGTGCAAGAAGCAGTGAAAAAAAATATTTAAAACAATTAAACTTCTGCTGACTATAATAGTATAATTTGCTTATAAATGTTATTAAAATTAAATTGTGTAGGGCCTATATATTTTTAAAAATGCAGTAAAATGGAAAACCACATCTGCTGAATAACACACACATAAAAACTACAAAAAATAGTTAGAATATATAACCTAACTCTTAAAAAGCATGCTCAATTATTTTTTAAAATAATCTTTACAGATTTGCAGATAGAAGCACACCAACACAGAGGTAAAGTTTGCAAACATGTAATTGTTCAACATGAAGTTTTTGTCAAATAATTAAAATGTAACTCCTCATATAATTCATTATGATAACTGAAAAAAATGTAAATAATTTTTCAGTCATTATTAGATTTGTCATGTTATATTCCATTATAAACTGTAAAAAAAGAGATAGGAGAAATTAAAACTGATACCAACATGTATTAAATTCTAGTGGGACCACATACAGAGGAAACAGTCTACACAGATGCATTTTTTGAAAGTCAAGATATTATTGTTAATGCTCTGGATAATGTAGAAGCAAGGCGTTATATGGATGGGTAAGTAAATTCCTCCTTTCAGACCTAACATTCCATAGTGCAGATAAAGTAGAGTTCATGTTTCTCCTCGGCATACGAAGGGATGGTGTAGTCTTATGCGAGTCAGAGCTGAGTGGACTCTGGCACCTTCTGCAGTCCAGACCATTCTTCAAACCACTCGACATTGCCAACCCACATATGGATGAGTAGTACTGATTTTTCTATGCCATTTTCAGCTAGTTAGTTTTTATTTTATTTTTATAGGTTTACTTTTTAATGAAGGATATCAAATTCAAAAGTATGATATATTCTATTTTAAAAATTTAGGCGCTGTGTTACAAACCAACGACCTTTAATGGAATCAGGAACAATGGGAACAAAGGGTCATGTTCAAGTGATTGTTCCACATTTAACTGAATCCTACACAAGTCAGGTAAAAAGGGTTTTAGATTTGGTTCTGACAGGATTCTACTAGGACTTGGCTGTTATTGTAATTGACATAAACTATTGCTATTAAAGTAGGCTGTAAAAGTATTGATAACTTAAGCATACAATGCTTTGTAAGATGTTAAGTACAACATTTTTTTATTGATTGTTTAATTTTGCCAAAATCATAAATTTACATGAATATTATTTTTCTAAAACATTTTAGCAAGATCCTAAAGATGAAGATTTCCCTTACTGCACAATAAAGTCTTTTCCTGCAACTCTGGAGCATTGTATTCAATGGGCTAGAGATAAGGTGTTGTATACATTTGTATTATCATAATGACTAAGAAAATGTACACTTAATATTTAATCAATGTTTCAAAGATTTTTTAATTACCTGATTTTTATTTCATTTATTGTAATTTTTTTTTTAAATAATATAGTTTGAAGCTCCTTTTGTACAAAATGCACAACTTTTTAACAAATTTTGGGAGAAAAATAAAGACATCAAGGAAGTAATTAAGGTTAGTTTTTTTTTTTTTAATTTACTTTTAAATTATAAATATACATCCTCTAATTGCATTCCACAAGATTTATTTTGTCCTTTAAGTGTTATAATATAACTATTTTTTTTAAATGTTTGCTTTTATGTATAGTTATTAGAAAACAGTAATGATAGTTTTTTAATCTCATACCAGAAACTAGAAAATGGCATTGCTGTTGAGGGGGCTGTGAAAGTGAGCAAAATTCTGACAAATAGGCCAAGCAATTGGACAGATTGTGTATCCCTAGCAAGAATCCGTTTTGAGCGCTATTTTAATCACAAGGTAAGGTGCAACTGCTTTAGTTTTATAATAACACCCTAACAAGGATTTTGTTCACAAGTATTTCTTTTGTTTTTCTTTCTTAGGCAAAAGAGTTGCTTCATGCATTTCCAATAGATAAAAAGCTTGAAGATGGAGGTTAGTTAACCCTTTTGGTTTTTTTTAACCTGTTAGTAAATCATTTTTTTTATTACAGCTGTTTATGTTGTAGTATTTAATAAATCTACACTTACTATTCTGTCATTCACTTTTTCTATCGATAATGCATGTAAGTCATTCTGAAACTACTGAGTGCAGAAAAAGGTCCAAAATCTTTTGACTCCTAAGATGTTATGTATTTTATGACAATGTATTATTCCCACCCTCAAAAATGAGAGTAGGGAGTCATTTATGGATGCTACCTTACTGCTGCAAATATTGCATAAGTTAGGTGTTGATAGTTTAAATGTCTATTGGTTTCCAAATTCTCAGAATGTATAGAAGTTGATGTGCTGTGTTTAAATCTGCATTTAATTCTAAATAACATCGGTTACTAATGTTGTAAGGAAAACTATTTTATTGATTAATAAAGATGTAGATGGATCACAGAATCAATATTTCTAATTGATACTCGGTCTTAGGATATAAAAATACTTTTTAAAAATGTCATCAATTTTGTAAGTTAGATGTTTAATATTTTACAAACAACTGCAGTATACTAATGTGTATGTTATTATGGATCCTTAATCTTATTTCAGCATTATTCTGGGGTCCTCCCAAAAGACCACCAACCCCCGTTGTGTTTGACCCAAGTAATGATATGTAAGTCATAAATCTACTGAACAATAGCTTTCAGTTGCAGGCCTACAAGTTAATGATGGGTTTGATGTGTGCTTAACATGCTTAAAAAATGCACTTTATAATACAGTTTATAAAATAAATACTTTGTCTTTTAAATACTGCAGGCATATGCTTTTCGTAGTTACAACAGCAAGATTGATAGCAGATGTATACAACATCCATAAAAGTCAAGAGGTATTAATTTCATTTAACTCAATACCAACCATTTTAACGCCAATAGTGAGGTATTTTTTAAATATATGAATATTTGGTTTTATTTATCATTTAAATTCTTCACGTTTTTAATTTTTTAATCCTAGGATTCTGAGTTGAAAAATATCATTGACATTTTGTCAACAGTTACTGTTCCAGAATTTAAGCCATCAAACAAGGTATACTTTTTTAACATACTACTAGATCTAAACTCGTTTTTATTCTTTTTAAAAATTGCAAACATCGTTTTAATTAAGAACCAAAAAATGTTTAGTTCATCCCATGAAACTGGTTTATTTACTAACCTAGTTTTAGACTATAGCTAAGTCAGTTGAAAAGTTAATTTTAAATACATAAATTGACATAACACTTTGGCCTGACCTCTGTGGTACATGTATTTAAGGCCATAGAGACTGATGAATCAGTTAAGAAAGATGAATCACCTCCCGAACACCTCTCAGGAGATGTTGTCAAAGAGGCTGGATTAAGGTTGAGGAAATTACAAGAGAGCCAACTAAGTTTGTATTTGTTTTTTATATCATATTAAAGTATTTTTATGTGTAGTGTTTTTGTCATTTTAAAACTTTTACAAGCACTTCATTATTCTTTTAATTTATGACTTCAATAATTAACCAATGATTTTCCTTGAAATTGCTGTATTTGAACAGACCCAAGTCCATTAAATGCTTTGGAATTTGAAAAAGATGATGACAGCAATGGTCATATTGATTACATAACCTCCACTACAGTATGTTATATTTTCTTATAAGTTATAATATGTACTCACAGCTTATATATACTTTAAAACTTGACCTATTAAAAGTAATATTTGATTCTAGAAATAGAGCTACAGCAGTCTCTAATTAAACTTTTTTTTTTTAAAGTAATGATGAAATGTTAAAGCTTTGTTTGTCCCATTTTACCCTTAGTTGGCATCTTGTAATGGTAAAAATGAATTATTATGAAGTATTTGACACTTCAGTCTTACACATAACTTCTTGCAGAACCTGCGTGCACAGATGTATAACATAAACATAGGAGACAGGTTTAAAATAAAAAGAATAGCTGGCCGTATTGTTCCTGCCATTGCCACAACTACGGCTGCAGTTTCAGGGCTTGTCACTCTGGAATTGATCAAAGTTCTATGTAAGCTTCCATTCCAAAAGTTAAGAAACTGTTTTCTTAACTTAGCTTTACCCACATTACTGATGTCAGAGCCAGGACCTGCAGCTAAAACTGTTTTACGGTAATTTTGATCTGGTTGTTTTTTATTTACTAATTTACTCATTTGTAAACCATAGACATATAAATGTTTCAAGAAAAACTTTCCTGTTAGTAAATTAGAAGAATTAATTTTAAAAATGTATTACAGAGAGGGTCTCAGTGTAACACTATGGGACAAGTGGGAAGTACGAGGCACACAGACATTTACATTACAAAACTTTATAGATTCATGCAAGGTAAGAAATGCTTTCAGTGAAGTTTTGTCAGCTGGGCTGTTTTAATAGACCTATTTGTTTCATTTGTTTTTGTTTTATCTGTACAGGAAAAGTTTGGATTTGAAGCAAACTCAATTGTGCAAGGAGTGAAAATAGTGTACATGCCATTTATGCCTGGCCAAAATAAAAAACTACCAATGCAGTAAGTTAAAACTTTTATTGTGGTAGAATATGAGGTGGTATTAAAATTTTTAAAATTAAAATTGATGCAAAGCTGATTTTAAATAATTAAGATTTTAAAAGAGTTAAGCAGTTGACAAGTTTTTTCTCTCTCTCCGACAAGGATGACAAGTCTACTGAAACCTGTACCTGGCCAAAAATATGTGGACCTTGTTGTATCTTTTGATGGAGATAATGGTGATGATGTGCCAGGTCCACCTGTTAGATATTTCTTTTAGGCTTGGATTTGGGATCACTTACACAATAGATGGTCATACAAACTGTGATGTTTTTAAAATGTATTATTAAATTTTAAAATGATTCATCTATGAATGACCATAGATGATAACATCAAATAAAAAAAATGATGAACTAAATTATTGTACCCATGGTACATTTCATCCCATACCCCACTGGATTTTGTAGATGGTAAGTGGTAGGTGAGGCTGTTGTATTACTGAGTTACCTGGTGCTGTACACGAGCCTGGTATTATGGTTGCCATAGAAACCCTGTCATGCCATGTCTGGAGCTGTCACATCAGACATCTGTGGGTTCGCCAGAAAGGCTCTCATCAGAGTGGTTCTTTAGATTTTAAGATCACTCTCCCTCATGCTATAACATTTGAGCTTTAGTCATTCTACTTCTTGCCATCATGTAGCTTCAGTCATTCTACTTGTTGCAGTTACAATTTATCTGCAGTACTTTTTTTGAGCAGATTTCAAAAGAATGTTGGAGATTGTTCGTTTGTTTTTGTTTTTTTAATATAGCTTCTAGGAACTACCTAATTTGTAAACATTTTAGATGTTAAGCCAAGTAAAATCATTGTGGTTAAATTAAACCAAGAAATAATGTTGCAGCTTCTGGTATGCTGTGTAAATGTTACAAACTTAGACCAATGATGTCTTAGTATTAGCTTTTGGTGTCAGTAAAAATGTCCCTAAATAGAGATTGTTATAAAACTGACCAGAGTTATGGATAAACATACTGACGCCTTTGAACATGTTATATGATTGAGGTTATGTTATAGTTATATTTGCTGTTTGATTGAATAGTTAATTGTTTTATTAATTTATCAGGATCAATATCTTATTGGTGTCTGTACATTTGTCAGTTTTTCAGCTTCATTTATTTTCATTTTTATGGCTTCAAGTTTGTGAAGCAGCATATGTAACTGAGGTCATTCCTGCCTATACATAAGTTGTTGTATGCCTAGTCATTGGTTCAAACAATTAATCAACCAACAGCTGTTCTAAAGTTGTCTTTTATGAGAGGCAGTAATTTCATTATGTGTTCATCAGTCAAGCTGCTCTACAAAATTGTTTGCCTAAGATTGGGGTTGAAAAACAATAAAGTTAATAAATAAATTTAATGCTTGCTCTTCTATTTGTTGTTAAAGAGCTGTAACGCTAAAAATTAATTCAATGCGGCAGTTCATTTAAATAGAAAATTTATTTCTTATAATAAACATTTTTAAAAGTTGTAGGCCTGTACTAAAAAGGTCTAACAAATATAATCTTGATAATGTTTTGTAGAACAGTGGCGATTATGTACAGCTTTACCTAGACACCACTGGGAGTCGACACTACCAATTAGTAGACAAGAAGATAGAAACTTCCAATCCATTCTGACGGTACTGAAGATAAGCTATTCCAGATAAATTCCATAAAAGGTTATGACACAGACGGCGGTTTTCGTCTTGAAAACACATGGGGCGTAGTTATCAAAAGCTGTATTCCAGACACAGCGGTCGCCTATCATGATGCCTTGGTTGTTGAGTTGTGCCAGAGTCACGTGACACAAGTAGCGATACCGTGGAAACTCAAATCTCCTTTTAACCTAATCAGTAAAACAGAACAGTTTGTTAGGTAGATAAACAATCATATAGCTTTTTTTTTAAAAAAAAAAACATAGTCACGTCTATTAACTAGATCTAGTAAGCGATCTTTTATTGCACCTATTAGACTGCCTTCGTGTACACTCCATTAGCTAATGCCGCATCTATATTGACCACCGTCCATAGACCTACACAATATTCTATTATATTTTTAAGATTTCGGTCAAACTCTATCAAAAGCTGCTTCTTAACTGTGTTCTTAGCGCAGTTGTATTCAGCCATGTGACCTCCTTAAAATGCATGCGAAACTAACTAGACGCTTGCATCGACTGTCTTTAACACTTTGAACCCGGGGTACCGCTTTATATATCCGAGTCTTAATAATTCTCCGTGCCCCAACAGCCCAAAAATCGGAACTAGGCACTTTATCCCAGATCGACAGTCCGTAGATAAAAATGCGATATTAAAGCCAATCTCTCAGTACTTACAAGTGCCAGACATTTGGACGCTATTAGCTTGCAAAGAGTGGGCGCCACTTTACCGTCATATTTGTAGTTTTCAAAGACGGGGGTCATAAGCTTTTGTATCGCATTCCTCACCTGGACATAGAAGAACAAGTTTAAGTTTACTAAATTAATAACAATCTATATTTTTTGTCAAATCTGGTAGCTTCTTAAAATAAAATGCTTTTGTTTTTTTATGAGCCAACATTTTCTGTCATAAAGACAAAAACACAATGACATGTTAAATTGTTAAGCCTGTAAAAAATTTCACAAGCCCTAAAGAAAACTGCTTTCAATAAAAACTCCAAATACCTTCCACCAAATGAAATAGAGATTTGGTTTAGGCTCCATGCGATAGGTGTTCTCCCACTGAATTTTCTTCCTGGTGAAAGAGCTCTGTCGCCTTAGGAGCATCAACGACGACTTGGTCCGCTCCAGCATTAGGCTGATGCTCGGGTCGTCATGGTAAGCGTTATCTTTGTTGACGTTACTGTCCTTGGCCGTGGGTTGCTTGCATACCTGGCGGTTGCTCTCGTTCTCGTCCTCCTGGGTGTCTTGCGAGATTTCGGAGAGGGAGGCAGACATCAGGTTCTCGGAGCGAAACCTCAGCATGTGAGGAGAAAACGTGTACTTCATCTGCAACAGAAATCAGGAGAAAGTTTAACTGGGGGCAAATTTCGATTTGTGTAATTTTCTGTGGCCGAAAGTTAAACATGAGGCCCACAGTGTATTAGCACAACACGATGGATTTGGTAAGCAATGAAGTCTCAAAAAATCGGTAAGACTGATTTTTAAAAATCTTTTTCCAGATATCGTGACATGTTACTTCAACTGGCCCTAAGCGATACTGGCAGAAAAAAAATCCAAGATACAAGAGTGCATCGTGCAGGATTTTTTTTTTTACAAATAAAAACCATAATGAAATACAGTGGAACGTTGTGGTCGGATAGTAGAGTTTACGACTGCTAAAAGTTTCGAGTTTGGTTCTTGTGCTCTAGTCTGATGACGCCCGTGAGTTTACCCCGCTCTGATGGGTTAGGGCGGTTAGGGAAACAAAGAAGGCAGGGCATAGTGTTGACCACACTTTTCCCCTGTATGCCGAGGTAATTGCAACTGGTAACTCTACTTTATCTGCCCCATATGTCTTGGGCACAAACGTGAACATATGATACTGATGACTTACCATATTGTTATTACGACCTGGTGAATCTTTATGGTGGTCCATTTTCTGCCACTGCCTTGTAGCACCAAGACCCGCCTGCCTTCACTAGATGAGTAGTAACCACTGGGCACACACTATAAGCTGAGCTATGGATGGATGATTGTGAAGAGTAATATGCATCATACGTTCTCTATACCGTAACAGTACCAGAAACGGAAGTTGTAGGCGTATGGTGATAATACAGCCACTAATAATAGTGATCAAAGGACAAGACCAAAGTTAAAGTCTGTACTGCAACTTGCTTTCCGTACAATATATTTAATGTGATTTTATTTAAAATCTTAGTAGTAAGCCTATAAAACATGTATTAGTAAACTATTTTACCTTGAAAACTATATAACATTAGAGTCCAACAACATCAAAGGTTAGTCCAAGGTTTACTTTCATTTGTTGATGTAAACATACACATGTGCACACACAATGGTGCAATCGCGATGTAGAAGTGCGCAACTTTATTAGGCCTAAACTTAAAACCCAAACCCCTACATTGTTTGAGCTTATCAATGACAATATCTGTCATAGTTCTTTGTAATTGAGTTCTTAGATAGATAATCCTAATTTATGACATTTTTGTTAAATAGTTCTGGCAAATTATTTAATTTTTACATGCTTTTTTTTTTACAAAGTTTTTTTCATGCATCTCTTTAAGCATCTCTTCCCCCAAAGTTTATTGTAGGCCTACCCTAAAATGTTCTGAATCATATCCATAAATGAGTCATGACGCTTGGCAATTTTAGCTTTTTTTTTTTTAAAACCCCAAATCTACAGCAAATGGTCACCAACATAAATGCCTGGCCGAATGAAAATATTGCTCCCTCCCCCCCCCCCCCCCCCATCGTTTAAATGCTACTCCACGTTTTAAAACACTTTCCTTCCCCCCCGCATCACTTGGTCACATTAAAAAAACAACAACTTAAAATGAAAATATTGCATAATTTTGTCCTTAATGTACAGAATACATGCTAGACCTATATTGCATCTTCCCAGTCCCTGCTGTAAACCAAACGTAACACAAGCGTCTGAACGTCTGAACCCCCTCCTCCTTAAGCATGTGACGCGATTGAACGAATCCCCCCCCCCCCCATAAAAAGGAAATTATTATGAGTTCTGCTACATATTCTCTACTATCGACACACACTTGAAAATATTGTGAAGCCTCCTCCTCGTCTTTCCTGTTTGCAAGGACAATCGATTAAAAAAAACAACCCCAACATCACCCAAAGACCAATGAGAAGCAATGGACTATTTGACAAGAAGCTCAGAGCTGTGCTCACAAAGGAGGAGAAGAGCCACACTCGGCAGGATTCTTAGGTTCTCACATCATTCAGAGCGGGGGCAGATAGTAAGCCAACGAAAATCGAGGCGACCGGCGAAAACCGAGACAAAATGAAAACTTCGTGAACCGAAGGCAAAGGAATCCGTGGTTTCTCTGAATTTTTATTTTACTTTCAAAATAATGGCACAAGAAAGCACTAGTAAGCTTTTTAAAATTTAAATTCTTGACACAAGTACTGGTAATTGGAACTTAACAAATAGACCTAATACATTTGTATATGTGCATCCGATGGTGCCAGCCAACCCTCTTTCAACGGCTATATAATGAACTAAAACTAAAGGGCATCTTGTGTCACTCTGAGCAGTGGCGTCGCTAGGTCGGGTGTCACCCGGTGCGGCACTTCTTGGTGCCTCTCCCCCAAGAAACTAAGTTTATATATATATATATATATATATATATATATATATATATATATATATATATATATATATATATCATTTATATCACACACAGTCACAAAATTATTACGGACCCTACTTCCCCCCCCCCCCCCCCCTACGCGTTTCATTTATGGACGACCCCTACCTTACATGTGTATAAGCTTTAATCACTGCAGACTTAATTGTAATTAAATTTATTACATTGTCTCTCTATAATAAAGTTGGATGCAGCATTGTTTTTTCTATTTAACTTTTTTCATTAATTTAACTGGCAAAAAAAAGCATTTTTCTTCTGTATATTTTGCAATTTTTCGCCTTGGTGTCACCCCTCTAAATCGTGTCACCCGGTGCGGTGCGCACTCCCCGCCCCGCCCTCGCTACGCCTCTGATTATGTTCCAAACGGTGTGTATAACCTTACGAGTCGAAAACTATTTATTTAAGGAGTTAAGATCTTGAAAAAAAAACCTCTTGACTCTATCTAAAGGCGAACCCTCAGTATAAAACAAGACCATAAACAGAACCTGGAAACACAAGTCGGCAATATAATATTTGGCAGGGCTTGTTGAAAGAAAGAAGGGGGGGGGGGTAAGTATTGAATTATTGTAATAAATAGCTGTACAAGGTCAGGGTTTTCCGGGGGGTGGGGAGACTTAAAGACTACAAGTAGCCTACATATAAATCTATTTCGGTCGGAGGATGGCAGCCGGTGTACGCGTCGGGTGTGTTTCTTTCAAGCAACTCTTGGGGGGGGGGGGGGGGGGGGGGGGGAGGGGCAGAGGCGTAGCGAGGGGGGGTGGACATATGTCCCCGGGCGCCGACCTTAGGGGGGCGCCAAATTGAAAGTTTGAGGGGGGGGGGTGCAAATCGAACGTTTGTCCCCGGGCGCCGAGAAGGGTCGCTACGCCTCTGAAGCACTTCTACCGCCCCCTCCCACCAAAACGAAAAAATTATATAGAAAATATATATTTCTTTTACCAGTGTTCCCCCCCCCCCCACCCCTCCCGAAAATTTAGTCCGCCCCTATAAAACGATTGATTTTTTAGGGTCTTTTTTTAGTAATAAAAATTAAGAAAAAAAAAACATGCTCTTTTTGTCAGAATTACAGCTAGGGTGCGTGGGTGTGTACCACATCTATAGGTCTACTAATAAGTACCCTCCGGAGGCGTAGCGATGGGGGAGGCAAGGGGGGACATGTCCCCGGGCGCCGACCTTAGGGGCGCCAAAATGGGTTGGAAAAAGTAATCGAAAGCTTGAGGGGGGTGCAAATCGAAAGTTTGAGGGGGGGGGGGCGTGCAATTAAAAAGTTTGAGGGGGGGGGGGGTGGGGTGCAAATCGAAATTTTGAGGCGGGGAGGGGGGTGCAAATCAAAAGTTTGAGCGGGGGTACAAATCAAAATTTTGTCCCCGGGCGCCGGGAAGGGTCGCTACGCCTCTGGTAACCTCTGAGTGTTATTTATGCTTTCTCTTAGTTGTATTTCATTTTACCAATTTCTCTTATTTGAGGCTATGCTGTTTGTTGAAATCATTACACCACAAAGACAGAGGGATTATCACGTGACACAGACCAGGGAGGTTTCTAAATAAAACAAAATAAAATGACGTCACTCTGTCCCATTTACAACCGGATGGAGTAGCCTGCTTTCACTCTTGCGAATCTATGAAAACATTCACCCCAAGCTAGATCTAAGTCCACATTACCTTTGGATGATTATCCCCCATAAAGGTATGGTCCGTAACGGAGAAAAAAAAAAGAGTACACTAATTAAATCTTAGAATAGATTTTGGTTTTTGAATATTTACTTAGTTTTACCACCTCTGATTTAGTTAAGGCTAAGGTTTCTAAAGTAAAAATGTAGTTTAGAAAGCTGAGCGAAGCAAGCGCCGGTGTGTCGGACAAAAGAGTCATCATGAGTCAGTCCGTCAGTCCCCATCAATCATTGTGACCATGGCATAAAATGTCACATTCTCAATGACCATCTTATATTGACCTAGATCTAGATCTAATTTAAATTGTCCTACTCAGTACTTAGCCCTACTGCTTTTACCATATCATACTACAAGTGCTTCTTTGGCCTACATTCGTTTTATTAGTTTTACCTTGATCTCATTTTAGTTTTAGTAACAGTTTCAAAATGGATCTTTAAAATTCTATAGTATAGATAGGGCATAGGCCAGGCCTACTTAACTTACTAAGTGAATTTTTCTAGATCTAGACTAGATCTATAGTTAAAAAATTCTATAGGGATAGCCTATACTTTAAATTATTTATTATAGCCTATCCTATTTTTTATTACCCTCGATGCCTAATTTGTTTATTATTATTAGGCTTAGGCCTATAAATTCTATCTTTGTAATGGGGGTGCGGGGATGGGTGGGGGGGGGGGGGGGAAGACGGAAAGGTAAACTAAACTATCTTCTATTGAAATTTTATCATGTCTGGGGGACTGGTGGACATGTTCCAGAAGGGGGGAGGGAAAAAAATTGTCCCCGCCCCTCGAAAGATGCCTGAAAAAAAAAAACCACTGCTTTAGTCATCCTATAGTTAAAACCCATAGGTGGTGGGGGTTTTCATTCCCCCACAGTTGTCTCATGTAAAGCTATCGGCTATTAGTAACCATTTGCTCATGTCGCTCTTTTCAAAAATTTAATCTATACTAGAAACTGTTTTTTTTTGTAAAGCCTTAATATTTTGTTAAAAGAATGCTGTCCATTTAAATTAAGACGTCAATAATAAATTTTGGAATTATTATTTATACTATATCGAATTATAAATTTAGATTATACATATTAGCTGGTTAGAGATCTCTGGTACATAAAATGTATCTGTTACATATATACAGTGGCATAGCGAGGTCGGGTGTCACCCGGTGCGGCACTTAATGGTGTCACCCCCCCAGAGGCGTTGCGACCCTTCCCGGGGACAAAGTTTCAAGTTTTTGATTTGCACCCCCCCTCAAGTTTTCAATTTGCACCCTCTCCCCCTCAAACTTTTGATTTGCACCCCCCCCCCCCCCTTCAAGTTTTCGATTTGCACCCCCCCTCAAGTTTTTCTCTATATATTTTGCTATTTTTTGCCTTGGTGTCACCCCCCTAAATGGTGTCACCCGGTGCGGTCCGCACCCCCCGCCCCCCCTCGCTACCGCCCTGCATATATACACATATACTTATATAGAAGAGTTGATAACCTTACAATGCCATAGACATAGATCTTCTATTTGGAGAAGCTTAGATAAGTTTTTCGAACATTGAGCCATAGCCTTTGTCCATTCAAGAACAAACTACAAGGCAGCAGGTGTTTGACTTTGGAGTTTTCTCTCCTAGATGAGTTGCTTTTCCCAGCTATCGAGCCTCGTCTTTTCAGGGTTTGAATTCTGGACTTTTTAGTTTAGTAACCATGAGTTTTTTTACCACCTGACCATGCGGACCTAGTTATACATTCACATTTCCTCACTAATAATTGTATTTAATTTTTACAGTGTCTAATTACAGTTACATATCAGTCAGAGAAACCTGTGTTGACCGTAGGTGTTCATCAAAATCAAAAAGAAAAAAACCACATTGTAAAGCCCAATATGTAGTGTGTTGTAAGAGTGTAGCCAATCTTAACATAATCCTCATTATGTTGAGGTTAAATCTGGGATATGGTTTGGTATTTATATCAATCTACAACTGATTGAGAACATGTAGCAATTTATAATCCTAAGCAATGTTGTTTTCTTACATCATCAATGAATATTTTGTGAATTGTTTTGTATTGCTTATGCTTTAGCATCATAATCTATTAAAAAATAAAACACAAACATCATAACAACTGAATATTTTCCTGTTTGATACATACAATTATTTTTGGTCTGGAATATAGATCTATGCTGTTTCTCTTTATTTGTGAACCAAAATCTTTCATGGTCAATTGAACATTCTGATGTAAATGTGCCTAAGGGGGAGATAAAAGTGTTGATAAAAGATGCAGTTAACAGAGCTATTTGCAATGAAGATACCATTCTATATGTCCAACGTATATTCACATTAGATTTTACATCATATTTTACCTCATTTTTTAAAAACATTTAAGGTACATCATATCTTTTTATATACATCTACATTTATTTCTTACATTTGTGGATAATTATAAAAACAATGATTTTTTCATTTACATGTATGGCATTTAATAATAATTGTTTAAGTTTTACTTTAAACAAATAGGCATGGTAAACATATTTTTTTTAATGAGAGAGATACATGCCGTAACATTTTGAAAATACTCTTTTATATAGCCACAGTAAAAATGCCTTAACATTACAGTCATGTAACAAGTGCCACTATTTAATTACCTGTCCATTTTTATCGGTGGCATTTAGATTAGGATTTAACATTGTAAAAGTTTTAAAAAATCATTAACTTTATTCCTTTGTTGAGGAAAATAAATGAGTTAAAAAACTTCTCTTCCCAAGCAATTAATGTACACTCATACTTCTTTTCTTTTCTCTGTATTACTGTTTTTTTCAATATTTAAAAATTCTGATGAAGAAAGGTACCAGTTTACAAAAAAAAAATGACTGTCCTATGAAAACATGTATAATAATACAAGAGAGGTAACTCAGTATCTTGGTTAGCATGATATCATGTATCAGTACACAGGTTTCTAGTTACTCATATGACTATCTCAGTCTGCTCCCTGTTGATGAAATGTCCCTCTGATAAACTGGCTCTGCTGAAATACTAGAGCACATTGTTGTCACAGTTTTCCACTGTTGGGGGGAGCAGGTGTTCATTTCCCCTGGGCCTGTACACAGCCAGGTGGTGGGTGACTTAATGCTGGTGATGAAATGTGTTGAATATTGGACATACCTCGTGTTTTAATTTTGTTTGAATTTAAACTTAGTCTGCTTTTTCCTATAGGATACTATGGTGTAGCATAAAGTATGTTTCCATTATACTGAAATTTGTGATCCATCGTTGTATTAGAAAAGTTTATGCTGTTTTTACAAAAATCATATACCAGGTTTTCTAGGTTAAAATGCACATGTGACAAATACTTAATCAGAAATATTGTTTTTAAAGTAACAATGGATTGATCTTTGCTGTTTTTTATGTACATTAATGAACTAATGTTGACATAGTCATCGCTAGGTTAGGTGTCGCACTGTGAGTTAACTGAGGGTGTTACCCCCCCCCCCCCCCCCCTCAAATCCAAATAATTTTTGGTTAGTTGTTACCCCTCTCCCTCATTATTCTTACTGGATATAACATTGTTTTGTAAGTATGTAAGTAAATTCTATAATTTTTTTGATTTGGTGTCACCCCCAAAGTAGCGTCACCCGGTGTGGAGTGCACCCCTCACCACCCTCTTGTGACACTAATGAATGTTGGATTATCTGTCCTCTTAAGTGAGCCATGTTACTGAAGATTCACACAAAGATCACCACCTTTTACTTGGATATTTCAATGCTTGTATTTTTTTTATTTCAGAAATCTGCTGTATGGCGTTTAGCCCAGTGCAGTCTCCAGTCTATGTAAGTTCCAACAGTTGTTTAAGTTGTTAATATTTTAACCTTTCATATGTTCACATATGATCATCAGTTAAATAACATATCATATCTCCAGTCTATGTAAGTTCCTACAGTTGTTTAAGTTGTTAATATTTTAACCTTTCATATGTTCACATATGATCATCAGTTAAATAACATATCATATCTCCAGTCTATGTAAGTTCCTACAGTTGTTTAAGTTGTTAATATTTTAACCTTTCATATGTTCACATATGATCAGTTAAACAACACATCTGTTTCCGGGGAGGGGAAGTGTTAATCATTCATTAAATTTATTAAGTTAAAATAGTATTTACAGTTGTTAATATTTTAGTCTTTCGTATGTTGACATATGATCATCAATTAGATAGCACACGTGTTGTTTGCAGGGAGGCGACGTGTTGACTATTCAACTGGGACAGGACCAGCTGGGTCAAGCAGAAGGGAAATATTTTGTTGTTTTTGAGGGCTCACGGAGGCGACATGTTGTTTCTGCTCAGCTATCTGCACCACACTGCCTGCATGCATACATTCCAGGTAATTTCAAAACTTTATTGTTGTATGTTGGATTGTCTTGTTAGATTGGCATGCATACATTCCAGGTAATTTCAAAACTTTATTGTTGTATGTTGGATTGTCTTGTTAGATCTGCATGCATACATTCCAGGTAATTTCAAAACTTTAATGTTGTATGTTGGATTGTCTTGTTAGATCTGCATGCATACATTCCAGGTAATTTCAAAACTTTATTGTTGTATGTTGGGTTGTTTTGTTAGATCTGTATGCATACATTCCAGGTAATTTCAAAAATTTATTGTTGTATGTTGGGTTGTTTTGTTAGATCTGTATGCATACATTCCAGGTAATTTCAAAAATTTATTGTTGTATGTTGGATTGTCTTGTTAGATCTGCATGCATACATTCCAGGTAATTTCAAAACTTTATTGTTGTATGTTGGATTGTTTTGTTAGATCGGCATGCATTCATTCCATGTAATTTCAAAACTTTATTGTTGTATGTTGGATTGTCTTGTTAGATCTGTATGCATACATTCCAGGTAATTTCAACATGTTATTTTTTGTATGCTGGATTGTCTTGTTAGATCTGTTTTTACATAATGTCCTGTGCAGTCATATGTTGAACGTACCATGAATATGCAGTACACAAGCACCTAGTCTCTGTGTTAGTGCAAAAATTTAGTTGGGATTTTTTTTTTAAAAGGATGGCATAAGCTCTGACTTTTGGTCAATTACTCTCTCCCCCCACCCCAATATTAAAAGATTAGGAACATGTTATTCGTATTAAATTTTACTTTAATAATATCTATAAAATGCAAAATAACAGCTAAACTTTAGTTTTATAAGGATCTTTAAAATGCAACTAATACTTTCATGAATTTTATGACTAATAACTAGATATTGAAGAAGTGTATTTTAAACAAAGAGTAAAATTACGTCTAATCACCGATAACTCTTCTTTCTGCCAACCAAATTTATAGCCAGTTATCGCCCTTGGCCTAGACCTATCCAATCTTTCGTTTTTAAAATCGTGCGGGTGTACTGTAAATTTACTAAATATGAGCTGAATTTCAGCTGTATTACTCATTGTGTTTGGTCGTACAACCGATGCTATACTTAGCTATGCGAACTTGTGTGTTTTGAATGAGATGCTTGTTATTTTTTAACTAGTAGAGTATCGAATTAAAGGCAACCAGGGAGCCCCTAATTTTAACGGCCCAAGATATCAAACGAGACCTATTGAAATAAAATTAACAAGGGTATCTAATTATTTTCTGCCAAGTCTGGTTATGTTCGGAGTTTTTATCAGGCACACTACCCCCTTTATTTCTGGCACACTACCCCCATTTAAGTTCTAAAAAATATATGATTTATAATACAAAATATACTAATCCCAGTCATATTGTTTATGTTTGGCTGTGCCAATTACTACAGAATCCCAGTCATATTGTTCATAAAATTGATTATACATCAGAAGTTTAACCGCCCAGAATGTACTCACGCTATAAATAGGCCTATTTATGATACCGAGAAGTAAAACGGACTCTGTCAAGAGGTCAAACTTTGTTTAACATCAAGTTTAACTGCCCATATTTCGTTAGCGTTAATCTTGTAACACCCGGTAAGCCCCTACCTTTACACTTCCCGCCCTAATCCAGTAAAATATTCCCATTGTTTCCGTTGATCCTAATGTATCTGATGCCCAAGTTCATGTCTTCATGTCACGTGATCCGACGGCGCCAATCACAGCCTTTGACTTGGCGGGCAGTCGTGTGGACGTCTGGATGAAGATCATGCAATGTTTCCCAAACAGCCAGTTAACTGCTCCGGCCTGTTGATGTCTGCCTCTCCCTGTCGCCTGTTTCACTGTCCAGCTTAGGCTGGCCTATTGAACTGTCCGGCTCTGATCAAATCATTGATCTCCTGGCTAAAATAAATAAAACCTGGATTAATGAAAACTTAAAAAAAAAAGATTTTACATTGCTTGTTTTTAGGTTGAATGTTGTTTCAAAACTCTTATCTATAAAGGCGTGCAATAAACTGCACTACAGTTTTATAATCGTATGTTAAGTGATTTATCCGTGTTGAACTGTAATAAGGGTGGGTCATAGTTTAAAACAGCACAGATTAGCAGTTTTTAATTGCTTTGATCTAAAGGTACCCTAACCTAAGCTAAACAACGTGACAGTGACAGCGACAGCGCATATGGCTGAAAATATCCATGATTTGTTTTTTATTATTATTATTGTTTCTAATAAGAACGAAATCTGTCCCAAAGAGCAGGTCGCTAGTGCTATACATCTATTTGATTTGATCCCACACTATGGTAAAAAAAGGTGTTATATAACATTTAGTTGCTATAACTATGGTTTGTCAGGAAGTACTAGAGTACTCTCTCAGCTTTGATTATGTTTCTTTGACCTCGATATATGACCACCCGACCAGGCCGGCTGAAAAAGGTTGTATCAGCTTGACAGCAAAGCTTTCTTTAAGAAGGCTAGCACATTGGTTGTGATCACACTACTGAGGTTATATGTTTACTAAAATAATAGGAGCAGGGATATATCTTAAATCACCTTTAATTCTAAGAAAGAGACTTTCAAGGCGACTTTTCTATTGAAGTCGCTACATATTTTACTCAAAACAAATTTTAAATTTAACAATTAAAATTTAAACAAAAGCATTTATACATAGTTGAAGTTATTATCACTGTAAGCTTCATTCTCAGCCTAAAGCGCTATAGTGGTCCTATCTAGAAGACTCATACGATGGACAGTTATCATTGGTTTTTGTTCTGAATTGGTAAAGGGACTACACAATTTCCTAGCTGGTTAACCGATTAAAGTTCTAGTCAGAAGCCAATTTTTGTAGTGTTAAACGAAAAGTTGTTCTAGTCAGAAACCGATTTTTTGTGAAGTTAAACGGGTAAGTCAGAACTCAGTGTTGTTGTCGTATTGTTATCTGTTCTAGATCTTGTGAACCACAACCCACCAAGATTTCGGCGATGATCCGGCGGGTTTTGTTGTGTTGTGCTCGTGGCCGTTCCACGAGAACTCATGCTCGATGTGTCATTAGGACCCTCCACTTCCGGTCACTACTTCACAGGCTATCGGCGCTTCTCCTAATCACCTCAAGAGGGGAGGCTAGTCCCCAGTAACGCTATAGGGACAGAGTTGTCCTTCGTCCTGCTCCCATCTCCGGCTGCCTGTCCAGATTTTAGGATTTATTAATACCAGTTCTCGTGGTTAAGCTTGGACATCATTAATTAAAAAAAACAATGATATAACGTAAATCCACATTAGTATTTATATAAAGTGATCTGCTAATTGTTTGAATTGGATTTACTTTTTTCCACTAGCCCCAACGCACACTTTTTGAGCACAAGTTACACACGCTTGCTAAATAATTTTTAACTTTGGTATGTTCCAGTTGTAAGGGTTTACTAATTCTTTCTAGCAGATTTACAGTAAAATGTATGTCGTATGATCGTTGAATAAAACGATCATATTATAAACGGTTCATTGGGCTATACACACACACATAGACATGTTATAGTAGTAGTGTTTAACATACATCCGTCCATGTCCATTCCACCACCAACCTGCATTACAATAGCTGTATGCTACAAGGACCACATCAAAGACTCCACTCTATCAAATATAAATACCGTTTTAAAAGGATCGAAGGCGCATGCTGTTAATTTATATCCTCAACACTCACCTAGCACCAGAAATGGCATACGTCTCTGACCTAACGATCTCCAGTTCTTGTATGGCTGTCACAATGAGATCGATTTGTTTCCAACCTGCTTGGGACCGACACACTAGTTCCATCCCAGCCTCAAGTAGATGAGTATGCTTGACACGGTTTTCTCACAATCTTCAGCCACAACTAATGCATAATTTGTTCACACAATCAACTTTTTATTTCTCGTTTTTATAAACAGATTTTTTCTCTGTCTTTGTGTCTCTGTTTGTGTGTATCAAACGTCTCGTGTTTATTTTGTTTCATAGCTGGTCCTGTTATTGTGTGTTTCGCCCTGCTATGTAATATGTTGATAGGTTTTTCGCTAAAGATGTTAGTGAGCTTACTTGAGAAATGTTTATTGATGGAATTTAGACTAAAATGTTGAATGTTGGCGGAGAAAAAAATATTTTGGACGCCACATCATTTACTGTAAAGCTGTCAATAGACGTCTTCTCTTTGCCCTAACACTACCCAAATAGACGTCTTCTCTCTACCCTAACATTACCCAAATAGACGTCTTCTCTCTACCCTAACATTACCCAAATAGACGTCTTCTCTCAACCCTAACATTACCCAAATAGACGTCTTCTCTCTACCCTAACATTACCCACATAGACGTCTTCTCTCTACCCTAACGTTACCCAAATAGACGTCTTCTCTCTAACCTAACATTACCCAAATAGACGTCTTCTCTCTACCCTAACATTACCCTAATATCCGTCTTCTCTCTACCCTAACACTACCCAAATAGACGTCTTCTCTCTACCCTAACATTACCCAAATAGACGTCTTCTCTCTACCCTAACATTACCCAAATAGGCGTCTTCTCTCTACCCTAACATTACACAAATGGGCGTCTTCTCTCTACCCTAACATTACCCAAATGGACGTCTTCTCTCTACCCTAACATTACCCAAATAGGCGTCTTCTCTCTACCCTAACATTACCCAAATAGACGTCTTCTCTCTACCCTAACACTACCCAAATAGACGTCTTCTCTCTACCCTAACATTACCCAAATAGGCGTCTTCTCTCTACCCTAACTTTACCCAAATATACGTCTTCTCTCTACCCTAACACTACCCAAATAGACGTCTTCTCTCTACCCAAACATTACCCAAATAGGCGTCTTCTCTCTACCCTAACATTACCCAAATAGGCGTCTTCTCTCTACCCTAAGATTACACAAATAGACGTCTTCTCTCTACCCTAACACTACCCAAATATACGTCTTCTCTTTGCCCTAACACTACCCAAATAGACGTCTTCTCTCTACCCTAACACTACCCAAATAGACGTCTTCTCTCTACCCTAACACTACCCAAATATACGTCTTCTCTTTGCCCTAACACTACCCAAACATACGTCTTCTCTTTGCCCTAACATTACCCAAATAGGCGTCTTCTCTCTACCCTATCATTACCCATATAAAGGTCTTTTCTTTACCCTAACATTACCACGTCTGTTCCCCCCCCCCCCCACCCTTTTTTTACCTCGACACCCGACAGACATCCCCCCTCATCCCCCGATCTGCTGGACATCACCCGATCGAGCCCCTCCCCCCCCCCCCCGCCCTCATCCGCTGGACGCCACCCCATGGGTTAACAAGCATCAACAAAAGCCATTTCCTTCATGCCACTCTGGTCGTTAGAGCCTCTTTTATTTATCCTCCACAACAAATCACTTCAACTCCCAGACTTTAGAGCTCATTTATCTACCCGCTCTAACCATATTTGGCTTTTATCCCCCACCCAAAAACTGGCATGCCAGCACACAATTATTCCATTTAGAACCATCCGCTGGTTTAGCCTCCAACCGGTTGTCCCCCTTACTGCTATCAACATATTGCCCTCCTTTTTTTTTCCAATTTGTCCCATCAAGACTACAATCTTGCTTCTGTTTTTTTTTATACGAATGTCATAGTTTCCCTGAGACTAGTAGGAGGGGAGACTAAAAAAAATTGTCTGTTAATTTGAATGGAGTTGCCCCAAATGCCATTTGCCCGTAGCCGTGCCTATTTAGCTAAGTTCCGTTTTCCCTCTGCCGGGCGTCTTCGCTTCTGCTGATGACGTAGTTTCCCGCTGCCGCGAACTCGTGAGTTGCTTTATCTTGCAACGTCGGCAGTGACGAGTGGCCTTGATTTACTGCCGGCTAATTCACGTGTTTGTGGCTGGAACATAGCCCGGGGCCTGAAGACATTGGGAAACTGGCCGTAGTACAACATGCTGGTTCCAGATGACCAGCACGCAACATTGGAACTAGAAAACAACTGGGGACTGGCCCGACGGTCTACCGGGAAAAATCCTGGTGGACCCCCCCCTCCCAGGAGAATATTTCGGTGGGCCCCCGGGATATTTCGGTGGGCCCCCAGGAAAGGTGCTGTAATAGTCCTTTTAGTGATATAAGTAAAACAATTGTTGGTATTTTACCATCCCTTCATATCCATTTTTTGATGGATAAAAAAACCCAATGAAAACTTTACTCTGGGGTTGGGGGGGGGGTCCATTTTATTATTTCCCGTGCCACTTGGACTCTGCTAGTTCAGCCCTGCATATTAATCACCTGAAGATTTCACATCGATTCTTGATTGAAATGTATAGTTCGATACCCCCATTCCACACCGTTACATAATGAGAACGTTGGAGGGATGGATTAAGATAATCTTGACGTTCGTAATCCTGGTTAATCTCGCTGATGAAGTTGTCAAGGTGTGGTGGAAACAAACGCCTAGCCCAGCACATCAGTAATGTGTGGTGATGTGAGAATGTGACACCAGAGTGTCTGTCTGTTGGTTGTCGAGTGGTGTTGATAAGGTATTTTATGGCTGTTGATTGGGAAGAGGTGTGCGAATGTAATACCTTATTTTCTGTATGTTGATTGTGGGGTGTCGTACGAATATAACAATATTTTCTGTATGTTGATTGTGGGGTGTAGTACGAATGTAACACCACATTTTCTATATGTTGATTGTGGGGTGACTTACGAATATAACACACTATTTTCTGGATGTTGATTGTGGGGTTACGTACAAATATAACACCATATTATCTTTATGTTGATTTTGGAGCGGTGTGCCAGTATTACACCATCTGTTCTATAAATACAACACCCCTATTTTGTTGTTCTATTGATGATGTATCATTGTGACACACTATGTTTTAGGTCTACTCATTGTGTATTGTTGTAAATCAGACACAGTGTAACACATCTACTAATTATGTAGATTTGTAAATACGATACCCTGTGTTCTAAGCCTACGAATTGTGCAGTGTTCTAATTATAAGTTTCTATCGTCTAGGTCACGACCTGGCCGAGAATGTCCAGGTGAGACTGGTCCAGACAGTGGACGACAGCTTGACCCCGCTGTCCCACGGCTACTTCCGCTATGAATACGACTCGACCTTCTACCTGACCAAGTTCCTCACCAGCAGCGTCTACAACGACCAGGCCCTCGAGTCCCTGGAGCTCATCAAGAGCGACCGCTTTGATCTGTCCAATGAAGTTCTGTCCACCCTCGATACACGCCTTCGACGGTCTCTCATGAACTCTGACCTTTCCAAGGGCTGGCACTTGCTTGGAGGAGATTCTTGTAAGTAAAGATCTCTTTTAATTAATTAGTTACCAATTGTAAATTCGAATACCTTAGAGGCTGCTGTAATTTCTGTTTTAAATATCACTTGTACTCAAACTATTGATGGATCTAATTATAGCACCATTACAAAGCCAACAGGAATAACTTCTCTCTTTGGTCGATAGTTTTTTTTCCCCTTATTCCCTACCAAATGGCGCGTTGCCTAGTTACCACAAGGTCATTAATTTTATCTGAACTTCGCATGCCATATTTGACATTCGGGGCGGGGCGAACTCAAACTTGTATTGTCAGTCAAATGTGACGTAATCTTGGCATGGCCACCGGCATCAAACAGTGAAATGAAAATAAATTTAGAATGAAAGAATGAAAGAAAATGTCAGCCAGAATGGCGGTGCGTGACACGGTGGAATTAGCATATGCAACAGCTGATCTCCCGCCCAGCAGAACCCGCCCTGTGATTATACCCCCTGGTACATGTTCCACTTGCTGTGCATATCAATTTACACTGATACTTGTACTTGCTGTTTCTATTCGACTTGAAATAATGAAGGGTTTAATGTAGTACCGTACTGCTGAGGTGGTTCATTCAACGTTGGTAGATGGACCAACTTGCTGTTTTGATTCGACTTGAAATAATGAAGGGTTTAATGTAGTACCGTACTGCTGAGGTGGTTCATTCAACGTTGGTAGATGGACCAACTTTGTGTTTTGATCCGACTTGAAATAATGAACGGTTTAATGTAGTCCAGTACTGCTGAGGTGGTTCATTCAACGTTGGTAGATGGACCAACTTGCTGTTTTGATCCGAATTGAAATAATGAAGGGTTTAATGTAGTACCGTACTGCTGAGGTGGTTCATTCAACGTTGGTAGATGGACCAACTTGGTGTTTTGATCCGACTTGAAATAATGAAAAGTTTAATGTAGTATTGCTGAGGTGGTTCATTCAACGTTGGTAGATGGACCAACTTGGTGTTTTGATCCGACTTGAAATAATGAAGGTTTTAATGTAGCACCTTACTGCTGAGGTGGTTCATTCAACGTTGGTAGATGGACCAACTTGGTGTTTTGATCTGACTTGAAATAATGACAAGTTTAATGTAGTACCGTACTACAGAGGTGTTTCATTCAACGTTGCTATAGGTGTATCAACTGCAGGAACTCGACACATGGACTAGAACCACATTACAGGGGAACTAGTGGGCATTGACAAAACAGAACAACCTAACGACTGGCCTATGTACTGACCACAACTAAAGGTGGCCTTAGTGCTGACCACAACTAAAGGTGGCCTTAGTGCTGACCACTACTAAAGGTGGCCTTAGTGCTGACCACTACTAAAGGTGGCCTTAGTGCTGACCACTACTAAAGGTGGCCTTAGTGCTGACCACTACTAAAGGTGGCCTTAGTGCTGACCACTACTAAAGGTGGCCTTAGTGCTGACCACAACTAAAGGTGGCCTTAGTGCTGACCACAACTAAAGGTGGCCTTAGTGCTGACCACTACTAAAGGTGGCCTGAGTGCTGACCACTACTAAAGGTGGCCTTAGTGCTGACCACAATTACGGATGGGAAGTAATAACGACTGGCCTAAGTGATCCCTCATATGTGGAGGCCACAGAATTCCTCAGATCTAGTGAACGTTGCGTGATCTGTATTTATATAGATCTACTTATATATGATCTACTTATATTTTTATCCAGTGTTCATCCAATGTTGGTGACACCAGTACATCGTGTGCACTAAACGGAGGGGGGGGGGGGGTTAAAACTATTTTGTTTATTAAGTCCATGTACCTATAGTCTGGTCAGCACCATGCCGAGGAGCCTTTACTTTCCCTAAATATGAAAAATTAGTAAGGTAGCTGGACTATTGAAATAAGCCCAACAGGTCAGGTAATGTCAATGATTGTTCATTATCTAATACAGTACGATATATATCCCACCGTTTAATACATTTCGTGATATGTCACCAACACAAATCACAAAAGAAAAAAAAATCCTTTTATTTGAAACATCTGACCCAGAGACCCACACTACAATCCAACATTTAAAGTACAAACGTTATATTTAGGCCATCTAATGAAGCGTGCAGGAGTATACGCTAATGAGCTGACACCAATACATAATCAAAGGTTAAATACTGGTTGTTCAAGGAGAAGGTGCGTAAAACAATCAACTTACAACTTGGAATAACGGCACGTATAACAATCAACTTACAACTTGGAGAAACGGCACGTATAACGAGTCAACTTACAACTTGGAATAACGGCACGTATAACGAGTCAACTTACAACTTGGAATAACGGCACGTATAACGAGTCAACTTACAACTTGGAGTAACGGCACGTATAACAATCAACTTACAACTTGGAATAACGGCACGTAAAACGAGTCAACTTACAACTTGGAAAACCGGCGCGTATAACAAGTCAATTTACACTTGTCAGTATACTGCAGGACGGAATAACGAAATAGATTGAATCGACTACCCCCCCCCCCCCCCCCCGTTCCTGCCCCTTCTCTCCCCCCTCCCCCAAATGTGAACGTTAAAATTAGCCCCATCTAAACAAACAGATTGCAGCCACAACTCCCCCGCCCCTCAATTGTGACTGTTAAAAATCTTCCTCCCCCCCCCTTCATCCAAACCAAGAGATTGAATCCACTGAAGCACAAGTCCAACTCTTCAGTTATCCAACATCAGGTGGAGACCGCCACATCAATTACCCCCGACAAATGTGCGCGTACAAACCGTCTTTACGCTTAAGTTGGCGCTGCGACGCATACGTTATGACGTATTATTTACAGTCGGTCCAGTGGCAAGCATGAAGCACAGTTGAGTGTGCGCCTGCCGACCAGGATATTGCTAGTGATTTCGATACGGGATTGTTAGGCCTTCGTTACACGACTACAATATGCTCAGGTAGAGGGTGTGTGGTTAACATTTGTTTTAACCTGTGTTCATGTACTTAGTGCTGGAGTTGCCTGTAAAATTGAACAATGTTTTTTTAATGTGTTACCAGATTATTTTGGTGGTGTTTTGTTTGTCTTGTGTATGGGTGATATTGTGTCTGTCCTCGATATTGTTGATATTATAGTATAAAAATGGTTTTGTAACTTTATTATATATTCTTGTAACTTTATTATATATTCTTGTAACTTTATTATATATTGTTGCAACTTTATTATACATTGTTGTAACTTTATTATTAATTTATATATTGGTAGTTTGTGTTTATCCTGTTTATTGGCATTATTGTGCGTCTTGTATATTTAAAAAAAATCTATATTATATATTTTGGTGGTATTTTGTCTGTCTAGTATATTGGTTGTACTGCCCGTCCTACTCACTGATAAAATGTACATCTGTCTAATGTTGCTGTCCTGTCTATCCTATCTACTGATTACTCATTACTACTTTGCCCTCGCATTTTGACACCGCCCTTTATCCCATCATTCAAGTTCTTAGATAGTAAACATTGGCTATTTTTAGCATTGACATTTTATTTCACATGATTTAATCCCAGCTAAGTATTTGTTTAAGCAGCCACCGTTTTCCCAAACTGTTGACTATGTCCTATTAACATCAATTAGGATGAACTAAATTTGATAGCCAACCATCGCGTGTCGGAGTTACGAAATGTTAGTGCTAGTTTTGACGGACGGCCCTCACACTTCAAAGGGCGTTGCCTTGACCTTGTCGCTATTTATGATAGGAAATTCATCGCTGTTATTAATTAATATGACGCAATGGCAGTCTGTCTCTCGAGACTGTTTTTAATTTACCTGTAATTACGTACCTCGACTAGGCTATTTTTAGACATTGCGTCTTGAATATATTGGCAATTTTTTTTTTTGGTTTTTAATTAAAACCCAATTATGTGAAGTGGTTGAACTTTTGAACTTTTATTTAGTGGTACTTTTCGTTTTCCTTGGGAACCCGATAACTTAAGTACTGGTTCAGGTAAGTAGACGAAATATCGTATGTAAGACCTTATACTTGGATTGCTATAAAATTTTGAGTCACCCGATATTTGGAAGCGGTACTCTACTCAATTTCCTTTTTCTAAAATACAGATAATCTGAGTACCGTTTCAGTTTGGTAATCTATCTAATTCTGTTGATTTTTTCAAATTTTTAGTGATTTCCGGTTACCGGAATTAGTTTTTAACAGTATTTTCGATTTTAGTAGCTAATATAATTTTTACCGGAGCGATTTGTTTCAAATTTTTACGTAGGCCAAGAATCGATGTACGAAAAAATTCTTTTAAGATTGGTACATTCTTTTACGGAAAACTAGTAGAACAATTATATAAGGGTTGAAGCAAAACATGCTAAACTTTTTCCACTGCAATTAAAAAAAAAATGCAATTTTCTAGGAATCTAAATAAAATCTTTTGCAAAGCAGATTTGGACGGAATATTAGCTGTACGAATGCTGGCTCCCCCAAGTGGTCAAATATTACTTCTTTCTCAACCTTGCTCTAAACAGAAATTCATGCCTTTAAAATAGCCAAATGCAGTCAACTCAACTATGACAATAACCATGCCTATTATCCTAGTTTCCCTTTAACATAGCCAAATGCAGTCAACTCAACTATGACAAAACCATGACTATTATCCTAATTTCCCTTGGCGCTGTTGACCAGCTCGTGTTTTTCCCCCAGTGAGTGACGCCCACTGCGAGGAACGAGAGACACTGCTCCACTTCTGTGCCCGGCTCGGCCTCAGACAAGTGGCCCACTTCCTCCTGGAGCAGCCCGGCAGTGAGGACGCTCTACGGCTGACCAACCGACAGGGGGAGTTGCCCCACCAGATCGCCAGTCGGAATGGCTTCCACGATCTAGCAGAGATGCTGTCTGGGTAAGTAGAACCTCGGTAGACGGGTTAGGATGGGAGATAAAGACAAACATAGAGCTGGAGTTGAAGGTTCACTGAGCTTATGAGTTTAATCTGAACACTATGGTTGGGGTAAAAAAATGTCTGTACATGACTTTATTTATTGAAGTTTTTCAAGTTCCCAACATCCCCCCTCCTGCCTTTCATCTTCCTGTGTTGTCTATTCATTAATCTTTTTAAAGTTCAGGTTGTATTTAAAGTTGAGGTGGTATTCTGGGTATTAAACAACCAATGAGCAACGTTTCAAAGGTTATGTGGTATTCAGGGTGATAAGCTTGAATTGGGCAACGTTTCAGGTTTAGGTGGTATTCAGGGTGATAAGCTTCAATTGGGCAACGTTTCAAGGTTTGTTATGTGGTATTTATGTTGATAAACGAACTGGTGTGTTCCCATCTTTCACCGTTGGACTGGCCACTTCCTGTGGTGTGATAATGAAATACCCACACAGTGACCACATGCGAGCCCCCATGATGCAGGTCACTGGCCCGTCCGTCCCCAGAGCGATGGGAAGCGTCTCATTCTAACCCTGGCCAGATTCATCACTGAGACGGCAGGGAAATAAGAAACCAAAAAGCTCGCCATTCTCTCCCCTTTTCTTCGTAATGGGCTTCTCTCTGAACTGAAATGAAGGCTTATCTGAAGTGATCCGTTTTTAAATTGAAAATTTATAAGTCACGTTGAAACTTAGTCTCCTTTATTTTTTTACAATTTATTTAATTTAAAATTATAGTAATAAATAAATAAATAGTGTCCCTTTAAAATAAATTTTTAAAAATTGAGCTAATAATAGTTACCGCCCCTTGTCTATTTTCCACTCATTAATCAACCTCCCACACATTGTTTTTCACCCATTAGATTTAATATAAGAAAATGATCAAGTATTGAATATAAATATCACTGCTTGATGTGCTATTCGCCCTACAATTTTTCCACATCACCTATCAAAAATGGCTTACGCTGCTATTTGTGGCGGCTCTATGATTACTTCCCCTATCCGTTTAAATGTTCATGATGACTTCCCACACAAATCTAGGGTGTGGGCACTTTTGTCTAATTCGAACAGAGTGCGCTCCCTTTACCATGTATGTTTATCTCCCCTCCCCCACTCTTTAAGAAAAGAAAGAACAGTTTGATGTTAGACCTACCATACATGTTTTACAACCTCTCGACAAACGATAAGGGAATATGTAGGCCTACACTTCGTAATATGTCTTTGTCCACCTATTCTAACATGGAGCTAAATTTTTAATGAAAGCCACGCAACACAATATACGAGGGATTATGAACACCAATGTCGGTAGTGCTGAGCCGTCTCGTTTTCTTTTAATGTTGTCGTATAAAACAACACATTCAATCCGCAGGGGGGAAAAAGAAAAATAAACATAATGAAATCTGACGAGGTAACTGGATAGGTAACTCGATAATTTATTGGATGTGGTATTAAATTGCACCGTATTTGTTTTATTCGTCTCCATCGTTGGTGTGTCGATACGGTGTGTCCACAACACGTCTGGTGTGTTTACATCACGTCTGGTGTGTCTACATCACGTCTGGTGTGTCTACATCACGTCTGGTGTGTCTACATCACGTCTGGTGTGTTTACATCACGTCTGGTGTGTCTACATCACGTCTGGTGTGTCTACATCACGTCTGGTGTGTCTACATCACGTCTTGTGTGTCTACATCACGTCTGGTGTGTCTACATCACGTCTGGTGTGTCTACATCACGTCTGGTGTGTCTACATCACGTCTAGTGTGTCTACATCACGTCTAGTGTGTCTACATCACGTCTGGTGTGTCTACATCACGTTTGGTGTGTCTACATCACGTCTGGTGTGTCAACATCACGTCTGGTGTGTCAACATCACGTCTGGTGTGTCTACATCACGTTTGGTGTGTCTACATCACGTCTGGTGTGTCAACATCACGTCTGGTGTGTCTCTCGACATCACGTCTAGTGTGTCTACGTCACGTTTAATGTGTCTCTCTACATCACGTCTGGTGTGTCTCTCTACATCACGTCTGGTGTGTCTCTCTACATCACGTCTGGTGTGTCTACATCACGTTTCGTATGTCTACATCATGTCTGGTGTGTCTCTCTACATCACGTCTGGTGTGTCAACATCACGTCTGGTGTGTCTACATCACGTCTTGTGTGTCTACATCACGTCTAGTGTGTCTACATCACGTTTTTGTGTCTACATCACGTCTAGTGTGTCTACATCACCTTTGGTGTGTCTACATCACGTTTTGTGTGTCTACATCACGTCTGGTGTGTCTACATCACGTCTGGTGTGTCTACATCACGTCTGGTGTGTCTACATCACGTCTGGTGTGTCTACATCACCTTTGGTTTGTCTACATCACGTTTGGTGTGTCTACATCACGTTTGGTGTGTCTACATCACGTTTGGTGTGTCTACATCACGTCTGGTGTGTCTACATCACGTTTGGTGTGTCTACATCACGTCTGGTGTGTCTACATCACGTCTGGTGTGTCTACATCACGTCTGGTGTGTCTACATCACGTCTGGTGTGTCTACATCACGTCTGGTGTGTCTACATCACGTCTGGTGTGTCTACATCACGTCTGGTGTGTCTACATCACGTCTGGTGTGTCTACATCACGTCTGGTGTGTCTACATCACGTCTGGTGTGTCTCTCTTCATCACGTTTTGTGTGTCTACATCACGTCTGGTGTGTCTACATCACGTCTGGTGTGTCTACATCACGTCTGGTGTGTCTACATCACGTCTGGTGTGTCTCTCTACATCACGTCTGGTGTGTCTACATCATGTCTGGTGTGTCTCTCTACATCACGTCTGGTGTGTCAACATCACGTCTGGTGTGTCTACATCACGTTTTTGTGTCTACATCACGTCTTGTGTGTCTACATCACGTCTAGTGTGTCTACATCACGTTTTTGTGTCTACATCACGTCTAGTGTGTCTACATCACCTTTGGTGTGTCTACATCACGTTTTGTGTGTCTACATCACGTCTGGTGTGTCTACATCACGTCTGGTGTGTCTACATCACGTCTGGTGTGTCTACATCACGTCTGGTGTGTCTACATCACGTCTGGTGTGTCTACATCACCTTTGGTGTGTCTACATCACGTTTGGTGTGTCTACATCACGTTTGGTGTGTCTACATCACGTCTGGTGTGTCTACATCACGTCTGGTGTGTCTACATCACGTCTGGTGTGTCTACATCACGTCTGGTGTGTCTACATCACGTCTGGTGTGTCTACATCACGTCTGGTGTGTCTACATCACGTCTGGTGTGTCTACATCACGTCTGGTGTGTCTACATCACGTCTGGTGTGTCTCTCTTCATCACGTTTTGTGTGTCTACATCACGTCTGGTGTGTCTACATCACGTCTGGTGTGTCTCTCTTCATCACGTTTTGTGTGTCTACATCACGTCTAGTGTGTCCACATCACGTCTAGTGTGTCTCTCTACATCACGTCTGGTGTGTCTCTCTACATCACGTCTAGTGTGTCTACATTACGTTTTTGTGTCTACATCACGTTTGGTGTATCTACATCACGTTTGGTGTGTCTACATCACGTCTAGTGTGTCTACATCACGTCTGGTGTGTCTACATCACGTCTGGTGTGTCTACATCACGTTTCGTATGTCTACATCATGTCTGGTGTGTCTACATCACGTCTAGTGTGTCTACATCACGTTTCGTATGTCTACATCATGTCTGGTGTGTCTCTCTACATCACGTCTGGTGTGTCAACATCACGTCTGGTGTGTCTACATCACGTCTGGTGTGTCTACATCACGTCTGGTGTGTCTACATCACGTTTCGTATGTCTACATCATGTCTGGTGTGTCTACATCACGTCTAGTGTGTCTACATCACGTTTCGTATGTCTACATCATGTCTGGTGTGTCTCTCTACATCACGTCTGGTGTGTCTACATCACGTCTGGTGTGTCTACATCACGTCTGGTGTGTCTACATCACGTCTGGTGTGTCTACATCACGTTTGGTGTGTCTACATCACGTTTGGTGTGTCTACATCACGTTTGGTGTGTCTACATCACGTCTGGTGTGTCTACATCACGTCTGGTGTGTCTCTCTTCATCACGTTTTGTGTGTCTACATCACGTCTGGTGTGTCTACATCACGTTTGGTGTGTCTACATCACGTCTAGTGTGTCTACATCACGTCTAGTGTGTCTACATCACGTCTAGTGTGTCTACATCACGTCTGGTGTGTCTACATCACGTCTAGTGTGTCTACATCACGTTTGGTGTGTCTACATCACGTCTAGTGTGTCTACATCACGTTTGGTGTGTCTACATCACGTCTAGTGTGTCTACATCACGTCTAGTGTGTCTACATCACGTCTAGTGTGTCTACATCACGTTTGGTGTGTCTACATCACGTCTAGTGTGTCTACATCACGTCTAGTGTGTCTACATCACGTCTGGTGTGTCTACATCACGTCTAGTGTGTCTACATCACGTCTAGTGTGTCTACATCACCTTTGGTGTGTCTACATCACGTTTGGTGTGTCTACATCACGTCTGGTGTGTCTACATCACGTCTGGTGTGTCTACATCACGTCTGGTGTGTCTACATCACGTCTGGTGTGTCTACATCACGTTTGGTGTGTCTACATCACGTCTGGTGTGTCTCTCTACATCACGTCTGGTGTGTCTACATCACGTCTAGTGTGTCTACATCACGTCTAGTGTGTCTACATCACGTTTGGTGTGTCTACATCACGTCTGGTGTGTCTACATCACGTTTGGTGTGTCTACATCACGTCTGGTGTGTCCACATTACGTTTGGTGTGTCTACATTACGTTTGGTATGTCTACATCATGTCTAGTGTGTCTTCCTTATTTAGTTGCGTCAGTTTTCCCTTATTTATTGTTATGTAACTTCACATGTTGATGTCCCCTATATTTTGTAGTAGCTCCTTCGTATTTGTGTTCCTCT